GCTCCTATCTCACCATAGGGCCTTGGGTAAATCATTTGGTGACTTGTTTCTGTTCCATCTGTAAGATTAACTGTATAGTACAATGATATAGAGATTGATGAATTTTTTCTGTCAAGGGTCAGATAGTAACTATTTTACATTTTGCCGGCCAGCTTGTTGCAACTACCGAACTCTGCCATCATAGTGCAGGAAGAGCCATAACCAATGCAAATGAATGAGTGTGGCTGTGTTTAAATAAAACTTTATTTACCAGAACAGATTACCTGGTCCATGGTCTGTAGTATGCCAATCACTAGTGTAAAACCTACATAATACAGATAATTTAAATAGAGAGATACCATAAAAAGAGAAGAAATAAAATTATGTATAAAGGACAGCTTAAAAGAAGATGACAGACAAAAGAGAAAAGTGGTTTGTCTAAGAGAAAAACATACTATAAGGTAAAGGTTTCCTACAAAAATGAACAAATCCAAAGACCAAGAACTGATCCCTATTTTTGATAAAAATTATTTACCATGGAATTTAAACCACAACTGGGGAACATTACAGTCAATCTCTGGGGAAGTCACTTGGTTGTTCTCTAGGGTAAAAAGAATATTAAAGAACTAAATCCTCTTTGCGAAGTGTTCACTATTATCCTAGTGGATACTCAACCTAGAGGATCACGCTTGCTTATTGCATTACTATTCTAATAATTTTCCCTCTAGAGGTCAGTTCTAAAAACTTCTCACCCACCAAATGTTTACTTAACTAATATACAAGTGGGATAGAAAGCATGACTACGTTCTTCTGCTTTGTATTTTTGCTCGAGTTCTCATACATCTTTATGATGCACCATCATACGGCAACATTTCAGCCTCCTGTATGTCAACAGCAAATACTGTGAACCCTTTATCAAAACAATTTGCCAGCATAACTGTAAAATGGAACAATGGCATGGTCTGAAGTGGGAAGAAAATTCTGTTGTTCTTCGTGGTTTTTCCTATAGTTTATGATTTTTCTAAAATTTGGGAAGCAACTTTAATAACTTGATAATTTTGAGGATACACAGACCTGCAGTCTCTTATCTCAAACCCCTGGGCTCAGATGTGTTTCAGAATGCAGAACTTCTCAAGTTTTAGAAAGGCAATATGCTCCAGATACCATATAAATTGTACACCTCCAGTGAAGTCTGGAGCAGCACCCCCTGATCAAACATTAATTTTGTTACAGCCTAACTCATTTACACCAAAAAGAATAAAGACCATGAATAATCTCAGTCAGTTCAGTTCAGATTTTGCTGTCAAATGTCTTTGCTTCAAGCTTACGAAAAAGCTTTTGGTTTTCAGAGTTTTTTGAAATTTGGTAAGGGACTGTGGGTCTGTAATATGTAAAAACAAATTAAAAAAACAACCTCTCTGAAGCCTCTTTCAGTTCAAAGAGACCCACAATGTTGAGTATTTGAATGGCATAGCCTTATAACTGAAGATACTTTCAAGCATGAATTCAAGAATAAACCTAAATTCTTCCACTATAGGCACAAATTACCAAGAGAAATGTGTTCCCTCTGCTCCAGTGAGTTTCAATTTCTTTTGAGAGCCAACATACACATGGCACAGAACCCACTTCCATCAGTATTAGCAGACATTCTGGCAATGATTCTCAACCAAAAGGGCTTATCCCTTGAGGACAGATGATTCTGATATGAGTAATCTCCTATCCTTTAAAAGAATATTTGGTTTTCTCCTTGATAAAAAGATGGTTGTTTTGGCTCTGGCAGTAATTGAAACACTATATTTTAACTGGCATTGGTATTTGTAGAGCTCTTCAAGAGTTTAAGTCCAGAGCATTAATTTTTAGTCCTAGCTGTATTTTAGAAATACACATGGAGCACTGTTAAAAATACATATATAGGCAGCACCAGATCAATACACTTAGAGGCCCAAAGCACCTAAAAGATGATAGTGTCCTCCCTCATACATAACTCAAAACAAAAACAATACTAAATCATGAAGCACACGTAAGGAAATCCATCCTAAATCAGACATTTCTTATGAAGATTTGGTGTACCCTTCTTCCAATTTTTTTGTTATTTTGTGATTTTGATGTCCTCACAGTCCTCAGTGTATGCCTGTTCTTCCAGTTCTGGGAAAGCCTTCAAACCTGAAGTTTGATCTCCCAGTGAAGGGAAGGAGGAGAGAGACAAAGACAGAGGGATACGTTGGACGGAAGCTCCCAGACTGGCATGCAGTCTAAGAAAGGTTCTGCACGGCCACTGAAGAGCCTTCAGGACAAGGTCAGCTGTCAGAGGAGCTCCATGTCTCCCAGGAATGGGCCTGCCCTAGTATCCTTGCCATACACAGTCAGTGACTGATAGAAACCATGGAAGGTATGGCCTCAACGCAAATGCAGCCATGAGTGTGGCAGCCAGGCCCTTGGTCAAATATGTTCTCTGAATTCTCCCTCTGTGCCACTGATCTCCAATATGGTAAAGGAGTTCAGTATCCCCAGAAAAAAGCTTTCCTTGATTGACATCTTTTAAAACCCTCCATAACTATTAACCTAACTTCTCACTATTATAGGATTGGAAGAGGAAAAGGGAAAGACATAAAAATTAAAGGAAATGTTACTTGAATATTTAACAAAAACCCACAGTTTGCACACTGGTAAAGAATGCACTAAATGTTTTATTTCTCTTAGTAGTTCATACGCAAGTAATTGACTCTCAAAGAATTTTACAAAACACAAAAGACATTATTACACTTTACCAATGAACTATTTCTGTCCCAGGAGATTAAATCCAATTAAAATGCTACAACTATTTGAAAGTTTATTTTGAAGCCAACTGAGATGATGAATGTATAGGTTTCTATAAACTTCTCTTAGTTCAGTGTTTTGTACATGCAATCAGTACAATATAATTTCTTAATTATTTAGGACATAGTCAACAGCTATAATTCATATGAAAAATATAATCAAATATCTCAAATTCCTGATTAAGTCAGTTTTAAAGACACAAAGTATAGCACACTTGCTATGAAATTCTGTTTATAATGCTCCTTTTAATAAACTGCAATTAATCACTGGTATAAAAATTCTGTTTAAAGCAAGAAGTTTTATATATGATGCTTTTCTTCACAGAAAAAGAATGATGTTGAACCGGCCAAGACCAACATACTGTATCAGAGATCAAATATTCAGGGCATTAGTTATATACTATTTCCTCCTTTTGAAGCCTACAGTAAATAACGACTAGGAAAAATTTTTAAAGTTTTAAGGCTGGTCTTATAAAGCATGAATAAAGATAGTAGAAACATTACGACATGTCACACGGAGCAAACCAAGTATCTTCATTTCATCATTAATCAGTGATTTGAAATAATGCCATGTTATAAACCACGAGCATTTAAAGATTTATCTAAGGAAATTAAGCACTTTTGAGTATTTTTTTAAAAAACTTTAATGAGCAGTATATCTCTGATCAGCATAAGCGAGATGCAGAAAGGACAAAAATAATACTGTATGGAACTGATTCTCATAGGCTTGCTCCCTCAAAGACTACACCTACCAACTATCTTCCACAGTGTTGCTACTCATGCCTTATTTTACTTACATATAAAGCAACTAGAGATTTTTCATTCTTCCCAGTAAGTACTTAAAAAACATTTCTAGGTGTGCATTAAGTGTTAACTTATGATGCCCTTAAAAATCTTTCAAGTGGTAAAAAACAATTTCCGGAAATATGAAAATATTTAATTTTTCATATTTTTGAGTCTTAAAAAACTTAAAGTGTAATATTTCCATGTATCAGCAAATTATAATTGTGCCATATAAGTTCATCTTGAAAGAGCATATAATTTCCAAAACTTTGTGAACGCTACATTACAGAGTACAAATATTTTAAGGTTTGCTTCTCTATGTCTTTATATTATAATGCAAGGAGGAAAAATAATCATCAAGGTAAAACAGATTTTTATTAGGAGAACAACAATGTTTTCATGAAAAGAAAATAGGAAACCTATCATTTCTCCTTTTAGTGGCTTTTCTTCAGTTAACTACCTGGTTTACCAAAAATGTTATCTCAGCTCAATTATTGAGCAAATTACCCTTAGACAAAATATTCAACATTTGTCCAAAGGTTTGTGCAAAACCTCTCAAAGAACACTAGAGATTCTAAGTTTCTTTCTTAATCTTTAGTAAGAACTTTAATTAAAAACAAGCACATTGCCTTTGCTTCACAATTTTAACATTAATGGAAATTTCACTCTGAGTTTAAAGTGATATTTCTCTGAGAGTCTGACCCATTCAGGTGGCAGTGTAGAATTAGATTGCCAACATACACATGGTTACAAAATAAAAGTCAAAACTAAAGGGAAAAAAATAGAAAATCCAATACTAGCTATTCTAGAAAAAAATTCTAAAACTAATAGATTGCTCAAAAAATTCTCTTTATCAAGATAAAGAAGAGTGACTTATTGACAGGACCGACGGGTTTGGTCTTTCTCCCAGTAGCAGCCCCCTGTGATCTGTGATTAAAATGGTATTTAGGGCACAAGAAGTTTCAGTGATGACTGCTTCACCAATTTTTGCTGGTGTCTCACTGACTGTGCATCCTCGATGGCCTTACATGCTCTCTGTAAAATAAAAGAGTTATTATGAATGGTAAAGACAAGTACAGGCTCATTTGGTGGAGAAGAAAGATATAAAGCAGGAGTCAGAGCTCCCCACACAGGTCCCCAGCTAAAGACAAGAATAAACAGTCCACACATGTAATGTAAAAGAAGACCCTCTGCCCCGTTGAGCCCAGGGTATATGATTTCATGCTTATATATGCATCCAAAGTTGTAACTGGAAGATCTTTTGGGAGAAATAATGGGTATTGCTAATTATAACAGATTTTTTTAATCTTTGAGCTAGAAAACGGAGACGATGTCCTTTAAAATAAATTGTTTACCTCTGCTGTGGTAGTATCCAGCAGATAAATTTTCCGGAGATAGCCTTGATTGGCACTGTCTTTTTTGTGGAACAGTCCCTGCTCCTGTTTCAAAAGAAACAATAACAGAAAAGAAATAATTCTGGAGAAGAAAAAAAATCATAACCTTTAATTGGATGCTTAAATGTCAACTCTATTTTATAACCAGTGGACTAACCAATACACATATTCAGGTATGATAAGAAATCAATCATTTTGGTACAAGGATGGTGGTTCCATATGTGAGTTGTTAGAATTTATGAAATTGGATGAATATACATCAACCGTATAAAATAACAACTTTCTGCAGGCTATGATAAATAGCCTATAGAAACACCACTTGATAACTCATCACATCTGACAAATCAAAAAACCCTTCCCTCATTTCCTTGGCTGATAGACAAAATTCTTATATAATGTAAAATACATTGAGTCAATTCTCACTACTGATGTGAAAGAAAAGTGATAACCAAAGAAACTTTAATATATATGCATAGTGACACAGTCTTTCCTAGTTTGAAAACTACAGTTCATACACTAAGGCACTCTTTACATTTTGACAGTCTACAACGAGGTAAGGCTGAAATGCAAAACAGTATGGTTTCATGGTAGCTGCTTTCATTTGTAAACTTCTATGAAAAGAAAAGTAAACATAAATTAAAGGATAATAGTACTTGCATCGTTATTAAATTTTACGATAAACGTTTTCCAGATAGTCTCAGTAATAGAGATAATACCAATATTGTTTAGGAAAAAATACACTACAAAAATTACCATCTTTAGAATGACAATGTGTAGGTTTTTTTAAAGAGGTAAAAATAAATTTATAATATATATAACAAAAATTATACATTTTAAAGTACAGGGAGTCTGAGAACTAAGCAAAAGATGAGGTATAATTTTTGCTAATTATTTGCTATGTAATTAAAGTTCTTCCTTAGAAAATGATGGAGAGGAAATACATGAAAGTATTATTATATACTCAAATTTTACTAGCATTTTATAAATGCCAAATATTATAAAACATGAGTGTTTTAGCTACAATATTTATAATAATCTCCTAAAAGCCTAAAAAAGGGAATCTTTCAGGAAGTATCTAAGATTATAGCAAAATAGGTATCCATATGAAGTAAAAACTCCCCTCTATTTACTAATGCTTCACTCTACCAAAAAGAAAATATCAGCATCCTAATTCTTTCAGTGGACAGACTTGATATTTCACTCAGTGCAATCAAGGACTGTGAGAAAATAAAAAATAGTACACAAATAGATTACATCTTTCTTTATATTTTCAGCATATAACAACAAGAATAATCTTTCAAACATTTTGTCTAGTTAACTGTAAAACAGAGTCAGAAAGCTTTGGTTTCCATTCATTTAGCAAATTCTTGGCTCTAAAGGTGTGATTCATGTTTTCTTACCTTAACCGAAATTTGTAGCAGATTTCCACTGACACTAGGAGGAACTACAAAATCTTCAAATGGACACTGCCAGTCTATGGACATACAGCCTAGGATTTCAACTTCCTTTATACACAACACTCGCCTATTTTGTAAAAGGAAACAAAAACACAAAGGTAGTGATAAAGACGGTTAATTATTCTAATATTTCACTCTGCAGGAAGGCACAGGTAGTTCACACTCAGTAAACAATGTAACCTGGCACTAAAAAAGAGTATGCTTCACATAAAAAAGGTCTAGATAACTGTCCAATAAAGAGCAAATATGGACAACCAACTAACAAAGCAGACTTTGAAAAATTCCCCATCTATTCACTTTGTAGAATTCGGAAAAGTGTCATTCTTTTTTTCTGAAACTGACCAAAAATCTCAAATCATCTTTGAAACATATAAGGAACAGGCTCTCCTCTCATGTGGGAAGCAATAAAGACAGAAGCCCCTGAAAAGGTTTTACCTGGAAAATTATTAATTGCTCTTTACTGTCAATCATTTATGCCTTCCAGTCAAGAAACAATGTGCAAGAAATGTCACAAACCTCAAATGTCAGCAAAGATTCACATTAGAACTACTACTCATAAATATCAGGTTTAAACACTTTAACACTAATGTATTATATCAGAGTGAGTATCCCATTTTACTCAATAGCAACAAGAAAAAAATCACGCAATTCTTAAAGGGCATCCACATTGATTTCCCAGGATGTGATTCAGATTAATTACTGATATAACTGTACTTGATTCTAAAGTTTCTATTACAGAAAGCAAAACTAGTAAAGTAGAAGAACTGGTAATTCTACAAATATCTAGGGTGCTGGAGAAACAAAGAAGATAGGGTTTCTCATAGGCTAGAAAGGCAAATAAACATGCAGATAAATACTACAGCACAGTTAGATAAGTGCAATAGCAGAGTGTGCAGGAAATTCTTTTGGAGCACAGGAGAGAGGGACCTATTATGTTGGTAAAGTAGGTGGCATAAGAGCTGATTCTTCAAAGGAAGGAATTCTCTAGATGAGAAAGGGAAGTGATAGTTCAGACAAAGGGAACAGTGCATTGACATACACAGGGGTACAAAGAAGGGAAGACTTATTTGAGGAATGTGAAGGTATGTAGCAGGAATACCAGACATATACAGAAGTAAGAAAACTAGCATAGTGCCACATCTTGAAGGGCTTTTTTTTGTGTGTGCCATTTGAAGAAACTTTTGATTTTAATCTACTGGCAATGGAAATGACATGATAACATTTCTTATTTTAGAGTCACAGCTCTGGTGGCCAAGGGAGGAGAGGTGGGGTAGACAATCAAGGTAGGAAGTTATTGTAATAGTCCAATCAGGAAACAGAGCCTCAACTAAGGCAGTGGCTGTGAGAACAAAGAGCTAGATTCCAGATATTTAGAAGGTAGAGTTGAATGAACTTGGTGACCAATGGAATGTGGGGACTGAAAGAGACTCCTGGCACTATATTTCTCAGCAGAGGTGCTACTGAAATTTGGGGCTTGTTTGGGACTGTCCTGTGCACTGTAGGAAGTTCAGTGACCCTAGCCCCAGCCTACCAAGTGCCAATAGTGCCCTCCAATCACTGTGACAACCTCCAACATCCCTACATATTCCAAGTAATCTCTAAGAAGCGAATTCCACTCCCCACACCTCCTGTCCCAGTAGAGAATCAGATGATAGAGCCAAGAGTTAAAAGTAACTATTACAAATCACTGTGTCAAATGCAATTCACCATTCTGATTTTCTAAAAACTCTGTCTTCTCTTGACCGCTCTAATAATAATGTTCTCCTCCCATCTTAAATTTCCTTCATTCTCTTCCTCTTGCTCTATGTTTACCAGAGGTCAAATCTTGGTCTTCTTCTATTCAACACACTCTCTCAGGGCAGTCTCCAGGATCTCAACCCCAGATCTTTATCCAAACTCCAATTATCTATATCTGTCTCCCTGACTACAGAGGCATCTCTACTTGGATATCTCAAAGCTATGTCAAACTCAGTAGGTTCAAAAACCAAAAAATCATCATCTTTTTCCTCGAATTACTGTAAATGGTAATAGCAACCCCTTGGTACTCAAGTCAAAAACCAGAAAGTCATCTTGTATTCCCTTCTCTCCCACATTCAGTCACCAACCCCTGGTCTCTTAAGGCTACACCCTTATATCTCATTCTCTTAGTTTATCTTCATTATCTTATATCCTCATTCTTTTAGTTTAGGATCTCACCACTTCCTATCAAGATAACTGTCACAGTCTTTGCAGCAGACAGAATTCTAAGATATTCCCCAAGATTCCTCATCCCCTGGTATATAGCCCTGTATAATCCAGGACTATGAATATGAAGGATTTCTCCTATATGGTTAGGTTTTATTATAAGGCATATGTGACTTTAAGAAAAAAGTTTATCTGGGTGGGCCTGACCTAATTGCATAGGCCGTTTAAATCTGGGTCAGAGACAGAAAAATCAGAGATTCAGAGTGCTGCTGATAGTTTGAAGAAAGAGAGACACATGGCCAGGAACGCGGGGCAGACTCTAGGAGTTGAGGGCAGCCTCCTGGCTGACAGAGATCAAGAAAAGAGGGATCTTGGTCCTACAACTGCAAGAAACTGAATTCTGCCAGTAACATTAAATGAGCTTGGAAGGAAGTCCTTCTAAAGAGCTTCCAGAAAGGAAGCTAAACACCTCGACATCTGCCTTGTGAGACCTGTTCAGAGAACTCAGCCATGCCATATCTGACTCCAGACCCACAGAAACTGTGAGATAATAAGCTGCTAATTTTATGATAATTTGTTGTGCAGCAACAAAAAACTAATATAGTCTCTAACTGGTCTCCCTGCCCCCATTCTGATCCTCCTCCAATCCAGCATCCAAACTGCTGCCAGACATCTTCCTAAACTGCAAACCTCATCCCATCACTGCTTGTTTACAAGCCTTCAGTGGGAAAGAAAAAAAGAGAGAGACTTATGTGTGTACTACGCGCATACACCTTTGGTGAAAAGCTGCAATACTGAACAATAAAATAACAGTCTATACTTTAAAAAAAAATAGTGATCTTCGATCACTATGATGCCTATGTATGACAGCTCCATACTCTATAAGACTCAGCTCAAGTACCTCCTGATCCAGAAAACCTCCCTAACACCTTTCCAATGACACCTTGGTTCCCACCTCACTAGACCAAGAGTTTTTTACCTCTGTCTTCAGAGTCTCTGAACATCACTTTATCCTAGCACCTATCACACTGTGATGTCACTGATAATTTGTAGGTCTCCCCTTTAGATGGGGAGGGGACAGAAGATGTAACTTTCATCTCTGTGTCCCTGTATCTGTCATACATTGATGGTGCAATGGACTGAATGCTTACATCTCCCTAAAATCCACATTTTGAGTCCTAATCCCCAATATGATGGTATTCGGAGGTGGGGCCTTTGGGAGGTGATTAAGTCACGAGGGTAGAACCCTCATAAATGGGATTAGTGCCCTCATAAACGAGGCCTGAGAGAGCTCCCTCGCCCCTTCTGCCACGTGAAGACACAGCAAGAAGACAGCTATTTATAAACCAGGAAGTGGGCCCTCACCAGAAACACAATCTGATGGCACTTGATCCCAGATTTCCCAGCTCCAGAACTGTGAAAAATACATGTTTGTTTTTAAGCCACCCATCTATGGTATTTTTCTTATAGCAGCCCAAACAGACTAAGACAGATGGTTAAAAAAAAAAAATCTGTTCTTGGGGCCAGCCTGGTGGCGCAGCAGTTAAGTGTGCACATTCCGCTTTGGTGGCCCAGGGTTCGCAGGTTCGGATCCTGGATGCAGACATGGCACTACTTGGCAAAAGTCATGCTGCGGTAGGCGTCTCACATATAAAGTAGAGGAAGATGGGCATGGATGTTAGCTCGGGGCCAGTCTTCCTCAGCAAAAAGAGGAGGATTGGCAGCAGTTAGCTCAGGGCTAATCTTCCTCAAAAAAAAAAAAAAATCTGTTCAGAGAACAATTTCCTAACGAAGATTACTAAAATAAAATACTATGTAGGAGGAGTTAGGACTAAGTAGTGGAGCTGCAGCCTAATAAATTTAGGTCATGAGACCTCGTATTTTGCTTCTAAAAACTGGTAAGAAAAAATATTGAGACCAAATTTTTGATGAATTTCAATGTGGAAAAATTAAAAGTCCTATATATTGGAAAACTCAATAAATAATCACTAAAATGTTAATAATACATTGGGTAAAAAAGGCTAATATCATTAATTTACAAAATGCTCTTTAAGTTCAGTAAGAAAAAGACTAACATGAAAAATGAGCAAAGGATATGAACAAGCAAATTATAGACTACAAACTATAAATGGATGATGAATATATTAAAATATACTCATCAGAAATCAAATAAATGTGAATGAAAGCAGAAATTATTTTCTACCTAGTAAGTGAGCAAAAACAAAAAGTTTCAATGACAATACTTAGCAAAACACAGGAAAAAGGACACTCTCATGTACTGTTAGTGTATGTAAAAAACTGATACTACCTTTCTGACAAAACAATTTGGCAACACATAGAAAGGGCCTCAGAAATCTTCACAACTTTTAAATCAGCAATCTCCCTAATAAGAATTTATCCTAAGGAAATAATTATAGGAAAGAAAGACTTAGCTTCAAAGACATGTTTGTAATAGTACAATATTGGGAAGGAGAAAACTGAATGTCAAATAATAAGGCAAAATTTAAATAAATTATAGTGCATCCATAAATACAATATTATGGAGTCATTAAAAATCAAGTCAAAGAATATTTAATAGTTTGGGAAGATGATCACGATACATCGTTAGGTGAAAAACCTTGGTCAGTTAAATGTACATAATGCATTTTTTATACACAGTTTTTATAAAATACATATACAGTCATGAGCCACAAACTTCATTTAGGTCAACGAGACTACATATATGATGGTGGTCCCATAAAATTAGCACCATTTAGCCTAGGTATGTAGTAGGCTATATCATCTAGGTTTGTCTAAGCACACTTTATGATATTCACACAACAAAGAAATTGCCTAATGACACATTTCTCGAACATATTCCCATTATTAGGCGATGCATGACTGTACTGCAAAAATCTGATATACCAGCTAATTATCTCTGGATGGTGGGACTGGTGGTAAAGGCTATTTTTAAGGGTTACTATACAATTTGTCATTCAAACCAGGACATTTACAAGAATGAACAGGACAGCTACTAATAATTACGTTGGGATAAAAAGGGCAAACCAGCTCTATCCTATGCAAACCACAATTTATGGTTACTTTAGTTATTTTCATCTTTCTAATTATTATCTATATATTATCTATATCTGTATGTATACTATGGCGTTTGAGCCAAATCCAACCCATGGCCTGTTTTAGTAAATAAAATTTTCACTGGAACACAGCCACTCCCATTCATTTACATATTGCTCATGGCTGTTTTCCCACTACAAAGGCAGAGTTGAGTAGCTGGAAAACGCAGCATGGCCCTGGAAGCCTAAATATTTACTGTTCCTTTAAAGACATTTTGTTGACTACTAACCTATATCATCTACAGTGAATAAGCATAACTTTAGCAACAAAAGAGTTAGTTTTTAAAATGCTGATTTTGGAAGACATGCTATTTTTATGTAATCATCAGAGGTCAGACAGATCAGCATAATGATGACCACCTCAGTCAAAGAAATTCCTGTTAGAGATGCCGTCTACTAAACCTACAAGGAGAATAAGCGATTGTACTGGTCAGGAACATTATTTTACTAATTGCCTTCTGAAAAGCTCTGAAAGTGACTAGATTTAAAATTACTATGATAAAGAAAAACCAGACGTATAACGTATACAGTAATAGTCCCACAAAATGCTTAAATCAAACAAGTACTAAAGTATTAAGTATTGCCAAAAAAACCCCAAAACCCTAACTGATTTCCATTGCCTAGTATTGAATTACTTAAAGGTGTACAGTTTTTAAATGAATTAACACATTGCCATTACAGCTAAGTACAATACACAACACAAATAAACATTGGTTTTAGTCTAATCTAATGGATACGATATAAAATTATGGGCATAAAAATAAATGATTACTTGTCAAATCTTTAAAAATTGCTTTTTAGATTGTTTTGTGAATATTTTTACTTCTTAATTAATGGGCAGATCAGATGACTGGTTAACTCTTTGAAAAAGATTGTAGGTTTAAGTCTGAATCGTGTAATTTTAGCTTTCCTTTTTCTCACCCAAATATATTTAAATGCATTAGTAAGGAATCTAATGCAGATTTTACCTATTTTAAGTACTTTTCCTTAATCCTACAAAATATATAACTTAGAAAGTTTTGAAAAACATTCATTTATAACTGTCATTTGGAATAAGTAATGTAGGGTACTCTCAAAACAATAAACTCAGTAGTTTAGTCCAAGTTCTTTTATTTGGAAAAATTATCTACCACTCCCAAAATACTTAGAAAAAGCTGGAAAAAATACGAAGAAATAATACTATCCTTTAAGAAAGGTACGCTAGTCATCCAAAATAAAACCTAGAAAGCAAAAGTGATTCAGGAATTTATCCTCCATCCTGGGATTTATAATTCGCTTATACAGGTATCACCACTGCACTTAAGGAGTCTATTCCAGACTCTGTCTCTCAGCAGTTGTGTAACTTGGATAAGCCCCTAAATCACGCTGCATCTCAGTTTCAGCATCTCCAAAATCAGAGGGTCAGGATAGATGATCTCAAAGGACCTGTCTAGATCTGTGTTTTTGTGATTCTACGACAATGGACATTCTGCAGCTGAAGTATAGTTCTCCAAAGCCTCTGCAACCTTGGGATTTATAATTCTTATGATCTACATAACTTGCATTTGAAAAGAAGTCACTTAAAGTTAATACCTGTTAGTAACCATAAGGATTGTCTTCTTGTTTCCAGGAATAGCACAGTGGTATCGGTAGATCTCTCCTTCTAACTTTTTGATATGATTCTGAAAAGAAAACAAAACTCAAGGTTTGGGTAGTACATGCCTCCAAATAGTATTTCCAATACTGTATATTAGCTAATTATAATAACAGTGCTAGTTAGGAAAAACATTATTAGAAACAAAAGCACAATTCTACATACTGGCACATGAAACTGAAAAAATCTTCACAGCATGTTCATACATTAACTCCCGCTCTGCCCTAAAGGCAGACATATCAAATGATTACTAAGTGACCTTCTGGTAAAAGGCATTTCATTCTGTGAGAACTCAGAAATTTAAAAGTATCTACCAGAAACAATCACACGTTTTCACTAATGGAATATGAATACATGCTAATACAAAACTGCAACATTAACATTACAGGGGTTCTTAACCTGGGGTCCAGGGAAGGACTTTGGGAGGTCTATGAACCACCTAACATAGAATATAAAATTTAGAAAATGTGGCTTTTCAACTTTTTTCAGAGGACGGTTCATATTATTCATCAGATTTTTTGAAGGGGTCTGTGATCCTTCTCAAAGGTTAAGAACCACTGATTTACACAGAGGTAGATATACACATAATAACATTCCAAGATAACTGATATTTAATGTTTTTGAATATTTGGTCTTACAGATAAAACATACATGAGAAAAACATGTATGTATCAAATTTAAATTCCTGAGAGGAAAAAAATGTAATGACAATATTAATACAAACACGAACAATTTCTAAAATTTAAAATTAACGGCACAATTTATTGCTAAAGGCAATTACAAGCATAAAATAATTCAAGTATAAATAGTAGTACATTAAAATACATTTCTTTTCTTTCTCAACTATCTCAAAACTATTGTGACTTGAATTAATCAACATACATTAAAAACCCAAAGTTATTTTTTATAATGAATGCTTATGAATATTATTATTGACATTATAATGCACGATTAAAGATGAGTTATATACGACAATACGGAACATAAACATACCTAATAAATAATACATTAACATTTTATAATCAGGAACACAACACCACTATTATGAAAAAGATAATATAATCAATAATCACAAGCAGAGAAAGCACACTTCTTATTATCTCAATGCTTAAATACACATTTTTTAAAGATCCTTAGTTCCCAGTCATTCCTTGACAATTACAAAAAGACATGAATAAGAAAGATGAATCCCCAAAGAACTGGGGTCTCATCTTCAGAATGGGTCTCAGAGAGGTGGAGTTTAATAGTCACTTGCTTCACATCTTGCCTATGTGAATTAGCTAAAATCTTTTAACATTTATACCTTAATTTCTTTAAAGAGAAAACAGGAAATGAATATAATAGCCTAGTACGTTTATTTTCATCTTTGAAATTTAAATATGGTAAAATATTTAGATCTGAGATGCAATGTACAAGACATACTACCCACTTTCCATCTTGTACGCATTTTCATTAGTTATCAGGCTATGGCGGTTTAAACCATTAAAAGCTCTTAAAGTAAAATTCATCATCATAATACACTATAGAAACCTTATTTCTATAGAAATCCACTATACTCTGAGATTTGGATTAAGATATTCAGTCACTGATGGCAGCAGGAAACGAGATTAGTTAAAATATTCACTCTCCCTTCCCAAAATACACCTTGAAGAATTTACAATATTTAGCAAAAGCATTAAATTTTTTCAAGTAGATTCTAAGAAAATAACACAAGATACAAAAAAGCAACATGTATAATGATATTTATCACAGCATTATTACTGCTAGTAAAATAACAGAAATACCTTTAATGTCAAGAACTGGGAATGGCCAAATACGTGATATAAGGTTATCTCAAAGGATGGTAATGCAAGAATTAAGAATAAAGCATTTCTATGAAAATGTAAAAATATAATTAAAATGAAAAAGCAAGGAACACCATTTCAAATACTATGATTATAATTACATGAACCAAGATGAATATTAAATAAAAACTGGCTATATATCATATACATGTGTGTTTATACACATATATATGTGTGTGTAACCTGTAATTATCCTAGGAGAATAAAGGATAAGCAGAAGAGTATATCCTATGAAAATACAGTATTTGATTTAGTAACTTTCAAAGCTTAGTGTTGAAGAATACAGAGCAATACTCAGGAAAAAAAGAAAATGGGGTAAATCAAAAGATTTCCAAATAAATTATTTAGAATACACCAATATTACAATAAGGGCTAGCAGGACATAATTTTAAACCCTAGTTCTCTTTAATATTTACATGTTTTTGTTATACTTGGTCCCTTAAGGACAGAAGTCTTATTTCTTGGGCATGTCCAGCATTATCTGGATAAGCAAAAAACATTTCAGACCCAACTGACTGATTACAGCTAAGATGGGCAAGGGACGAAAAGGCCTAAGTTTCTTAATTATCCATGCCTACCCCTGCCACACACAGAAAAAAATTACCAAGTTCTCTCATTAATGTGCAATCATTCTATTTCTTCCAGTAACTGTGATAACACATTAAAGTTTAAAGGGCTGTCTCATATCTTAACAAAAACGAATAAATCAGATAAGGTACCTATATTTAACCAAAATAAAGTTTCTTGAAGTTCTGTGCTTATGAACATGCAGTTGTAAAAAGGGAAATCACAAGAAAAAGGTTTATAACATAAAAAGCTAAAAAAAAAGTAAACAATAAGGAAAAAATTTTAACAAGTTATACGATTTCCCAAAAGTGAAGTTTCATTAAAATTGCAATATATCCAGGAAAATTAAAAATCATTACTTTTACCTAAGAAGGAAGGGTAATTATTAGTGATGATTTAAGACAGCATCTTGAATTAGGTATTGTGCTTGATTTTCACAGAAACTGTACGTGCGGTGGCATTTTTGCCAACCCTCAATTATCTAGGCACAAGAAAAGTTTGTCAGCTACAGTTTTAGGCTGGTCTTTGGATGTCCTTCTTTCTTCTTTAAAGTGCTTGTTTTAAATATGAAGCATTCAAATTATTTTTTGATAACTATAGTTTAAAAATATATATAATCCAAGTGAATAGTTTGTTAACAGTTTCATCCTCTTCAAATGGATAACACATTAAATCTAAGTTTATACTTTGCTTTCAATTTTGGGGAAAAAAAGAAAGTTGCTAGATAGGACGCTGCTAAATCAAATTGAACATCTCTATCATTTATTAAAAAAGAGAAGTCAAAACATAACTTATTTTGAAATTGACTATGGGAATATTAATTTCAAAATAATTTATATTTATTTTTGTTCTCATTAAGATAATGAATCCTCTTTAAGGAATTAAAAGCAAAAAGTTTGGTCTTTAAAAATAAAGATATCTATAAATTAAGTGCCACATAAGTAATGTGCCTAAATACATGTTCAACTTCTATTTATATTAATTAAAGCTACTAATTGTGAAATAAGCATATCAACAAGAAGATTCAATTTTTGAAAAGCATAAATGCTAAAGGCTGAGAAGGTACATAATTATAAAACAACTGCCAATTATCTACCAAGAGTACTAAGAGGTTAAAAAAGGAAAAAAGAAATTAAGGAACATATTCTCAAAATTCATGTGCCAATTCTTATTTGAGGTCTAAGGACAGACCAAGAGCAACTGATACTTCAATTATTAAAACATATGCCCAAGTTAATTGTTCCAGTCTCATAACTTGAATAAATTTAGGGTGATTTGTGAAACATAGCTACGTAATTCCATCATTAGGACTCAGAAACATAAAGAACACACAATAGATAGGACATAATTGTCCTTTTCTTTTTTCAACTTTTTGTGAAATGCACATGAATACTATAAGAAAAGAGAAAATTTTCAAAGTGATAGCAAAAGTGTGTCCTTCTGAGCTCAATAAAGTCTTTCTCAACCAAATGGAGAAGAGAGTTGATTTCCTGCATCCTTTAATTTTTTATATTGATCGTTTATTCCTGTACAGTATTAACGGGAATACCACCATTTTTATTTGTCATCAAGCCACTATGATAAAAAGTTCAGACAGAGGTGAGAGTTGTAAAGAAAATTTCATTAAAATGACTCTCAATCTAAATAAATCAAAGACAGTCAATTAATACCACAGTTTGTTTTGATTTTTAAGGATGAAATCAAGTAGCAGTTTAGGAAACATTTATTCCTGTATTTCCAGTTCTTGCTGTGTAGGCAGAAAAAGAAAGAAAATAAAGTTAGAAGCATGCAGAAAGATAAAATGTAATCATATACAATAAAAACCAAAGGCTAAGAACAATGAAGAGTCTTTTTATTTTAAAGTCAAAGTAGGAAAATATTAATAAATTTATTTTGAAGGAAAGGTAGTTATGGGAGAACAGCAATTTATATATGTACATATTATTTAAATATAGTAAAGTTAAACTAAAATAAAAGCCAAAAAAAACCTTAAAACTTTTTAAGGTTTAAAAAGATTCTAATTGTACATAATCTTTTTCTCTCCTCCAGCTTCTGTTTACCTGAATAAATCTAGATTTACAGAATCGTCCAAATAAATTAATTTGGTTGGGAGAAAAGGAAACAGTAAAATTCCAATAATTAGCTACAAAGCAGGAGACCAAAGTTAACAGTATTAACTAAATGAGCTACCACACAAATAGTAATAAAGCCTATGACTTCTTTTAATATTACCCTTTCTGCACAAAAAAGCTTTGCTCCTGTGCAGAAAAAAATTACCAGTTATTCTCATTTTACATATTACACTAAAATAAAAAACAAATAATCAAGTTCTACTCTACAAACCATGTTCCCTGTGCAATCATTAAAGAAGTCCATGAATCAAGAACTTTAAGAACCACCCATGAGATCCTGTTCCTAGAAATCTTTAAAATGAAATTGCACTTAGATCATGAAAAATAGAATTTATACCTCAAATAAATCACAGCCTTCGGATTCCTGTCTGTCATATGGGCGAATGATGCCGTCTTCATGGATCAGGCGAGGCGGGCGGAGGCTGGACACTTCCTCAGTTGATTCTGCTGCTCTGTATAAGGGAGCAGAATAAGTATGAGAAAATAGGTGAGAATATTTCAAAATAATACAAATATATGTTGATTAACGACTGTACTACATTCCATATTATATCAATATTTGATAAAAACAGAGTAATTTTAAATAACTTGCCCAAAATAATGTGACAAATATTAAAACCAAGTCTGTCTGACTCCAAGCTCCTCCACCTTTTCTTAAAGAAAAGAAAATGTCAAAATAATAATAGGAGGGACTAGGTCGTCCACTCTTTGTCCCTGGTGGCTAGCACAGTGCCTCACATATTGCAGGTACCAATAAACAGTTGTGGAAAAAAAAGAGAAACGGAGTCCCCAAGTCTCTTCTTGCTCCTTTCTGGGGGCACTCTACTTTGTGAACCTCTCAGAGCTTTTAATTAGACTGTGATATCCTTAAGAGCAGGCAAAGTATTTAACCTATTTATGGATTCCCAGCCACAATCAGCACACAGATACATACTTTGCACATGATATGCTTTTAATTACCTCTGAATTCCTTGGAAGGTGCTGCTGGCCATATCTATGATTCCACCAGTTGGACGAGCCACAGCACCCACAAGTCCTTTTCCAATTCCTTTAAAGAATCCAGCAGCTCCTTCCTTTTTGGCACCTTTATAAAACCAAAGACAATGAATGCATAAAGATATTTTAAAATAAGCAAGTTTAAACTCAACAAAAGCCTGAGCCAAATATTGAACTTTTTTATTCAGGAAGCTTCTAGAATTCAGCTTTCTAAAAAAGTTAAATGTAATCCTAATGTGATAAAACAGCAGTTCTCAAAGTGCATTAACTGCACTAATGCAATTATTTGGCCCCACTCTAGACCTAGTGAATTAGAAACTCTCAGTGTTTCAACAAGTCCTCCAGATACTCCTGAGGCATGCTCAAGGTTTACAACTACTGATCCAGGAGTTCAGTCAGTACCTGCGACTGAAAGGTCTGAGAACTGACCAGAAAATACTCTTTTTTTATGCTGACCATCGGGAGATTTTTCAGTGTACTTTTTTTTTAACATAAAAATTTTATCAAAATATAATTTACATACCATATAATTCACCCATTAAAGTGTACAAATTAAATGGTTTTTAGTACATTCAGAGTTGTGCAACCATCACCACTGTCAATTTTAGAATATTCATATCATCTCGAGAAGAAGCCCCATGCCCATTAGCAATCATTCCCCATTTCCCCCTACTCCATCCCCACACAATCCTATGCAACTTACCTCCTTCCTGTCTGCCCCCCAGACCTAGGCAACAATTAACTACTTTCTATCTCTATGGATTTCCCTATTCTGGACATTTCCTACAAATGGAATCATACAATACGTGCTCTTTTGTGACTGGCTGTTTTCACTTGACATGTTTCCAAAGTTCATTCATCTTGTACTTAGATAAGTACTTGATTTCTTTTTAAAGCTGAGTAATATCCCATTGTATGAATACACCATATTTTGTTTATCCATACACTTGTTGATAGACATGTGGGTTGCTATTACATTCTGGCTATTATGAATAATGTGTCTGAATACTTATGTACAAGTTTTTGAGTGGACTTGGATTTTCAATTCTTTTGGGTATATAACCAGGACTGGAATTGCTGGGTCATATATATAAACTCCATGCTTATATCTGGTTGTCCTAGCACCATTTGTTGAAAAGCCTACTCTTTCTTTATGGAGTTATCTTGGCACCCTTGTTGAAGACTGACCATAAACGTAAGGGATTATTTCTGGAATTTCAATTTTATTCCACGGATCTGTATATCTAACCGTATGCCAGTATCACACTGTCTTAGTTATTGTAACTTTATAGTAAGGTTTTAAATTGGATAGTGTAAGTCTGCCAACTTTCTTCTTTTTCAAGAATGTTTTGGCTATTTGGGGGTCCCTTGAATTCCCACACAAATTTTACAATCAGTTTGTCAGTTTCTGCAAAGAAGCCAACTGGGATTTTGATAGGGATTGCACTGAATAAACTAATGTGGCTCTTTTAATAAGACAAAAAAATATGAATCAATTCCTATTGAGGGCCCAAAGGAATCTAGTTTAACTATTGCCCTGCTGAAAATAGCATTCAAAGTCTGAATCACAGTCTACTACTTAACAACTCTACTTTTTGAGGAAAGTACATTCACTGAACAACAATTTAAGACTATGAACATAAAATTAGACAGAAAGTCTCTCAATCAAATACTTAGCAGCAATAACATCTATTATGTTTCCTATGTATCGACTCTTCAGACTTTGTTCAGGAAGGAGACATTCTCAACCTACCTTCTACAGGTTTTGTTATTATTCCAGTCACTCCACCAACAACACCCTGAAAGAGAAATCAATCATGAAGTCAAGCCTGAATGGAAGGTGCTTAATTTTAAACCAGCCGCCAGAGGTCTCTATAGACATACTAGAAATAACTTTTGTTTTTAATGAGGACTTATTTGATGTCAACATGCACACACAAGTGAGCACTACAATTTCTTAGACATTATTTCATATTTTAAATTTTAAATGAAAATACTTATAGAAGTAAAATTTTATAATGGAAAGAAGAGTAAAGCAGGTGAAAAGATTCTTCATCTGGTTCTGGCACCAATCAGCTATGTAACTGAGCAGTTGATTCAATCTCTTTAAGCCTCAATTTCCTTATCAGTGAAATGAGTGAGTTAAACCAAATAATCCCTAAGATCTAATTATAAATTTTAATGAGATTACTTTGCAACTTAATGAGAGTGTAGAAAATTGAAAATGAAAGGACCTTCAAATTGAAAATGAAGGATAGCAAATCACCTGACAAACAAAGCACTTTAGAGGAGAAAACACTTATTACAAATCACTGCCACAAATACAGAAATAATTATAGTTTCCTGAAATTATTTCCAAAATTAAAACAGTAAAATGTTTATACAACATTCTTATTAACTCTCAAGTAATGGCAGTAACTAAAACTACTTGTATATTATATAAATGCATAGAAAGAGAACTGAAGGATATACACTATATTGAAAAGATTAGATACCTCTGGGAGGAGGTGAGGGGTGATCAAAGAGTACTTTATAGACTTCCCTATAATGTTTTCATTACTTATTAAAAGGAGAACTTATAAGTTCTTATAATTACTTATACAGAGAATATTCATATATTGCCTGTATAAACAGTATTCATATATTATTTGTATAATTTTTAAAGTACTGAAAAGTAGGGAAAGGCAGTTCCTGGTTTATAACACTTACTTCCACACCTCCCTTCTGCAGAAAGGGTCATTGATGATGACCTGAAGAACTCCACCTCCCTCTAGTTACCCTCAGTTACCATGTTTCTCTGCTTTCCTTCCTGCCCCTTCCACAGCAGTGCTAACCTGCCATCATTATAGAGTTTTCACTCCAGCCCAAGTGCCAAACTAAGTTTGTGATTTGGGGGATAGATCTGATGTTGATAATGGGGAAGGAGAGCTAAAAAGGAAACAGAAAAGTCCACAATTTATCACTATTGCTACTCTGACAGACCCTTACTCAAGGTAGGATTCCAAGTTTCAAACAACCAGCTAGAGTACATCTTCTAAAGTGCATATAAAAGCGGAGGATTTCTTGAAGATTCAGCAGGAGACCTACAAGCAGGAAGCCCTTTCCTCCTCTGGCCAGGCTGTCTCCAAAATCTTTAGGCTGTCGACCCATCTCTTCCCTTCTTTTTTGCTGATATTCCTTGTCCATTGTAATTGCTGCCAAACCTTTTCCAACAGAACCAGTGATTCGAGATACCACTCCTGCTGCACCACCTATCAAAAGGCCCAGAGAAATAAGTCACAATGTTTATTTAAAGAGGATCACTACCACAATACACAGCATGCAACTGCTTTAAACTAACAGGTGCGTAAAATTCTGTCTCATATACAAAAATGTAGAAATTTATTTTTCCCATTTCCCATTTATCAAGAACAGAAATAAAACTATCTAAAGTACATTGATTCAACACTTACAATAACAAAAAAAACCCAGCAAGACAGTGTAAAATCATTTTACATTTAAGAACAAGGGAAACACATCTCTTTTTTAAAAGGGATTAGTAGAGAAGTGATACTTCTTTAAAAAAATAATTGGTTTTTCATAAAAAATGCATTTCATAATAACTATAATAAAATATACACATATACACAAATATGTGATACATACCTACTGTGTGTCCAAAGAGACTTCTCACTCCAATCACTAACCCCTCAGCAAATTCTTCAGGGCCTTGAACAGCACCCTAGGCAAAAAGAAAGTATGCTATTTAAATAAGTTTAAGACTTTTAATCTAGACCCAGCTCTCATGGCCTAGTGGTTAAAGTTTGGTGCTCTCACCGCTTTGGCAGCCAGGATTCGGTTCCCAGTCATGGAACCACACCACTCATCTGTCAGTAGCCATGCTGTGGTGGTGGCTCACATAGGAGAACTAGAGGAACCTACAACTAGAATATACACCCATGTACTGGGGCTTTGGGGAGGGAAAAAAAAAGAGGAAGATTGGCAACAGATGGTAGCTCAGGGCAAATCTTCCCAGCAAAAAAAGAGAAATTTCCTTTAAAAAAAATAAGACCTTTAATCTAGTATTTCAGGGTTTCCATGAAGAGAGAGAATCTATAAAGGTTCACAAACACTGTGATGACACAGTTTTCACCCTCTAACCCAAATACTGATGCAACACCTACTATGTTTGAAATACTTTCAACGCACATGATCTCAGAAAACCCTTGAAGATGACAAAAATTGGATTGGAGTAAATCACTGGCTTCAATCACAATGTGACATTGGCCTCCCAATACCAACTGCCATCAGATGCTAAAGCAAGCACTGGCAACAAGACTAAAAGCCCACATAGTTTTGGTTCTCTTGTTCCCTCATTTATTCTCTCTGCTTTATCCTTCTAAAACACTCACTACCTTGGGCTCCTGGATCCTTTCAAGGGAGGTGAACAGGTTGGAGGAGAGCTTGAATATGAAACGAAGTCAGCTTTTGATGCCCCATTAGTTCTTTCCACAGTGGTGAAACAGCCTTGAAACAGTCTTAATCCACCTAGCCCTCTTCCTTACAACTACATTAAATCTTGAAAAATGTGGGCATGTTTTATTGCCCAGATACTGGAAATGTCAATTAATTCTAAAATAATCCTTTAATGTCATTTCAAGGAATTTTAAATAAAAACAAAAAATTGACATATTTTTGGTATTTGATCATTATTCAGTTCCCTGATACAATTAAAATACAAATTATTTGTCAATAAAAATATAGAACATCTATTTTTCTATATCTATAGTTAAAATAAATAAAAGATCAATACCTGGAAGGGTTCATAGAATAAAGCTTCAACTCCTTCAGACAGGCCTCTAATTAATCCAAATGGGTTTCCAAGAACATCTAAGCCCAATACAAGGACATACATCTGTTTCAAGAACTAAAGGGAAAAAAAGTAAATGAAATTCTTTACAAGTGTTGTAAGAAACATCATGGTGCAACAAGAAAAGGCTGAGGGGGAAGGTGCTGATTAAATTAGGTTGTTAAAGAAAAGCTATGCAAAACTGGATATATACTTCAGTAATTGTTACTTATTTTTATTATTATGTTATTATCATTATTACTATGAAACTAGATGGGGAATAATTAGTAACCAAAACAAGAAATAAATGAAAATATATCCTTATTTGGACATGTAATAACCATAATGTCTAGACACACGATAGGAGAAAGGACTTTCCAGGAAAGGAAGGAAAAGAAGATGTCACTCTGGAGTTCCACGGTATAGCAATGGTACTCTAGTGCCCTGAAACAACCAGTATGTCTCTGTCCATACAATTCGAACCATGGAGTAACTGAGGCATGAGGAGGAACCTGGCTTAGAATTCCTCTTGAAATTCTATTAGACTATGCCTAGAAACTGTAGTCAGTGAAGAAATAAAGTGTTATGACTCCTAAATCACTATTCTTTCCCAAAGTGGTAAATATATCATTGCAAAGGTAAAAAGGCACTGGAGGAAAGTTTTAAAGCGGTATATATATATATATATATATATATATATATATATATATATATATATATATATAGGGGAGAGAGAGAAATTAATAATTCAAGAAAACTACTAGGTAATGAGATGGCAAATTTAGGTAAATTCGGTAAACATTATCATACACTGTACAATCACATACAAATGTATTGTTTTGATTATTTTATGAAGTATATTCTTAATGAACTACTATGATAGGAAATTACCTGTTCAGTGTAGTGTCTAAAAACACTCCACATGAGCTGATCTCTCTTGTAAAACTGATACTTAATTTCATAATAAGCAAGTCTGGGAGGAGAAAGAAAGATTCAAACCACTAAGATTATATTTTGAAAGACACAAAATTTCATTAACAAAATAATCATTGCAAATTCTTTGACAATTAGATTTGTACATCTGCCACATATAATTTATGTCTGAGATCTTAATATTTTGGTAACAAAATTATCATAAAAGACGGTGCATTCTCGTACAAGTCTTTCATAAATACATAAAGAGTAAAATGTTTAAAAAACTCAATCATAATCCCACCACACAGCAGACTTTCTTCTCTTCTTGTCATTTCCCACTTTGAATTCTTTCTTTTCTATGCAATTTAAAAATATTTAAAACATTTTGTATTCATTTTTTACACTCAACATTGTGGATAAGCATTTCTCTATGCTAGTCAAAATTCTATGTAACCACTTTTAATGGGTGCACAGCATTCCATCATGTGGAAGTTATCATAACAAATACTTCTTCCACTGTCACACATTTGCAAATTTTTGCATAATAATTAACGTTGCTATATGTATCTTGAATATAACTCACTGGATGCATTTCAAGATTACTTTTTGGACTGAAATTCCAAAGAAAGAATTACTGAGTGAAAGACTACAAAAACATTTAACACTTTTGATATATATCCCTTTCCACTCAAACAAATAGTAAAAAAAAAAAAGAAAAAACTGCCCATTTTTTGGGCCCATCCCTCTCTAGTATTAGGATTGCCCATATTTTGAAATTTTTGATAATTTGTTTTAATTTTCACATATTCTTTGATAAATAATAAAGTTGACCATTTTAAATATCTATCAGCCACCATATCTTCCCTTTTGCAAATTAACTCATTGTGTTCTGGCAATTATGGCATTAGAATCCTTAGTTTTTCTTACCAATGTTTAATATTGACTATTAATCCTCTCTCTATCATACTTGTCATTATATTTTCCCTGTTCTTTTTAAATTATTTGCATTGATTTTGTTGAAAAGTATTTAATTTTTATATAGTCAAATCTATTTTATATTTTCCATTGGGATTTACTTTTTCCATTGCTCTTAAACTTAGAAAGACTTCCTTCATTCAGAAATTTGATAGCAATTAACTTCTATTTTTTCTTAGTCTTTTCTATTTGAATTTTATATTTAATCCTTTAATTCCTATGAAATTTGATATTGTACAAGTGAGGTAGAAATGATATAAATGGACTTTTTCCCTCCAAAGTAACTACTTGTTCCAATACAATTGTTGAATATTCAATTCAATAAACATTCAATGAATTTATATGTATCTGGCACAGATAAATATCCTCATATTAAATGTAGCAAGGAGTTATTATCTAGACTTTGCCATATGATTATACTGAAATCTTATCCTACTGCTAACATATTTCTAAATATAATTCTGTTTTAAAATGTGTTCAATTTCTAACATACTACTAAAACAATTTATTTTTATTCTATATTCATGTATTATATAGATATGAACAACTGAAGAAAATATAAGACTCTATCTTACCTTTATGAGTAAAATAAGCATACCTAAAGAGCATAATTAGAAAGGGACCAAACTCTTCAAGTATAAGGAGTTAGATTATCATTTCTCTAAGCTAATGTTCTGGTGCAAATGGAGAGAATTAACATCCAAAAACATAACCTTGGTAAAAAGCCTCCCAATGTTCTTCAACATAAATCTTACTTGAATATAAGGTCATCCACGTCAGTCAGGGTAGCACCTATGCTTTTCAATAGCAGATTGACAGAATGAATTGCAATCATTTCCTGTTTTTCTTTGTCTGACTCTTCACCTCCGGAACTCAAAGACAGACTTAAATGCAACTAAAATAAAAATAATGTTCAATAAATGAAAGCTAAAAACAAAAACAAAAAAATTACATACAAAGGAACTAGATCTTTTAGATACAAACAAATGTTCTATCTTTCAATTACGAGTCCTAAAGAAAGCTATTATTTTTTGCTCTACACATAACATAGAATAGCTCATTCAAATCTGATTCTATTTACTTTTTGATAAAACAAAAATTAGTCTATCCCAAAAACAGAGCCATAATGTTATTCAAAGTATACAAATACCATTGTGTTTATGTAAGGGGCCCAAAACACTTTACAAAAATAGCATAATCGTTTTAAGAAGAAAAACATGTCGACTGGCACACAAGTAGTCTACAAGTCAAAATAATGAATAGTCAATTATGTTCATTCAATTAAGGTAAATAACTTACGGCAACAATTAACAATAACAATTATATTATAATTATACAATAACAACAACAATAACATAACAATCATGGAACAATTAGCAAGTTATTAAATTAATTTCTTTAAAAGTAATCAAGTTTTTGGCTTCCACAGACACCTTCAACTCAGTACTTACACATGAGATTTTCACATTCCCATTTAGCTTCTTCTACTTTGTGTTGTATCATCATTAGTGCAATAGTGCCAGAAGACACAAGCAAAAGGTAATGTGACATATAAATAAAGCAGATGACTCTTCTTTCTCATTCTGCTATTCCCTAGGTATTTTACCTAACCAATTAAGAGCTCAAAAGAGCAGACTTGAGTTAAGGTCAGGAAAGCCTGGTTGCTGGGTTTTTTCTTTGATGTGGACTTCTGCCCATCTGTAGAGTCAGAGGGTGTTGGGATTGAGGAAAGGCAAGCTTAGGTGGACAGAGACGCAGCCCTTCTCTAGAGCACAGTTACCACGGAAAAAGAAAATAACTACAGTTCATGATCTTAATTATTCAACTCCATAGCACAATTCTCAATGAGCCTAAAAACATGAACAAGTAAATTATCAATCTTTAGTAACCCCCTACATTATAAACTCCATGAAGTCATTTTATATCTCCCACAGCAACTTTGATAGTAGGCATTCAATAAATATTTGTTGAAGGTATTATTCAATCTCATAAATAACTGATTTTAATAATGAAAAAGAAATTGTGTAAAACCTACCATATAAAACAATACCAATTTCAAACCTAACACTATGAATATGTCTGATCCCACCAAACTAATACCTCAATTTAAAATAATAATTCCATTCTATAAATGCATTCATTTAGCTGAATGGATTGGCGAATGCAATTGAAAATAATGTGCTGTAAACAGTTCTTGAGAATGTAAAGGATCATCAATATTTTAAAGAGCTACTTAATTGTAAATCTGGCCCATTACACAAGTTTAGAACACTATGGTTGATATCATTTGTGAACTTACTAAGCAGTCACCTCTCCCTATAAAACCTAAAAAGAACAACAAAAGGAGAAAAGGAAATGGGTTCATAAAGTACAAAATCAGGCAAGTGAAAGGTATCCAATTTTCCACTCCCTTAGTTACGATCAAATTTTGGAAGGGTGAAAAACACCACATCAACAGTATAATACCTACTTCAGCGTTTTCACGTTCTGGTTAGGGCACCCATTATAGCTTTCTGTTTAGACAGTGAACACAGTTACAAAGTGCAACCAAAACATTAAACACTGGTGAGCACTTCTTTGCTTAATTAAGAAATGCTTTTGTCAGCTTCTTCCTTAAATAAAGGGGTTATTAATTCAAGACTAGAGAACAAGCTCTGGTGGTTTCTCTGCGGGAATTACGGTTGTACACATGTTACAGAGAACTGTCTTCACTATTTCAATTAATCAAATTAAAATTCTCATCAAATATTTAACGCAACAAATTAAAGCCCATGCATGTAAACTGAATCTTTAAAAGTTCTACAACAATTATGCCAAATTTTCAAAATAATAATTACAACAAACCTTAACAGGAGAAATATGGAAATGTTCAAAGAAACTAAGAACTGACATATCAGTCATTGAGGTCTCCATTAATTCTGTGTTTAGAGCATCAACATCTTGCTGGATTAACTTTGTCTGAAAAAAATTAAGTCAAGAATTTCTATTTTAATTTTTTTCTCTACTACAGTTAGTTCAAAGAATGGTTAGTTTTTTAAATTTTATAATTTTCCCAAGAGATAAAAATTGTTACCCGTTTGCTTTCAGCTTCAGGGTCTGTTGCGGGGGTAAACAGTGCAGTAATAGCTCCTAGAAATCCCTGATCAACTTTTAAGGCCATTTCTTGAATGAGGACCATAAAATACCTAAGAAAAAAAATTCTTTTAAAAGATGGAAAAGGATTTCTATCAAATCTTATTATTTTCAAGGTTAAAACTTTGATTCTGGCCAAAAGCCACAGAAAGATCTTGTTCCTTCATCTCTTAAAAACTGTCATTTAACAAGAACAAAGTCTACTTAGACTGAGATTTTTTCTCATCAGAGTGAAGGTTTCAGAAGAGGTAGTAGTGCCGTATTAACACTTTGCATTTAAAGTCCCAAATCCCACATTTATTATGTTACAGAAGAGACAAAAACAACTAGATGATGTAGCATGTATTATTCAATTTTTAAAGTCCAGAGCAACTGCTTTAAAGGACACACCTCAAAAATACATACATTATTTATATTTCACTGACTATTTTATATTCTAATTGAAGTTACAAAGGGGAGATGGCAGTTGAAGAAATCTTATACTTTAAAATATACAGAGGCTTTTATTAAAATAAGTTCCAACATAGAAAATTACTTGACCAAAAGTGGATTACTATTTTCAAATGGAAAATAATCTTTATATAGAAGTCACATTCAAAATAGTAAAATTTATTTTCGAAGTAGATTCTCATTTTAAATTCCTTTAGATAAATAAGGGAATCTTTACTTACTTGAACTGTAAGACTTTACTGTACTCATTAAATCTTGTAATGACACTCACATCAATGAAAGGTTTGGGCTCTAAGAGGAAGAAAGAAAGCAAGAAAAACAGCAATCAAGCTTTATACATACTATGTCAAAATAATATCACAACTTTTATAAATAGGACATTTCTCAACTTAATTTTTGGTGTTTTTTTTTTTTACCTGAATCCAAAGCAATAGATTTTGGAGGGGCCACAGGATGAAATAAAACAGGGAACATTGTACCTGGTAACTGATTATCAACCTGGAAAAAAAAAAAAGAAAATGAACTTAGCAACATTTAAAATAAATTTAAACTTTTAGTTTCAGAGACAACATTACAGAAGATTCCACTAATTTCATCATAATTATCTGGATGTAGACATGATGCTATTAGAAGTTTCACTTTAAATCGAAAATTCTCATGTATCTCAGCAAGGGCAAGCTTTTATATAAAGGAATATATAAATATCTTCATAATTGCATTAACATTGTACAGCATGTACACCATTAGTGAAAATAACTGTACCTGTGGATCATGTGAGACTTCAACTCCCTATAAGTTAAATAAAATGTAAGTGGAGACTGGATATGAAATTAGAGTATAGGTAGAAAGAAGAAAATATAATAAAAATGTCCTAAATAGTATTTAACAGTTAAAAGGAAGAGAGGGAGGGAGGCAGAAAAGGAGCAAGCAAGTAAGCAGTCAAAAACATCACCCAATAAAGCCCTGCTCATTCCCATAAAGGATGACAAAAGAAAATCTTATTTTGGGATTCCATGACAAATTCAAGGAATATTTAAAAACAACAATTTCAGCGCAAAAAAACACTCTTGCAGGCTAACTGGTCAAATTAAATAGTTTCAACAGTCAGAAGGTCTTTAGACTTGGATGGTAAGTGTGTTGAATCCACAGGATACGTGGGAAAAGGGAAATACACAAACAAACAGAAAGATACCAATTACCATGTATGCTAGAACCTTGTAAGAACAACTTCATCCCCAAGATTCTCAAAGTGATTAGACAGATTTACCGAATTGAGGATGACAATGTTACCTGAAGCCAATACAATCTGGCCCTTAAACTTCTCTGGTGAGGAGACTGCTTAAACTCAATCTGAATTCCTGATAAAAAATCTCGCTTTATAGGGCACTGAAAAGGGAGGCGCATTTCCATTGGAACTTTATCAAAATTGACCTGGAAAAAAAGCACGTGTGTTTGTGATGAACTAGTATTAGCAGTGTAGCTCATTTTAAATATCCATTTACTCATAAATTAAAAGGGAAAAATATCTTAATCACCATGTCTTACAGAAGATCTTCCTTAAGATGATCTACAGTTGAGATCTTTGAAGCACAATCATTACTTTTGTACCAAATTTATGACAAAAACAAGAAAACATTTGGAGAACTTTTCAATTATATAAACTGTACTTAAAGAAACCAAACTTTGTATTTTTTAAAAACCTCAACAGTAATGGATGATTCTAGGTAATTCTTAAATTTTGTTTTAATAAAGTTAATAAATAGTTAACAGCTTATTTATGTCTGACACTAATTGTATAGTTTGCTGCTTTTTTTCCATTTGAGCATGGCCAACATTTATAGGGGTAGGATTGAGGGTGGGGAGCATATCTGGAGAGCAATGTAAACTCAGCCATCAGATATCAAAGACAAAAAGTAAACAATACTATATGCCTGAACCAGAGCAAGCTGGAAACTGCAGTCAGGCTTCTAGGGTCTTCTTGGAGCAAAAGCGACTTTCAGTTCCAACACTGTAAGGACCTGGGTAGAGTACACCTTTGTTTGCTGACATCTACTCATGTCCAACAATCATTCACATTTAATGAATTTAACTGAGTAGGTTTTCTAAATAGGTTTCTCATCACTGAAATATGTAATTTTGCACAGCCTTTAGTTAGCAATATATATTGGTATCATTCAAAACGGGAGAAAAAGTTTCAATGAGCAATCTTAATTTCTCTATAATCTTACTGAAAACAAAACAACTTCCATGAAACTATCTGTCTATAAAAATACAGAAGAGAAACATATTTAAATCGTGTTTCATTATATAAGATTTAATAACAACATATTTTAATTAAAAATGTAGTAATAAATATTATCAGTCATGCCAATCCTACTAAGAGTTTATTTACTAATAAATAAGTTAGTTCCTGCACACACTTTTTTTTTTCTTCATCTTCTCCCCAAAGCCCCCCAGTACATAGTTATCTATTCTAGTCATGAGTGTCTCTGGTTGTGCCATGTGGGAGGCTGCCTCAGCATGGCCTAATGAGCGGTGCCATGTCTGCACCAGGATCCGAACAGGTGAACAGGGGCCACAGGGCCGGCCCCCTTACACACACATTTTTACCTGGACAGTAAATTTTACTTATTTACTGCTACCACCACCACCAAAATACATATATAAAAACCAAAACAAAAAAATTTTGGTATACCTCAAAATTATTGTCTAGTTTAATCCAGCCATGGCCTCTTGATTCTTGATATTTCTTATAGGACTGTTCCAACAAGATTATCTGCTTTTGACTAAAAGGCTTCCATTTCCGTTTTGGCTTCATTTCCCAAATAACACCAGAACTAAAATAATTCACAAAGAAAATTAAATTAGGAATATGTACTTAGGTTTGTGGAACTGTAATTCAACTCCAGATTATTGCAACTATCAATCTCCTATGAAAATTATATTTATAAGGTATAAGAGATTTTTTAAACCCAAAATATACCTGTGTTACAAAAGTACATAAGGGAAAGGAGCAGGGAAAATGTTTTTCTATCACACATTGACATCAATTAATTAAGGGATTGGCAAACATTTTTAGTGAGGGGCCATTTTGTAAATATTTTAGGCTTTGTGGGCTGAGACAAAATCGAGGTTATTATGTAGGTACTTAAAGAATAAGAGAAAAAAAGACTTTCACGGATTTTTTTTAACTGATGAAATTCAAAATACAAAAACGACAATAGAGTATAATTTTTAAAAACACAAGTTCATTAATGAGAAAAATATACTTTTTAAATTTTTTATTATGTTTTTATTGAGGTATAACTGACATTCCTTTCAGGCATACAACGTGATTTAATATTTATATATATTGTAAAATGATCACCACAATAAGTCTAGTTAAGATCTGTCACTATACATAATTACAAAAAGAAATTTTTTTTACACTTCTTTTGTGGGGGTGACAACTTTTCACTTAATTAGGGCTTAAAGTTAGTGTTCTGTATTATCAAAATCTATTGCAAATGTTCATTTGTTAATGCTGATCTGTAATGAGTATCTTTAAAAATGTCCTTTCACATAGATAGGTACTGCCAAATACTGATATCGATCTATGAGAATATTATTTTAATTGAGCATACGTATTGCTTGAAATGCATTTATAAAATTCTATTTTCTATTAGAAAGCTCTAAATTTAAAATTTGATTTCCTACTCTTTTAGATTCTTCTCTTGATAGTTGCCTATTAGCAAGTCAATGCATTAAGATCAATCACTCCCAAATTGAAGTTTAGGCAGAAGCTCTTCCATTAAGCAGTCAAATGGATTTTGAAATGTGGAAATTTCCTTTGCATTTGCATTGAGGATAGAAAAACTATCGCTGGAACTGTAGCTGTGGGTCATAAAATATATGTGCTCCAAACTTGTGTGGGGATGGAGCTCTTACTTCTTGTTTTGACTTTGGACAGTACAGAAGTATACAAAACAGCCTGACATTACTTGTGATTCAAACGTTAGTTGTCGAAATGACTTTACTGCAGTATATGTTTCACAATTAAGCACTATTTTTGTCTTCTACTTTTAGGTTGAATTCATTATCAATTCTACAGCAAAAGCAAATTTCCAAAGCCATTCAGTGTTCAATAATAGTGGTTGAGGGTGGTTCTTTTCATTCAGAAGAATTTTCATCTTGGCCAGAAACTCAAAACGAGTACAATGAAGAGTATCACTGTTTAAGTCATCAAACGGGTGTATGGTAAGACAAGTCAGGACACTGTTTCCATTTCTGACAAAAATTCACAGAACTAATGATGGTTAAGTCCGCAAGAGTGAATGAAGGTCACTATTTGACACTACTGGTTTGATAACAAACGATTGATCCAAATATTTTCCACAAAGTATCTGCTGAGAACAATAAAATGAATAACTGCAGGCTTTAAACATTACATTACGACGAGCTTTGTGAATTTGTCCAATTACGTCTTTTTCTGCTCCACACATCTTCTTCCCGTCATCAGCTGTAATGTATCTTAGAAGATTCCACTTGAGGTTGTACTGAATTAGTATTTCTTCAACTTGTTTGAAAATATTCTCACCGTAGTTGTTCTATGCCATTCATAGAGGTTAATTCTTTAGTAACTTCAAACTCAGCAGCGGCTTCTCAAATGTACAACAACTTAGTATTGGTAACATTTGTTGACTCATCAAGAGCCAAAGAAAACCACTCAAAATCATTTGCCTTGTTTTTTAATTGACTACTGATGTTGCTCTGAATGTCCTCAATTCTTCAAGCAACTGTTCTCACCAAAAGGCTAATGGTCCCAAGTTTATTATCTCTGGATACCTTTCTTTAGCTGCTACCATCAGGCATGATTCAATTAACTCACCATTGGTAAAAGGCTCTCCTTGCTTGGCTAACAAATGATTCACTCAGAAACTAACTTTGGTTGAAGCTTCATTTTTGGTTTTTTATTTTTGTAAAGGCATTCTTCTGTGATGAGATATTTTGTCTTAAATTTTTTAATTTTTCTGCCCATTGCTGTCCTGTGAGTTGGGCATACTGTGATGTGTGCTTAGTTTGGAAATGTCAATATACATCTTATTCGGGGCTGGCCCTGTGGCCGAGTGGTTAAGTTGGTGCGCTCCGCTGCAGGCGGCCCAGTGTTTCGTTGGTTCGGATCCTGGGCGCGGACATGGCACTGCTCATCAAACCACGCTGAGGCAGCGTCCCACATGCCACAACTAGAAGGACCCACAACGAACAATATACAACTATGTACCGGGGGGGCTTTGGGGAGAAAAAGGAAAGAATAAAATCTTTAAAAGAAAAAAAATACATCTTATTCTTTTAGCATAGGAATAGTGTCCTTACATAATAAAATAATGCTTTGCCATTTCATTTGATAACTGTGCCCTATAAGAGACACATTCAAAGTCCACTTTTCTCTTCTTGTTTTGACAAGTATGCATTAGTAATAAAAACTAAAAGTTGCAGTATAGCTATACGTGTGGCACTCAAAGACTCTCAAGTTACAAATACATCACTGTCATCTGTTGTTCACTAAGCAATGGTGCAAAAGCAGCCACGGACATCTAAAAGAAATAGCAAGGCTGTGTTCTAATAAAACTTTACTTATGGGCAATAAACTTCGAATTTCATATAGTTTTCATGTTTTACAAAGCACTATTTTTCTTTTGATTTTTTTCAACCATTTAAAAATGTGAAAAATCATTCTTAGATCAAGGGCTGTAGAAAAACAGGCAATGGCCTAGATTTGACTCATGGGCTATACTCTGCTGATCCCTGATTAGAGAATACCGTTTCATAAGGATAGAATGTAACTCCGTAATATTTTAATTTACACAGCTTTTTGATATTAGTCAATGACCATGTTACCAATGTCCTCACTACATAATTGTTTATGTGACATCAGTCAATGAAGGTAATGAATAACATGTCTACTATAAATTATATAAATCCAACACCAATTCATGATAAAAACTCTTCAGCAAACTAGGAAGAGAGGGGAACTTCCTCAACCTGATAAAGAACATCTACAAAAAACCTATAGTTAATATCATACTTAATGGTGAGAAGCTAGATGCTTTCTTGCTAAGATCAGGAACAAAGCAAGGACCTCCACTCTTACCACTCCTATTCAACATTGTACAGGAAATATTAGATAATGCAATAAGAAAATAAAATAAAAGGTACACAGACTGGAAAAAAGAAATAAAGTTGTGTTCTCAGATAATATGAATGTCTATGTAGAAAATCCCAAAGAATCAACCAAAAAAATCCTGCAACTGGTAAGTTTCACGACACAAGGTTAATATAGAAAAGTCAATTGCTTTCTTTTATACCAACCATGAACAACTGGAATTTAACATTAAAAACACAATGGGGCCGGCCCAGTGGTATAGTGATTAAGCTCACATACTCCACTTCAGCAGCCTGGGGTTCACAGGTTCAGATCCTGAGTGCAGACCTAGCACTGCTCATCAAGCCACACTGTGGCAGCACCCCACATAATAGAGGAAGACTGGCACAGATGTTAGCTCAGTGACAATCTTCCTTAAGCAAAAAGAGGAAGACTGGCAACAGATGTTAGCTCTGGGCCGAGCTTCCTCACAAAAAAACACCCAATAATATTTACATTAGCACCAAAGAAATGAAATACTTAGGTATAAACAAAACCTAACAAATTTGTACAAGATCTATATGAGGAAAACTACAAAAGTTGGATGAAAGAGATCAAAGATCTAAATAAACAGAAATATGCACGCACATAGATATGAAGACCAAACACTGTCAAGACAGCAGTTCTTCCCAAGTTGATCTATACATCTGACGCAATCTCAAGTAAAATCTCAGCTAACTATTTTGTGGATATTGACAAACTGATTCTAAAGTTTATATGGAAAGGAAAAAGACTCAAAATAGCCAACACAACATTGAAGGAGAAAGAAGTTGGAGGACTGGCACTACTTTAAGATTACTATAAAACTACAGAAATCAAGATAATGTGGTATTGGTGAAAGAACAACAAACAGATCAAGAGAACAGAATTGAGAGTTCGGAAATAGACCCAAACAAATATAGTCAACTGACCTTTGAAAGGAGCAAAGGCAGTCAATGGAGAAAGGACAGTCTTTTCAACAAATGGTAATGGAACAGCTAGACAGTCACAAACAAACAAAAAAAAAAGAATCTAGACACAGAGCTTACACATTTCACAAAAATTAACTCAAAAGGGACTATAGACCTAAATATCAAACACAAAACTATAAAATCCTCAAAGATAACATAGGAGAAAATCTAAGTGACTTTGAGTTTGGTGATGACTTTTAAGATACAACCTCAAAAGCACAATACATGAAAGAAAAAATTGATACTGGACTTCATTAAAATTAAAAACTTCTCTGAGAAAGACACTGCTAAAAGAATGAAAAGACGAGTCACAGACTGGAAGAAAATATTTGCAAAGCACATATTTGACAAAAGACTGGTATTCAAAAATATACAAATAACTCTTAAAATTCAACTATAAGAAAATGAAAAATTAAAAATGGGAAAAGATCTGAACCTCACCAAAGAAGATATTCAGATGGCAAATAAACGTAAGAAAAGATGCTCAACATCATAAGTAATTAGGGAATTGCAAACTAAAACAACGATCTAACTACTACATGCCTATTAGAGTAGGCAAAATCTTGAACACTGACAACACCAAATGCTGGCAAGGATGTGGAACAGCAGGAACTCTCATTCCTTCCTGTTGGGAATACAAAACGGTGCAGCCACTTTGAAAGATAACTTGGCAGTTTCTTACAAAACTAAACAAACTCTTACCATATGATCCAATAATCACATTCCTTGATGTTTACCCAAATGAACTGAAAACTTATGTCTATACAAACCTTGTACATGGATGTTTATAGCAGCTTTATTCATAACTGCCCAAACTTGGAAGCAACCAAGATGTCCTTCAATAGGTGAACAGATAAATAAACTGTGTTACATCCAGAACATAGAATATTATTCAGTGAAAAAAAGAAGTAAGTTATCAAGCCACAAAAAGACATGAGGGACCTTAAAAGGACATTGCTAAGTGAAAGAAATCTATTTGAAAAGGCTATACGCTGCGTAATTCCAATGATATGACATGCTGGAAAAGGCAAAACTTTGGAGACAGTAAAAAGATCAATGGTGTTCAAGGGAAGGGAGGGAGGGATGAATAGGCAGAACATAGGTGATTTTTAGGGTAGTAAACTATTCTGTATGACACTGTAATGGTGGATATATGTTACTATACATTTGTCAAAAGCCATAGAATTTACAAAGAGTGAACTCTAATGTAAAGAACATAAACAATGGAGTTTAGAAAATAATAACATATCAATATTTGCTCATCAGTAGTAACAAACGTGCCACACTATTGAAAGATGCTAATAACAGGGGAAACATGGGAGGGGTATATGGAAACTGTACTTTACACTCAATTTTTCTGTAGACCTAAAACTGCTCAAAAAAATTAAAGCCTATTTTAAAAAACTATGTAACTGACTTATTTTCCTTGGGACACGTCCTTACTGAATGAGTACTGATTGTGTAGTGTGTCAGAAAAAAGGTAATCATGTTCTTTTAGATGAATTTTTTAACGTCCTAATAAATAAACGCCAATCTGATAAAATATATCATATATAATATTAAAGTAAAAATAAGTTATATCAAAGAACAAGAGAGTGGAGAAACCCGGATTTATATGACTTAAAAATGATCTTCATATTTAGTTTCAAAAATACTATACGATACTGAAATGTATAACCAAAAGAATATATTATTCATATATACATAAATGTATTAACATTATATTAATGGAATGTATAATATCATTTATAGAACCTGTAATCTGTTAGGTGTTATGCAAAGGGCATTACATACCTGATCTTTTTCTTTACTTAACTTTTTATTTTACTAAACACATGCTTATGGATAGATCTATGCTAGCTGTACATGGTAACAACCATTCCACCCATCAGCCTTCAAAAAAGAATGAGTCTTTTACCCGTTAGTGTGATTAAAAAAAACAAAATAGGGGCCAGCCTGTGGCCGAGTGGTTAAAGCTCTGCATGCTCCACTTTGGCCTCCAGGGTTTGTGGGTTCGGATCCCAGGCTTGGACCTACTCCACTCATCAGCCATGCTGTGGAGGCATCCCACATACAAAAAACAGAGGAAGACTGGAACAGATGTTAGCTCAGGGCTAAACTTCCTCAAGCAAAAAAAGAGGAAGATTGGCAATGGACGTTAGCTCAGGGAGAATCTTCTTCACCAAAAAAACCCAAAAAACAAAAATAAATAAATTCAAATATTTTTCTTACACAGATATAAGCAGAACCAGAGAAAATAACTGGTCCCATCACTATTAAAAAGTTCTAAATAAACACCCACTAAAGATTATGTAGCCATGTCAAATATTGCCTCCTCGATGAAAATTTTTTTCCCATTTATCTGACTCATTGTCAGCTTCCCGAGCCACGCCAGCTCCTCCAGTCTCTGCTGCACAGAACAGATAGCTGCTTCTACCTTTGTCTTTCCACTCACATGTAAATACTTTGTATCATTTCTCAGTGTTTTTATTACTCATTTTAAAAAATACATACAAACAACAAAGAAAGAACCAAACCTCTTTCTTCCCCACTGACTGAAAATGAGAATTGTAAGAGCAAAGACATTATATTATCTTAGTCATCTTTCTATTTTAGGGGCTTTTCAACTAGCAGTGAAAACAACTATTCAGTAAGTTGTGCTGAAAGAATGTACAGTATATCAAAATCAGAACAGCTATCTGTTTACTCTCATCAAATCTGATATTATGAACTCAACGTCTTTTAAAGATTTCTGATGCCTTATCTTCCTTCTTCCATACCTGGTTATGCCAATATATGAAACTTCCTGCTTGTTTTCATTGTTAACCAGTGAAAGTCCCAGACTGTGAAGAGAAAAGGTTATCTCATGATTGGCCTGCTCCATTTCTTCTGCTTGCAGTGCTTTGGAAACCAGGGCCACATCATCAGTGAAAAGCAAAACTCTCTGGCGCCCATCCAGGAATGATACCCAGTGTATCTGGATGTTTGCGTCATATGCAAACTGTCCACATTCATCCTGGGGAAAAGAGAGACTTTATATTAAACTCACAATCAGTAAGTTTTTATTACATAAAGTTGAACTACACCGAGAACATTTAAAAAGCATGACTATAAATTAGAAAACTCTAGCCATCAAAATGATATAAATTAAAGTTATAATCTATTTTAAAACATACTCACCAATTTTTTCAAGCAAGAACAAAGATTAATAGTGCTTAATTTTTTTTTTTTTTACCTTAGTTTGAGTTACCTAGTTAGTGCTCAAAGGGCACCCAGCAAGAACAAGAGTATCCTTTAACCACACCAATGCCATAAAATGCCTACTTGTCCAAAATGGAGAACAGAATGCTTTAGAAGTTTATTAGAAGAGTAACGTCAAGCAAAACTAACATAGTTTATTTTTATGTTCTAATAATTTATAACATTGCAAATATTTACATAAATCACATCGTTAAATAATGAAAGTATGGTGATCAGTTTGTACTAAGTTTCACTAAGAATAGCCTTTGCGGCTGAAGGTCTCAAATAGCACTTAAAAATATGAGGCTTGATTTGGTGTTTTCAGAGATGAAAATGATGATTCCTCGTTGTTCTGGGCTTAAGATAAATATAACAACAGTTCATTCCAACAGGCAGTACAAGTACCTACTATGTGCTTTTCATCTTACGCTTTCTTGAAAAAACCCCAAAAAACAAATAAAGGATTTACCATGAGCATAGGAATAGTTGAGTTTTGTCGTTGTTTAAAATTTACCTATTGCTTTTCCTTAATCTGTTGCTTTTAACATGTGTCAAAGTAGCCTATCCTTCTTTTTTTTACTCTATTAAGTGATCAAATTTAGTAAATAGTTCAGATACCTATTAACAAGGTGAATTCTCTCTTTGTAAAGCACAAAATTTGATACGTATCTTGGTTCTATCTTAGTTATTATTCAAATACTCTCTAATCCTATTTATTTTTTATCTATTTGATCTGTTAAAAATTAAATGAGGTGTGTTAAAATATCCTGAGGTAACTGTGTTTCAACTGACCTCGAGCCTTTTAAACTACATATTTTGACACAGTGTTACTCGTTGCATGAAAGTTTATGGCTATCATGCCTTCTTTGTCATATTACCATACTCTATTTAATGGTTTTTGCTTTGAATTACAGTTGTTCAGAAATTAAAATCAACAACTTTGCTTTCTTTTTACTTCTGTTTGCCTGTTAAATCTTTACCATCTCTTCATGCTTGTAACTTTCTGTGTTAGTTTGGTTAAGATAGATCTCTTGTAAGTAGCATATAGTTAGATGGTATTTTTTAAGTTAATCTGAGTGTTTTTTGTCCTTTAATTGGAGAATTTAAACCATTTTCATTTACTGACATAACTGGTGGGAAGCATGGTCCATGGACGGTAAAGTCAGACAGACCCGTTTTTGAATTCTAACGAGCAGTTCTAAGTTCAATCATAAGAACTAGTGATAATATATGAAAAGCATTAACACATGACATACACTCAATGAAAGGTACTTGTCACTTATTATATACTTCATTAGGTTTCCTTCTTTTACTGTAAGGTCAAGATTTTCTTTATTTTCATTTTCTCAATTCTTTTAAAATTCTTTTATCACTGATTTTAGTTCTACTAATTAACAGCTTTTTAAAAAATCATAATCTTTAATCTATATTTCTCTAATTAAAACTTAAGATTAAATGGTGTAAGTATCATATACAAAGAATATATCGTTCCCCCACTCCCCTGTCACTTTGTTCTCTCTTTAACCACGCTTTCTCCTATTTCATAGTTGTCACATCTTTATAACTTAGGTGAGGATGCCAGGCATACATTTTGAAAATTTTCTTCTGGTCCACCTATAGTATAAAATTTTTCAGAGGTATAATCACCCTTCTGAATCTACAGGATAAGGCTACATTTTTCTCCTGAAGTATTTTTTTCAGATACCCCATGTTGTTTTTTTCCTGTTTATTCAAACTTAATGAGGAAAGATCTGTTCAGACCTAGTGTTTGTTAGTAATATATGGATTTTCTTTGAACTCCCTTGTCAAGTCCACCTGGGTTGAGCAGAACTCCCTTCTCAGATCAACTTAGTCAACAAGGAAATGGGCAACTGCCTTACTTCTAGCTCAGTTTTCATAACCTGGCAGATCATCCCGCTGACGGAGGTGCAATTACCTACTCACCCTACTGCCTGGTTCTCTAACACTAAATGGAAGAAAAACATTAAAACCTGCAAGTCCCTGCATACACTATTAACATGATTCTTTCTGAATCTGCCTCAATATACAGACCTTAATTGCCTCCTCCAGGATGTCATTCCCACTCTCTCTCTCTCGTGTCTGTGTACTACTTTCTGGGAGCTGTGGTTGCTGAGTAGGATTAAATGTGAGGAGAGGGGAAATAATACCAGCATAGTGCAGGGACCCCCGGTAGAACTCCTGTTGCTCTGTGCCAGGGAGCTAATAGCGACAGGGAATGTAAGCCTCTTACAAACTCTGAGGGTTTCTCTATTGCAAAAAGCAAAGCACAAGTAAGCCAACAGAGCTCCATCGAATTATTATGGTGAAGATCACTCCAAGAATCTCATAACAGAGAACTATCAATCTGGTGTTTCAAAAGTGGTTAAGTCTTTATCTCTTTTATGGGTATTTCAGAGGGAATATAGGAAATGATAATTAAGTCACCGTTGGCCAATTACCATTTTAAGGCAAAAGTCAAGAAAGCTTTTTTAACAACTGGCATTATCAGACAATTGAATATCATACTGTATGAACTTCTCATGACAGAATATATTTCTATAGAAATTAGATGATCTATCACAATGCAGGAGCAATTCCTATATTAGAGGGAGGCTAGTAGATGAATTCTTAAGCCCTTCCCAAAGTCTAAGAAATAATATATCTGATTAATTTAGCTACCTAAATATTGTTTAAATAAATATTTCATTAAATTTCTTAAACTGGATAATTTGCATACTGCCAGACTCCTTTAATTAACAAAACACATGGCCTTGATGGGGAAAATGTCTAAAAACCTCACAGCCAACAGTGGTATACATATGTCCAAAATAAAGTTGTTTTTCACTTAGCCTTAAAATTCCTTCCTTTTAAAAAAAGGTAAATAAAAAAGTACTTTACTGGTCTTTATGGTCAATATGAAGCAGGTCTATATTTCACATTGTAAATATATTATTCTGACTGATCTACGATAAAATATTGGTATGAACTACCTGCAATCTAAAGGCCAAAAGTAATTTATTTTGAAAATACTTCCAATTCATTGTTAGTTCAGTGAGGACAAAGACGTCTGTGTGAAGCTAGCCTGTCTACTTCCTTTGCCATCAGGCCATCATACAACACTCATTCACATCAAATAATACCTTTAACAGATCGTGTTCCCCAACATTTGCTGCATATTTCCATGTCAATTTTCTGGTACCAGTAGGATCTGCCCAGGCAAAAAGTCGAGCTTGTCTTGGCTGTAATTCTACTTCTTCCTGTGACCCACTGAAACACAACCGACAGAGGGAAGATGAAAATATCTTGGCCTTGAGCAACCCAGACCTGTGGTTTACTGAGGAGGAGACGGGTATAAAAATATTGTAAAATTGCATTTGTTAATAAAACACAACTCTACCTAAAAATAAATACCCTAAAATGTCCAATAAGCTAATGGTTTTGAAGCTTGAGGGAACAGAATATTGTCCTTTCTGAAGTTGCAGTGTACTCTGAATTGATCCAGACAAGATCAGACCAGTGAAATTAATTAAGGGTCCACTTAATTACCACTTAAGGCTGGTAAGAGTGCACTGTAGAAACGGTTGTGAACAGTAAATTCTTTAGTAGCAGAAGAACTTCACTCAGTGCTTAAATTTAAGCTTTTTAATCAAATGCAATACATAAGAAATATGAGTCTCAGAAAAAAACACCAAAAATTGGATCCATATCATTGCTACTCAAAGTGCGGTCTGTGGACCAGCAACATCAGCATTACTTAGGGGCTTGCTGGAAATGCAAAATCCTGGGCCCCACCTAAAATCTACTCAATCAGAATCTGCATTTTAACAAGATTTCCAGGAGATCTTAAAATAGATCATTAAAGTTTAAGAAGTATTGGTCCATATAATACAAAACACTTTCCAGAGAACTTAAAAAAAAAAGTAACCCAATTAGGTTTCAATCCCAATCTGTGCTTTTAAAGTTATTTATATATATAGAATTATTTATTTAAAATAACATCTTACAGATTTATAATAATTCTTTGAAATATACAATATTACATATTTTAAGGGTCTAAAATTATCTGTTATATCATTAAATAATGGCATCATCCAAGCCAAATGACAGCACAGGCAAACACAACGAAATTCCTATCATCCTGTCCTATACATTCAACACCACCATCTACTCCGTGTCCTCTCATTTAATCTTCTACTATCCCTACCAAAAAAAAAAACTAGATATAGATTTATAGGAAGAGGTTCACCAAGCATTATCAGATTACAAAAGAAAGACAATGCTTAAACAGGTTCACAATTCCATATATGCAATACTGAAATTTAAAAGCTCCAAAAGTCCAAACATTTTTCTGTAAGTCTGGTGTCAAAGGTCATTTGGCAGCAAAACCTGATCTGAACTGATGTGAGACTACTAATAATTTTTATTTATCCCACCTACTATGAATATTCATGTTTTGCTACAAAAATATTAACGTGTTTGACTAGAGTATTATCTCAAAACCTGCTGAGGGTATTAGTAATAACAGCATGTGTTCCATATTACCTTTCTGAAATTGGAACGTGAAACACTTCTAGCCCCAAGTGTTTCCTAGAAGGGATTGTGGGTCAGTAAAAGCAAATCAGACTTTCCATGAACACTTTTTTTTCATACCTCTGTTTATATGTGAGGATGCCGCATGGTGTGTGGTTCATTATCAGAGCAGGTGCAGATCCCTCATGGTAATCAGAAAAGGTTATGACAGTGGAATGTTCAGCAGTGTTTACATCCACCAAGATACCCCCGTTCTATTGTAGGGAAAAAAAAGCATGTTTGAGGTACTGGTTTAACCTGACCTTACATTTGGAATTTCAATAAATTATGTAGACAGAAAAAGTTTGTTTTCTTACGTTCTTGCTGAAAAGCACATGGGCTCTGATCTCTTACAAATATATACATGGCACTATATATTGATATATTAGCACCTTCAAATAAGTACCAGTAGATTTTATAGCATGTTTTAATAAAGCAAATTTTAAAAATCAAAGACATTTTATTTTAAAACATGAAAACTTACCAGATCTTCTAAACTCAGTAAAGTGCCATTATCCTGTCGGTTATAAAAGAATGGTTTGGAAGATCCCTCACAGCCCACCACTCGCACACAAAGTTTGCCTGACAAATTTTCAGGCCAAAATGGAAGGCACTGAAAATAGAAAAGTTAACAATCAGTCTTAAAACAATACTGTAGTATAAATAAGACAGTGGCTAATTAAGTTTTCAATTCTAAAACTGATCATGAGCCATTTATTACTAGGTTTCTTAAAATATTCCCTCCACATCTCATACTAAGTTTACTGACATTATAATGACTATTTATGAAATCAAAGAAACTCAATCAGAAGAATATAGATATTAGTCTATATGTACTTATGGAATAATTACAGTATGAGAAACTGAAGAACTTATTACGAAAGCCTCAAATATCTTGAATGTTTAAAGACTATAATCTTAATAACATTTGCTTTTATGTACATCCCATTTTAATTCCTTAATACACTATGAATTATTTCACATAGTATCTTATCCTAGGTAACCAGAAAGACAATTGAAGGCAGAGGAGAGAACACCACAGATGTTGCTGGAAGTCCTGACGCTATCTTCCTAAGCTGTTTAATCTTCAATCATATATCTCTTTGAGCCTCAGTTTTCTTACCTGTAAAACTGAGATTTTAGTTCTTAATAAAATATAAAATGTCCCTCTGTTATAGAATATTGGGTAAATTCCATTTCTGAACAAAAATACTAGTGTTATCAGACCCACATCAAAGACAAGAAGATAATGAGCATTTATTTGTTGTCAAGTCTACAGAGATCATTCTAAATGCCTTGGAAAGCCCATGACTCTTAGAACTTTAAATTTGTCTGTATTGTAATTGGAATCCTTCCTCTTAAGCATCTTGCTAAGTATTTTTAGAAATAATTTTAGAATCTTTTTTTTTTTGAGACATATAGAAGAATGATTCTATCCTTAAGGTCAGCTGGTTTGGTTGAAAACTCATGCAAAGGCAACCACTAACGCTATTTGCCTTTGCACATGTCCTCTCCCCTCCTTTCCTTCATTCTCTTCATCTTCTCAAATCTTACTGAAGTTTAGTTCAAATCCCACCACTTCTACGAAACTTTCCCTTTTAATCTAGACCACAATGATCTCAACTTCCAAGACTTTACCGACCTTAGAAAAGTATGAGATTCAATTTTCTTCTCCATAAAGTGAAGGGTTGAATTTTAATCAATTATCAAGAAAACTTCCAGCTCATCTATTCAGAAAGTCTACAACTACCTATAACGGCACACATTATCTTTTTCTCCATGTGTTAATTTATCCAAGTCTTAAGCCCTCCAAGATTATATGCTCCTTGAATACAGAGATATTATCTTGCCTACTCAGACAATACATAGTATATTATCTTTATGTACTTTTCACAGTACATATCCACATTCTATACATATATGAAGAACCAGAAAATGAGTGTTAACTGTCTAGACTGGGCTAGTGGTAAATATTTATCAACAATTTTGTTCTTTTTTTAACACATGCTTACAATGCAAAAGAAAAGTCCTTCAAAGTTGGCTGTCATATTTTAACACACAAATATGGTTGCAAAGGAAGTAGGACAAAGAGATAAGTACGTGCAACTCTTATTTATATGTCTATATTTATTTGTACATTTTAGGAGCCAGTTGTAGGAAAGGAAAATTTTACCTCTGAGGAAGCAATATAGTTCCACTTATTAGTTGGCATTGAACCATCAGATGCAATTTCACCAACTTCTAGTTCTAACGATGACTTGTTTGCAATGGTACAAAAGGGAGTCAGAGTAACTATTCGAGTAAGATTGAAACTGCTCATTTTGATGCTAACACCAACCTTTGGAAAGGAAACAAACTTATCATTTCCTAGTACTTTACACAGGCTCTCTGAAATATACACACACATACCCCATTCATAAACAGATTTCTTAAAATATTTTAAAATAAGATTTCTTAAATAAATTACTATAAGCCATATTTCACTAGTGATGATCTTCTAAGAAAAAAGTTTTGGTTATTTAGTTTGGCTGCACCAGAAATCAATTCAAGAATTATCAATCAGTAATTTAACTAATGATAACTTATAATAACAGGTTTAATTTATTTGTATTCTTTACTTTTTAACATTTCAAACATAGATTGTTTTATAATTAGTACAGAGGTTCAGGTTTTGCTGCTTTCCTCTTCTCTGCTGTTAACAAAATAAGATAAAAATTTCAAAGTGGTAATAAAACAGGCAAACTGGCATCAGATTATTCACATTTTCACCATCAGATTTAAGAAACATTTGGCAGAGTCGTACGGAATGAGGATTCTAGTATACACTAATATTTATCAAGTTGCTTACTTGGATGGATTTACCTCACCATCTTAAACTTTGATAGATTCATGTTTCACTTTGCTACTAATGGCCATAGAAATTTGTAAAGAGATAACAGTTGTTCACATAATACTTTGAATTCAAATTTCTGTACCCCTTAGGATCTAGCTAGTTTACTGAACTGAAAAAAATATGAATGAAGTCAAATGTAAAGAAGCAAGCAGAATCTTACCAGGTATTCCATATTGTTGGCAGGACACTTCACACACCCATAACTTCCCACTGTATCCAATGAAAAACTACTGGACCAGGCACTAGTTGAAATTTTTAATTGTACCTACACCAGAGAACACATACCATCATATAAGAAACCTAAAAGGCTATATTAATTTTATTTGATGGAAAGTTGCTAGACAACTAGAAGTTTATTTAGTATCATGGGACAAAGAAAAATACAATCAAAATCATACTGCAAATGGGTAACAGAACCACAGAAACTCTAGGGCCAATACAATCAAAGCAGAACTCTGATGTTTCCATTCACCCATACAATGAATACAGTGATTTTAAAGATCTATACCAATAAGATCCTCTGCTGTTTTAAAAAGATTTATATTATAAAATGATATTTTCCAGTGTTAGACTTATGATATTAAGCTAACAAATTCTTAAAGTTTTAGCATATAAATTTATGCCTTTACAATTATTCAGCAAATGTTAAATGAAAGGCATTGTGATAAGCAGAATGGAAGACAACAGAACACAGTTCCTGTCTTCAATGAGCTTCCAACTAAACACAGAGAAAGGAAATACATACTAATAATTATGATGCAAGACTCAATGTGATCAGAGCCATAGAACAGGTACAAAATGCTATGAAGGTGAGAGAGTAAAAAGTTTACTTCTGGCTATGGGATTTAGATAAAGTTTTAGAGCAGAGACCTAACTGTGCTCCTGTATTAACCTCCGCCCACCCAACTACATTATAAAAAAGCCTTAGGATAACCAGAGGTCAGACACATAAACAGGTAATTACAATACCATGTATTAATCAACACTCTAAGACAGTGGTTCTCAAAGTGTGGTTCCTGGACCAGTACCATCAGCCTCACCAGGAAAACTGTTAGAAACGCAAATTCTCAGACTCTACCCAGACCTATTGAATCAAACTATAGGGGTACAACCAACAATCTGTTTTAAAAGCCCTCTAGGTGATTCCAATGCACACTGAAATTTGAGAACCACTGCTCTAAGAGAACATGGATGTGATATCTAGCCCTACTTTAGAGGGTTGAAAATCCTTCACACGTCAGGCCTAAGCAGAATGCCAAAGGATGAACAGCAGATAACCAGAAACAATGTGGCAGACAGGGAAAGAGTAGGGGAAGAGGATGCACCATATACAAAGGCCTAGAGGTCAGTACTTGGGAAAGCGCATGGCAAGTAGTATCAAGACATGAGTCTGAAAAGGAAAGAAGGTACCAGAGTATCAAGGACTAGGCCCAAGCTTTAGGTTTCTCTCTCAAAGGCCTGGCTTAGAGCTTCAGACACAGGCGGGTTCAGTTAACATAAGCCAAATTCAACTGTTCCCTCTTTTGAAATGCCATTTAGTCACTGGCAAACCACATAAAATCAAGCTTTCAACCTAACAGTACTTCAAGAACAGAATTAATTCTAGGGGCACTGGAGGAAAGAGTAACTCAGCCTCAAGAAACTGTTGTTAGTTCCTAAGATCCCACTTGATTACATATGCCTTAGAAGTCTTCTTGGACCTAATTTATACCAATGGCACTCAGCAAATAGGTAAGCATGGTTTTAGGGAAGGCTAATGACTCTAGAGTTTCCAGATTATGAATTTCTCTACTTTAACTAGTTATATCAACAAAAACATACCTTATTTTTACTAAAAATGTTCTTCTTCTTGAAAGAGAATAAAATAATATCCCTGAAATCAGCTGGATGTTTCACATGAATATCTTCTGAACGATACTGGAGAACCCGAGAAGTCTTGTTGATTAGCCAATAGGGACTAAAGACAGACAGCACCATCCGGCTGCCAATTCGCCTGACATGTACTGACAGGTCGAGTGTCATTACTTCTGTAGAGTCAGAAGAAAAACACACAAGAAAGAACTCGGGAAGTGTGTCACATATACGGAAATGTCCATTCCAATTTTTACCCTGATATTTCATCAGAACTAATTCCATTATTTCTCCACTGATTCTCGAATGCAGAACATCAGCAGCACTGCCTTCCGCTAGCTCATGAGTTTCTGCTGTTCCCTAAAAACAAACAAACAGAAACTAAATTTGCTTAGTGATTTTTTAAAAACATCTGCAATAGCAATATGGATATTTCATATAAATGTTAAATAACCTACCAGATTCAGATTAATTGATAAGTCTTCAATGAAGTACTATGAAGCATACTACATATTATGAATGTCCAATAATCACTAAGGACTAAAAAGAAAACACTGTATCACAGCCACAGGCAGAAATTGCCTTTTGGCCATTAGTAGGCCCATGGCTGTAAGTTTTGAGAAAAAGTCAGATCTGTGCCAAGAATCAAAGGGCTGCATTCAGGGACCCTGGCTGTTGTCTATTAACAGCTATGTCATTAAATGAGCCACATAATTACCTGGGCTTCAGCTTCATCCTCTATTCACATACTATGCCTAATGGTGCCCATATATAGAATAAGGAAGTGATATTAAACTATTCCGATACACTATCTAAGTAAGTGGAATTATTTTTAAAATAAATAATAGCAACATAATAAATCAAACTTCCTTACTGAAAGCTTCCTTACATAAATACTATTTAATTCATTTAATTAATTTTCATCTCCACAAATCAGGGATGGCTCAGTGTCAGATAAAGAAAAGAATGAATTTAGGTTCCAAATGCTTTCCAGACTTTTGTATTTTAAAAGGTTGTGGCATGTGGAAATTTAAAAATATTGATTATACTTGATACTAGAAAATGTTTCCCATTATTTCTTTTTTGTTATGGATATGATTTCTTTTTTTTTTTTTTTTTGAGGAAGATTAGCCCTGAGCTAACTACTGCCAGTCCTCCTCTTTTTTTTGCTGAGGAAGCCTGGCCCTGAGCTACCATCCGTGCCCATCTTCCTCTACTTTATATGGGGGATGCCTACCACAGCTTGGCGTGCCAAGCAGTGCCATGTCCGCACCCAGGATCTGAACTGGCGAACCCCCAGCCGCTGAGAAGCGGAACGTGCGAACTTAACTGCTGCACCACTGGGCCGGCACCCCATTATTTCTTAAGATAAATAGTAATTAGTTTTAAGTTCAATAGAAACCTGGACCAAATAATAATGTTGAATTTAAAATTAACATTAGAATAAATTAAGATGAAATATTTTCTCACTGGCTTTTTTCTATCCTTTAGCTAATGGAGTTTTACTTAATTAAGAAATTATTATAGTTCTTAATCTATAGCAGATACAGCAGAGTTTGGTGGTACAGAGCAAGGAGCAAAACTGTCTCGGTTCAAAGTCCAGCTCTACAACTTATCATCTGTGTGATCTTGGATCTGTCACTTAACCCCTCTGTTACTCAGTTTCCTCATCTGTAAAATGGGTCTAACAATAGTATCTACTTCATCAGTAGGTTATTGCAAGAATTAAATGTGTTAATACATTAAAGCACAGGGTACAGTGGTTGGCACATAAATGCTGTATCAGTTTTTGCTATTATTAATATTATTAAAGCATTACAAGTATGCTACATAAAACACTGACCTCAACTAAACAGACCATTTAAAAAAACTAGAATTCACTCCATGCAGTAATAAAAGTCAAACAAAATACAACAGACATACCTCAAGTAAATATCTTAGAGAATATGGGAGAAGATTCCTCAAAGTGAGAGTAGGATAAAGATGAATAACGTAAGCTGGATCCCAGTCTTCCCCATGTGTACTTATATAGGTTAATTCATCAGGCAGAGCAACCGTATTGACCATGAGAGGTAAGAAGTTGATTTCTACTGATGGACACTGCAGCATGCATCTGACTTCTCTGCTCCTGTGAAGTTCTTCCTTCCAGGAAATATAAGTGGTGGATTCTTTGTACTGATTCTCTAAGATGCCAGCCGGCTGAATAAACAGTTGACATCTACAGAAAAAGAAAACAGAGTGGGGAAAAAAGTTTGTATTGAGAACTTAAGAAAAAGAATCTCATTAAATCTTCTTGATAATTCTACAAGGTAAGTACTACTATTACTATTTTTACAGATGAGGAAATCAAGGCCAAGAAAGGTTAAGAAAATTGTCCAAAGTCATGTAGCTAACTCATGGAGGAACTTACCGGAAAAAAACACTCTGTAAACAATGATAACTTAAAAAAGTCATTTCAAATACAAAGGCAATTTAATAAAAACAGGTCTCGGACAATTCTAAAACATTAAATATACAACAAGAAATTTTCATCTGGTAAATTTAGTAATAATATAAATGTATTTCTCTATAAATACATGTCTTAAAACTGTCTTTTACATATCTTTAGATAATAAAAATATAAGGTTATTTTTTTCTAGAATATAGGCAATCATAGAATTAAAAATATATATTATGAACTTTTTAAAGCTTAGTATATTCAAGGAAGTACCTACCTATATGAATCTAAAGGAACATGGAACTCCTCTTCAGGTCTGGCTACTCCAATGCGCTCCAACAGCTTAACATTCTTAACAAATTTATAAATGATGAATGCAACAGAGAAATGGTTTTTAATCTGTTGTATAAAAAGACGTACAAGTTGTTTAAAAAGACAGAAGGTCAAAAGGAAAATGTGAGCTGTACACATTTACTTTTAGATCTAGAAATTTTCAAGCCCAATATTGGAAGATGTTTATATTGTTTATTGAAAATTTTAAGTGGCAGTTGAAAATTATTAGGATATTCACATGCTCTACATATTAGAAGCTGATGTTTACTGTTAGGACATAATGTTATCTTTCAAATATGTATTAATCTTTGAAGATTTCAGCATAGTATTTTCTCCATTACAACCTTTTCTCAATGCACCAATGATTAAACAGAAAAGAATAGGAAAGGAAACGTGAGGAAAAGCAGTACAACGCTCGTTCTTGACTACAATGTGATATAGGCTGGAACTAATAGAAAACTGAGATAACAATGGCCAAAATTTGAAATCCTTTCATTTCTATCTGATGTTATAGGTATGTTCTTTTGCTGACCATATACTGAAACCTGTAATAATGCACAGAAAAAGAAAAATGGATAGGGGCTTAAAGGTAGAAAAGAAAATATTTATACAGATTAAGATGCTTAAACTTTTTGGGAGGGCGGTCATTCCAATATCCCTTCACTCATACTTGAAAAATACAATCCCAAGTGATACACAAAGAGAGTGGACTGTAATCCTATTTGACAACCAGCTATAATTATAATATTCCTCAATTTTGAATCTTTAAAGGTATAGACAAACATTAAGTTTAAACCCAGGAGACTAAAAAAATGGGCTTTAAACTAACGAGATTGCTTTATCAGACATTTAAAATGAAGAATAGTACAAAAGCAAAGTGGACAGGAAATAGCAGCCAGTTCAATCTTAGTATTTATTTCTGAATAATCAGTACTGACCTAACAAAGTTTTACTATATTCAGCTAAATGATTTAATATTTCTTGATATACTTAAAGGGATACAATTCACTTTAATGCATTACCTGAAGAGGAGAGCGGATGGTGATTACTTTATTCCCTTCAGTTGCATCAATTTGTACCAAGACTGAGTCAGAATGAGTAGCATTGGGATTCCGGACATTATACAATTGCCGCCCAGGTCTGGCAACAGGGATTTTCCCAACTTCTGTATATCCATGAGGTACTAAGGCAAAGCATAAGTGAGAAGCACTCCATATATTAGTTCACCTATATTTCTGTAATATAGAATAATCATCAGTGCCTTGAAATAATAACAAGAGTTCTTATTTATTTCCTTCATGGCTAGAAATGATGACTACACAAAATGCTTTTCTAAAGCACAGAAACTAACAAAGAAAGGGAACCAGTTATTACAAATTTTTTTCACCCCAAACAATTTCTCTTGGGGTTTTGAATGTATTAAAACAAACAAGATCCAACTTGTTCCTATTCTTCAACTATATAGCAATCAGCACCTTCTTTGTAATGGTGATGATAACAGTCAATATTTTAGGACTTCTGAATATAGTTATTTTCTCTCCTCATTGAACTTCCACCCTTTTTGAAGCATACTACATATTGCATTATTTCAGGGCATAGAAATAATCTAGTTTTCTAAGGTAATTCTTAATCAAGCTTAATTTTCTCAAGTTTAGAGGGTGAAAACCAGAGACAAGAGTTTATCAACTATTTAGAAATTTTATCTCCCAAGGTATCTGCAGCAAAATATCCTTTTCATATTTTATCAAAAATAAGCCCATGCCAACAATTCCAAAGATGCCCTTAAACTAAAATAAATATAGCATACCAATGGTCAGAGTGAAGAAGGAGCTTTCTTGACGGTTCAATATAGATAGTTTTCCTTGACGTGAAGGTTCCACGCTGGCATATTCCAATTCCAAATTCTGACCAGCATCAACATCATAAATACCACTTTTCTCAGGGGAGCCCATTACTCTGAGATTATGATTGGGCTGTACCTTAACGGGAACACCTAGAGCATTTTTTACTGTAAAAGGAGCCCTGTCTTTTAAAGAGTAGTCAAAAGTAGAAGCAGTGCCCTCTGAAAAACCCTGAAAAGGAACACAATATTATAATAAAATTTTTGCAAAATGCACATTTTTCAAAAGTTAAACTATAACTACACATTTTTTAGAAACTAATTTTGATTAGTTTCCATATATGTTTCAATTTAAAATTCCATTTGAAATATTCCAAGCAAAAGCCAAACATACCTTTGCTAAATTGTTGAAAACATTAAGACAACTTTTGGATATTGTTATATTCATTGTATCTCCTGAAGAAATATGAACTGCTGTTTGTGGCTCAGGAATAAAACCAAAATCATCTCCTGGCATCAAACTTTTATCCTGGACTGGGTTCTTCTTTACCTATGAGGATAAATAACGTAACAAATTTAAGTTACTAGCCAATTAAAATAGTCTCAATAGAGTTAAATTCTCCTAAACTCATCACTTTATATTAAGGATACTCAAAAAGCCTCATTTTCAAAAATATTCAGGGCTTCACTTTGATTTAGCACAGATCAGCATTCTTTCTTCCAGTGTGTAGTCAATGCCTGGGGTAACGTTTAGAATGGTGCCATGAAAGCATTCAAAGTGAGCTACAGTATTTGTCTCTGGTATCTTCCCCAGAGCAAGCTATTTACCCACTACATCGTCATTATGTGTTGATGAACAAGAAATCTAAGATGACTCCGAGGTCTACATTGATACTTATTGGAGGTAATGTGGAATTTCTTCTACTTTTTACCCAGTAACATCTATAAATAAGTAATATGATAAGCTTTCAACCAGCCATCAGATTCCATCACAGTTTTTCTTCCAAAAGTATTTCAAAAGCCTTGTAAAATATTCTTTGTTAGCCTGCCAATGCCAGAGACAGGTAGGTCAGAAACATTACTTCTACTTTACTGAGAGGAAATTGGGACAAAGGGTATATGACTTCTCATCTTTAAAATAAGAATCTGCTGAGTCAACTTCTGTGCCTCACACTTCAGTCAGGCTGCCCAAGAGAGGAGTACTGTGATACTTTGTTAAGGGTATATAATTCAGGTTCCTGTTAACCTAGAAAACTCTGCTTTGGTACCAAGGATTTTGAAGTGTTCTCAACAAGTACCATAAAGAGATAGGACAAAAGAATTCACAAACTAGAATAGGAGTTCTCAAACTTTTTGGTCTCTTAAAAACATTAAGGGGGCCAGCCCGCTGGCGCAGTGGTTAAGCGCACACTTTCCACTTTGGCGGCCTGGGGTTCGCTGGTTCAGATCCCAGGTGCGGACATGGCACCGCTTGGCAAGCCATGCTGTGGTAGGCGTCCCACATATAAAGTAGAGGAAGACAAGCACGGATGTTAGCTCAGGGCCAGTCTTCTTCAGCAAAAGTGGAGGATTGGCAGCAGTTAGCTCAGGGCTTATCTTCCTCAAAAAAAAAAAATTGAGGATCCCACATAGCTTCATTTAGGTAGATTATATTTATCAATACGTACTCTGTTAGAAACTAAAACTGAGAAAACTTAAAATATTCATTTAAAAATAACAATTACATGTTAATATAAATTTTTAATGAATAATAACTTATATAGTGAGAAGAGAAGCATTTACAAATTTCTTTAGTGCCTGTCTTAAAAGAAGACAGGTAGATTCTCATTTCTGCTTCTGCATTCAATCTGTTGCAATATCATGTAGTCTCTGGAAAATTCCACTGTATGCTCATGAGAAAAGGAGAATAAAAATGATATATTACGTCTGAGCATTACTAAGGGAAGAATTTTTATCCCATGGATCCCCTCAAAGGGCCTCAAGGATCCTAGACCACATCTTAAGAATCACTGAACCAAAAAATATAAACGAATGTGCTTTGTGTCCCTGTACACAAAGATATGTGATGGTTTCCTTACATCAAGCCTTAAATTCCATTGTTTCTTCCCCTCCACTCTCTCGATCAGTGGCTCCCAAACAGCATGGACCTCATTGTAATAGTGAACCTGCAAAGGCACAGAATTTACATAAAAGAGTCTGTCAACTTTAACTCATATTTTTATAACCAGGAAACTATTTCTATTTTCCTTTACTCACTTACTTTATCACCATAAACAAATTATTTAGCAAAAGAATCTTTAAAAAATAATGACCAAATAAATACTATAGATCAACAAATTAAATGTTAGATTGTATTATCTTTTCACATAACTATTTGCTGTGACCATGAACAAACAAGAAAAGCTCACAACTTAATTTTGCAATTGTACTTTTGAGAAGTTGGCTCTGGAAGTACCAAATGATACGGTCATACCTCTAGTGTCATGTCAGCAGCAGCACTCATCAGAGAAGTCCAATTTTTAATATTTCCTGAAAATTTAGATTCTGCCAATAATAAAGGTACAGTTCGATGCCCAAGGCCACATTCTAAGGTAACTTGAACTGACTCTACAACAACAGCACAATTTTCTTCTATGAATGGACGGTCAATGTCTTTGAAATTTTCTGTTATTTCTGTTGCCGTATCGACACCAAGAAACCAAGAATTATAATCACTAATAGATTTTACACCCCAAAGATTTTCTGTTTCCTTAGATGTATCTTTGGATTCATCTTCTTTTGTCTTTGGAGACAGAGCAGCCATGATTGTCATCACAGTATTAAGAATTATGGGTGAAATCTTTAAAAAAGAAAGCAGAAAGTTTTTAGAATAAACTCTTTCCAAGATGAGAAGAATACATAACACTAAAGTTTAAAAGTAACTAATTAAAATTTTAAATACATTAAATTCATAACTAAGGAAAACAAGAGAGAACACCCAAAATCATGTGTCAAGTCAACTAACTTCATAACAATGATTTCTGTCCAGGTTACTCTGGAATTAAGTAACTAAGGTTACATGTCAGTTGTCAAACCTAAAGTTAAACTGATCAATTCAGAGTAGATTGTATTATGTAAACAGAAAAAATGCAGAAGTGTAACTGAATTTCTCATTTTTAACCAGCTGCATTTAATTAAACCAAAGTGTGTGATGATCATCAAGATATACATCATAGTTTTCATTTGTCGTATTGAAACAGGAAGCTTAGGAATCATCATGGATCCCCGTTCACTTACCCCAAGATCTGAAAGTTCTCCTCTTATTGTCTTTGGATAGTATCTATGCTCATCTCCCGATTCCTATCACTGTGCCTTAGTTCTACACTGATGGTATCTTCAGTGTCCAGTCAGCACCCTCTCAGCCTACCCTCCACTCTTCTACCAGCACGATTTTTCTAAAACCCAAATCTGGGCATGTCATTCTTATGCTTAAAATCTTCAATAACCTACCATAACTTTCAGGATAAAATTCAAAGTCTCTTTAGCTTAGGACACAAAGCTCTTTGTGATCTGAGGCCTCATTAGTTAGCTGGCCAGGGCTTCCCAAAGTCTGAGAAATACTGGGTTAAGTAAGTTAAGTGGATTCCTTTATGGTTCACTTCTCATAAACCTTACTTGTTTAGTATGCTAAAGAGATACGATTATATCAGCAAAAGAACAATCTAGTATGCATTGCTTCCCAAACTTAACTGTCAACTGAATCTTTTTTTTTAGTCCTTGCCTTATTAATGTTACCCATAATTAGTGCTCTCAATCCTACAACTCCACCACATCATTCTCTCTAGCCATATTAGATTACCCTTCTAAGTCCTTAAAGGATTTTTCACACCTCTGCCTTTGTGCATACTGTCTGTTGTGTTGGAGTAACTCTTCCCCTCTGTCTCCATCAAACCTCCATCAGATTTTCAAAATTCAGTTAAAGTAGCCCCACTTCCAGACAGCCTTCCTGGACACCTGGTCTGAGTTAGAGGCCCCTTGCCTGTGCTCTTGCACTGAAAGCTGGAATCAATGATTTTCTTCCTTCTCTCACATACATCAAGTTTTTTGAAGGCTGAGATCATGTATCCCCAATGCCTTGTACAGGACATTTTTCATATCTAGTAAGACCTCAAAAATGTTTGTTGACTAAATAAATAAACTGATATAAAAAGAAAAGGAAAGACATTCCCCTCAGCATCTTAACCTAGTGTCTTAGACAAAGCGCATGCAAACACAAGCACTTTCTCCCCCATTTACTACTTTGTCTTTAAAAAATCAAATCTATTAACAAAATACAAGCTAAGGCTCTCTTCTAAAATATTGAGAAAAAAATACATTGTTATTTACATGGTAATTCAAATGAGATTAGTTTAAGCCTTGGTTTAAAATACTGGTTATTTACCTATATTGTAAAGCTACTATCAGAAGTGGTATTAACCACCTCAATTTTGTGTCCTTTGGACAGAGAGAGAAATAGATTTTGGAGATGATTCTATCTTTCATTTCTAACTGGTCCTGAGGTCATATTTAAAGAATATGAATGCCACTGGAGAAGAAGGACTGCTTTTTCAATGCTTCAAATGTAAGATAAAAAGAAGTAAATCTTGGGGCCAGCCCCAGGGCCGAGTGGTTAAGTTTGTGCATTCCGTTTCAGTGGCCCAGGGTTTCACTGGTTTGGATCCTGGGCACAGACATGGCATCACTCATCAAGCCATACTGAGGCAGGATCCCACATAGCACAATCAGAAGGACCTAAAACTAGAATATACAATTATGTACTGGGGGACTTTGCAGAGAAGAAGAAGGGGGAAAAAAAAGAGGATTGGCAACAGATGTTAGCTCAGGTGCCAATCTTAAAAAAAAAAAAAGTAAATCTTAATTTATTTCTAGCATACATCTGTCATTACAAATATTTTATAAGCCACATAAAATATTTAATCACATAATTATTAAATTCAAATTTACACCTCAAATAAAAGCCTAAAAATAACTTACTACAAATAAAATAACAGTCACCTCCTTTTTTCATCCTTCCTTCCCTTCTCTTCCTACTCCATCTCTACTCTCCCCTTAAACCCAATCTCCACAACACACATGTGCAAATATAATAGATAAAAACTATTCAGATCATTTGTAGATATTTAAAAGCACTCCTTCAAAAGAAAAGAGAAACATTTGCATTAAAGATGGTGTTGTATTTTTGGTTTTTTTTTTTGTAAGGAAGATTGGCCCTGAGCTAACATCTGTTGCCAATCTTCCTCATTTTGCTTGAGGAAGACTGTCACTGAGCTAACACCTGTGCCAATCGTCTTCTATTTTGTATGTGGGATGCTGTCACAGCACAGCTTGATGAATGGTGTGTAGGTCCATGCCCAGGATCTGAACGTGCAAACCCCCGGGCTGCTGAAGTGGAGAGCGCAGACTTAACCACTATGCCACCAGGCCAGTCCCAGAAAAATGTATTTTAATGTTAGAGGTATGTATTGATTACTGAATATGTGACTAGCATAATGTTCTAGATATGAAAGACATCAAAAGATATCACTAGAAAAATAAGAATTAATTTTCACCCAAATATTATGATAGGCACTAACCTTAATTATAAATTCTTCAACAATAATATTTATATTTTGTTTTCCTGAAGCCCATGTACATTTTTCCATAAATAAAGAACAGGGCTGTAAGACCTAGAAACAAATAAATGAAATTCACATTTTCTTAGTAATAGATCTGTTATATATATGTAATACACACTTACCAGAACATGTCTTCCTCAATCTGAGATCTTTAACTACAGCCTACCACTAAAATCAAAAAGGCAAATTAAATTAGCTGAGACCCTCTTGTGAGGGCTCTTTTTAACTAAGTCTGTGAACATTGTGAAAGGACTTTAAGCAGTTCTGATCAATTCCTTTATGCCAAATTCTTAAGTAATGATGCACATTTACTATTAGAAGTTTAAAATGTTTCCTTTGCTAAAATATCTTTTAAAGGATGCCCTCTTAAAACATACTTCTAAGATATGTATAAAAATGAAATGAAGAATATGGTTAAGGTCTTACATTTGCAAACAGGTACACAAGAAAACGAAATTGGTATTTATTATAATTTTTATGACAGCTAAATCACTTATTGTTTATTTTAAACAAACAGTTCTGTTAACACTTTAAAAAAAGACTATGGTAAGGTAGGAAAATGAACAGTTTCCAGATGACTAAACAAGTCAGTCTTGAATATCATATAAGGTCCTTATCAGAATAAATTTCAAATCTTCAAACTCAATGATTTCTTCTATGAAGCCTACATTCTTATATATTATGAAAGAAATAAAATAATCTTGCACCTGAATTGAATGGGGGAATTAGTACTGCATAACTTTTTTCAAAAATTAGGATGAGCTTTTAACAAAGTGATTAACACAAGCTTTCTGCGGCACGTCAAAAGAAGATGATCCCACTAAAGAACGCTTCATGATAAAGTACACATTAAGCCTAGCACTGCATTTCTTTATGAAAGTCATTTTGCCCACAAATTTTTTTTAATTTAAAATAACACTGCAAATGAGTCACATAAGAAAATGATCCTCTTTAAATAAACAAATATAAAATAAAATAAATGATAAAGTTATCAATTTAATATTAAAAAATAACTGGTATGTAATTAAATTAATTAAAATCATATTTTTCAACTATAATGTGGAAACATAATTGAAGTTAACTTTTAATACAGTAAAACACAATCTCTCTTGGTCACATGACTCTAACTGAATTTTTTCATTCTAAGCTTAAAGATTTTAATACTCATTCATTCATTCATTGGATATATTGTGGTGAACAAAAGAAACAGCTGAAAAGGAATGTTTATTTGTACTAAAATTCAAATACTATTCAACAGAAGATGATACAATGAAAAGAAAACCAGTCTGGAGGTAGTCCCCAGTTCTGTCTCTAACAGCAATGGCTAAATCATTTAACATCTTTGGAACTCAATATCCTTATCTGTAAAACCTCAAGTTTGTAGTAAATAATTTCTAAAGTCCTACAGAGTTCTCACATTCCAATTGCTAAAGCCCTACAGAGCTCTCACATTCTAGGATTCAATGAACAAACCATTTCTGCCATTCTTCAATCCATGCTTAGGATTTAACGTAATTCTTACTGTGGTAATGTTTTTTCCCCTCTTTTCTCTGAGAAAAGGGCAAGCGAGCACTTTAAGATCTCTCACAGAAGCTTCCATCATCTGTTCAAGTTTGGATGTTGACAGAGAGAGGTCACACTGGAATGAGGCTGTCAGAGCAGGAGCATCAGCCTTTGTCAGGCTGGCAACAAACACCACTTCCGGATCTGTAATCATGGCCTTTAAAGTCATATTTGGCTTTAAAGAGTCATCTGAAGAAACAAAAATAGGAACAAAAAAAGTTGTAGTAAAGTAAATCTTGGCACCTGAGTACATGTTATCTACACATTGCTAAGTTGTTTCTAATATTCTGCTCCAATGGACATGGTGACATTAACAATATCAATATATGACTGACATTAATGATAATTGATTATTAAACAAATGCTGATTGTGCAGGATAATGCAATCCAATCCCTGTCATAAGAAGATCATTCCCACTTTGACCTACCAGGAATAAGCTTGTTTTGAAGTTTTTTGTCAGAATTAAGGTGTGAGCACACATATACACATGAGTGTGTATTATGTTATGCTGTAGGGGCAAAGAGGGGAAACAGGAGAGTGGAATATCAGGAAGAGGATAAGAGACCCTGATAAAGAAGACAAAGCATTATCATTTGCTTACTTTTGATAAACAGATGGCAAGCAATAGGATATACTGGCGTATATGAGGAAGCCATTTAGTGTAAAACTAATTTGACCTAACCTTGTTTTTTCCAAAAGGACCTGATGTGGCCGCTGAGCATGCATTGTACATCTGCTTTAAGCATTTGCTATGTCCCAAAGACAAGGACAAATGTCCTTAAGATAAAGGTGCAACTTCCCCCACATTGGCATTTCCTTAAGGATAAGCATCTCTCCCTAGACTAGGAATTGATTGCTGTGCTCACCCTGTAACCACCCAGTGCAAGGCAACAGATCTGCTACCTGCTGTGTCCATCAATTGCTGTGCCGACAGGGTAATCTTGTGACTATCGTAAAAGGGACATTTCAATCATATGTGATACATGCTCTTTAACTGTATGTAAGTACTCTGTACACCCCCACTTCTTTAGAGTGCTCCATTCCTTTGTGGAAGGACTCTCCTGGGGTATGTTGTCCTCAAATCTGGCTCATAATAAACTCACCCCAGTTTTGATTTATAGATTGGTTATGGACTATTTTCGCCGACATTTTGATTTCACATAAAGTACACAGTCAATGTCATACAATCTGCAGTATAAATACATTAAATGTATATATGAATACAGAGATATCATATATGATTACTGTTTAAGAAAGGTAAATGGAAAAATAAAATTCTGACCTTGCCAGTAAATTGTAGTTTTCCAATCTTGCTGAGTCATACATTAGATAGAAAAATGGCCCTGGACCATTATGACTTAAAGAAAATCACTGACCTATTTGGTAATGCTTGAATAAACAATTTACAGAGCAGGGAAGTGGCTTCAGCATACACCAAGACCAAACATTTGCAAACCGTCCACTGAGTTTAATGAGTCCAAAGCAATGTTCAGGGATGTCATGCTGGGTCCTGCAATACCCTTATATTCTGCTTTTATCTGTTCAATTCTTCTTCAATATGCCATAATTCTTCAAAATATTTTCTTTGAATTAAAGATTCCCCTTCTATAAAACAGGCTGCCAAGCACAGACCCAGATTAACTCTCTCTATTGCTGGATGAGTAAAGAAATGTTAATGGCAGAGTTGGAACAAGAGCAGAGGCTTCCTGGCCCCTAATTCAATATATATTTCTACTCTACTCCTTTCTTAAAAATCTATGCTTACTAAAGTTTTTCTACAGAATATGTTTAAACTTCAAAGAGTAATTTTACATTCTTCATTCTCCATTTCTCTTATTTCTTGTTTGCAATTTTTGTTAAAATGTATAAGTCGTCATCTATGACAGATAAATTCTGCTAACCTTTGTCTATCCTGAGTTTTGCTGTGGCAGTCTGTCGTAGTGGAATCTGTGCTTCTTTTGCCATATTTTCTGGACTCTGAGACACAGCTTTGATAAAGAAATCTGCCACAGTCATCAGAAATTCCACACTGGCACATATATACAGCTTGTCAAGAACAGCATCAATATGACTTCCATTTTTGCCTTGTTTGTAACTTATATCGATCATAGAACTGTTGTTATCTTGGTCATTCTTCCTATCAATCATTCTGAAAAAAATATACGCATTCATTATTTTATTCCTGCTAAAATAATTTTTAAAAATGAAAAATTTCCTATACATGTTAATAACCTTTCTTTCACCTTTCAGTTTCTAATCTGAATAGAAAACAGGTCAATGTTAACTGGAGTCTAATTAGCTATGGTCTCCTAATCTCCACAGCAAATATATATTATTAAACAATTACAGAATATTTTATAATTATAATGCAATACAAAAAAAATCAAGGACAGCTGAAAGGAATTTCAGCAATTAAAACAACACATTAATGTGGTCCTGTAAAATTTAAAAGACAACCTCTTTACGTTATTTTATGATATAAAACCTCTCTGAGAATATATCTCCAAAGATCATCTTATATAATTTGAGTCCAAAAGTATTTAATGCGATTCAAATCAGCCACTGTTTATTAAGTGTCTGCAATGATAGTTCTGACACATCATCACATGTGCTGGAAAGAGCAGGCTACCAAACATGGCCCTTATCACCCCTGCCTAGAGAGCTGTGGAGGACTACCTCAAGCACAGATTTGCAAACCAGAAAAACCGGTTGCATCATAGCACTCTTTCCTCATTTTTCATCTCTTAGAAAAACAAAAGGCTCAGAAGCATTCAGTATGTATTCAATAGAGTTCAAGTTTAGGTAGCAGCATAGTTTTTCTCCAAAAAAAAAATCAAGGATGGAAATATTACGTGTCTCATTATTTGAGAAAGGAATAAAAATACAATTAGGCTTTTGAAGTTACAGATTTCCCACTTTATAGTAGGTTGATCTAGGTTAATCTTTCCAAAAGGGGTTGATAATGTGAAAATGCTAGGGATTCCATTTCCATTAAAACTTTGAAAGAAATTTCACAGAACGTTTTAAAATATACAGACAAAATAAATAAGACAAAGGAAAGACCTACAACTTTCAGGCTATTTTTTTAAAAAATTCTGCCTATTGGGGACAATTTAGAAAAATATATTACCAACAAACCACCCCATATGGATTTAACTATTAACATTCTTACATTCTCTTAGTTCCTGCTTTTAAGAGTATTCCATTTTATTATGAAACTTCCCTTTAATTCAAACTTCAAAGTAATTGAATCTGAAATTAGCACTTCTTCTTGATGCACTGCAAACTGAAATATGACCAAAGACCTCTTTTGATAATCCCAAGCCCAGCAATCAACACCTGGCAGCAATGCCAGGTGCAATGTCGATCTTGAACAATGTACAGCAAGTTCAGAGATGACAAACCTTGATGTTGCTCTCTCAATGCCTTCTCTGAGATCATCAAGGGTGCATGTCTTAAGTTTAATGCTAACATTCATTGAGCCATCCTTAAACATCTTCCCTGCGGAGGCCATAAGATGTAGTCTGAGTTCTCCAAGCCGGAAGTTGTCATTATGAAATGCAAGTTTGGATTCCTGTGGTACATTTTTCAAGCAAAAGAATCAAGTATCTTTAAATATTAATTACTTCTAAACATACTTCTTAGCTCAGAAATTAAAGGCAAATTGCTAACACAAATTTTAAAAGCATGAGTGCTAAAACACAAAAATGAAACAGAGAATAATACATATATCTGTGAGTGTATATATACATACATATAAATACATATGTGTATGTGCTGATATTCAACAATGGTTAGTATACAAAAATTTATGTGAGGGCTGGCCCAGTGGCACAGTGGTTAAGTTTGCACATTCCGCTTCAGCGGCCTGGAGTTCGCCAGTTTGGATCCTGGATGTGGACATGGCACTGCTTGGCAAAAGACATGCTGTGGTATGGTAGGCGTCCCACATATAAAGTAGAGGAAGATGGGCACGGATGTTAGCTCAGGGCCAGTCTTCCTCAGCAAAAAGAGGAGGATTGGCAGCAGATGGTAGCTCAGGGCTAATCTTCCTCAAAAAAATAAAAATTATGTGATTTACAGTTCAATGTAAATAAAAATAATCAGGAAATATTTTTGTCAAACAATAAATATTTAATGAGCTCTTCTGTAAAAAACGCTGTGATAGGAACTACGGGGTTTATGAGAAAGGACAAGGCATGGCAGGTGATCTCAGTGAGCTTATACCCCAATTGAGAAAATAAAACAGAAATACATTACAAGGAACATCACAAGGAGATGCTATAAGTTGTAAATAATCAAAAACGACATAGTCATTTATTTATAATTCATACTTATATCCTTCCATATTCCACAAAGGATATTAGGTGATTAGGTAAAGAATATAAATAGCAAAAGCTCAGAGGGTCAGAGAGATCATTGTGCATTGGGAAAATTCATGAAGAAGGTGAGAACTTAATTCAGCCTTGGAAACTAAGTGAGATAAGATAGGCTAAGAGGCGGCAGAAAATATTATAGATGGGGAAAAACACAAGCAGACAATTCAAGATGCTCTGAGGGCTAGAGGTACAGGCTGCTTAGGCCTGAATATTCCAATTAAAGAATGGTAGGGAATGAGGGCTAGAAAGTAATAGAGAGGCCTAATCAAGGTCTCAAATTCTAAACTAAAAATTTAAACTTTTATTTATAGGAAAAAGGATGTCAATCTTTATTCCATCATAATACATAGCTCCAAATTCTATAGGTATGCCTAGACTTTAATAGAACAAACCTCAACCAATCAACAAAAAAACAAATCTTCAGGGAAGTAAAGAACATCAATCCTAATTGCTCCCCACAGACCTTAGCATTGATATAAGGGGTACTAGTGATGTGTAATTCTTGGCACACTGGTTATAACTCCACATCTTCTCTCACTCAAGAGAGTACATCACATTCCAGTGGGTCAGAATGACATTATTACTGGCAAACTTGGAATGCCTTTAATTTATAAAAATGTAAATAATTCACAAACTTATGACCTGAACTATTAATTGAAATAACCTGTGACACATCTACTGACCACAATATACTAGTGTTGGTGATATAACTACTGATATAGACTATTTGGGGCCACTAAACACTTTTTTTTAATAAGGTAAAACTCACAGAACACAATGTTCTTTAATTAGAATGGGAAGTTGCAAATGGCTACGTAAGATTCATTTAGGAAACACAACTCATGCCAATGTCTAGGACGGATGAAAGGGAAAAGAGCAACAAACAAGGAAGTCATTGCAGTACCATAAGTGTGAGCTAAGAAGTTTCAAATAAAGCGGCAGTGAGAATCGACAGGAAAAACAAATGTTCACTCCAAGAAAAAACTGACAGTATTCAGCGTCTAAACGAATAAAGAAAGCCAACAAAGAAGGAAGTAAAGAAGACACTGAGATTCTAAGGCTAGGGAGAATGATGATACCTTAAGAGAAATGAACAAAACACTTAACTGTTCATTTTCCATAAGGTCATTTTCTGATCTTTTTCATTAACATGAAACATTAAAAATTAAGACAGTTCATTACATAAACGACAGATACTAGCCCAAGGCTCAACAGTAACAACGTATGAATATTGTATAATTTTTAGAAAACAATATGAAATGTAAGATAACATATAAATGGACATTAACAACAGATATAATACCCATAGTCTTCATTGATTATGGGTATTATCATATGACATGTATTATGAGTACTATGATACGACAATTAATTGATATAATCAAAAATATTTATTAAAAGATACTATCTACATAATAAAAAATGGCTTTCTAAAATAGCAGATGCATTATTTAGTTCAAATTATTATGGCACTAGACTTTGGTTCTTCAATTTATTCATCAGTATATTTAACACATATCTACTACATATCAAATTATTCAGTAGAAACATAATTAATGCTTCTACATAATGGATAATCATGAATTTTAAAATAGTCCTCTAAGGTTCCAAAGCCACTACTAAATTATTCTCCTTAAAAAGTTCTATATGCATATATATCTAGTATGTAATAAAACTGTACATATAATTATTCATATATATAATTCTTCTAGTAGAAATGGATCTAAGTGCTCCAGTGCTGATGTTACTTGAAAAAAAGTAAAAACTTTTCCTTAGCATAGTAAGATTAGAAACACTAACAAAGTAAAGACAGAGAGCAAAGACCAATGCATATTCTGTAGGCCAAATAATTTAATAGACAAATTATTTTTTTAATGAATAGTCACATCAAAAAATGCCACTATTCTAAAACTGAATATCAAGAGCTAAGGCTTTATTTCTAAATACAGAAATTTACTACATACCTGGTTGACATCATTGTTATAAAGGACAATGGAAAGAGATTCAAAGTGAAAGTCAAATTGCAGAGTAACATTCTGGTCTACAGAAAGCTCTGAGTCTGGCAAATCTTCTTGTGCTGATGGTTCAAGCATAAATATGAAAATTAAAAAGCTTTTAAGTAGGCATATAATTTTACACATATTTAAAAAGCTGGGATAATAATTTATCATTCTAATTTATCATGCTTTCTAGGGTTCTTTAAATCATTATGAGGCAATTAATAAAAATGGCAATGATTTATTCTATATATTTAGTACAGGGCAAAGTGACAGAGGTAGACCATCTACATTTCTAAAAAGAAAAAAAAAAGAAGAGGAGGCCTTGCAACGACTATCAAGACAACTTTTTTTTTAAAAAAAAAAAAAGCCCCTTCTCCGGCCTGGTGGCACAGCGGTTAAGTTCACACATTCCGCTTCTCGGTGGCACGGGGTTCACCGATTCGAATCCCGGGTGCGGACATGGCACCGCTTGGCAAACGCCATGCTGTGGCAGGCATCCCACATATAAAGTAGAGGAAGACGGGCATGGATGTTAGCTCAGGGCCAGTCTTCCTCAGCAAAAAGAGGAGGATTGGCAGCAGTTAGCTTAGGGCTAATCTTCCTCAAAAAGGCCATTCAGAGCAAGATTATAAAGTAGTTTATAATTATCAAGGCATTTCACCCAAATGGTTACAAGCCATTCTCAAGAGATTATGAAATTTGAGCCACAGAAATGTAGCACTTATAAAAGCACAGCAGCCTGGGGCCATTTATTGTAAGGGGAAGGAGGACTTCATCTCTTTTGAGCCATGGAAATATTAACCTATTTACAGTCTAATAAAATATATGATATTCACATCAACGACTTTGATGAAAAAGAGTGAAATTATATTCTATATAACTGTTTAGAAAAGTAAGAAGGAACCTTATATTTTAGAAAAATTATGTTTTAAAAGGCTGAATTTAAAAGGTTCAGTGCTTAACTCAATTCTAATAATCTGGAAAATTCCTTTATGTATCTGACTACATCATTGTCCAATAAGGCCAGATAAGTAAAGCTGTTACTATACAAGAATACCCTCCTTTCTCATGGGCCAGTCATCTAACCATGATACCAACGTCTTTTCTCTCTTAATTATTTTGGGACCTTAAATAATTTAATTAATTAATTAGGGACCTTAAGCTGCACGCCTAGTTTGCTTTTTCACTCAAAGTATACCACCTCAGTGCCCCCAAAATTCAGCAAATTCAGCTTTCACAAGTAAAGGGCAAACACGCAGCATGCAGGCAACAATAACCGGCCCCTCCCCTTGCAGCAGACAATGAGCATACCTCCTTCCCTGGGAGCTTCAAGCACCTCCAGCCCCAGCCCCAGCTAATTTTCTACAGTAAATAAAACAATATCCAACCAGTTCATACCGCCTTATGCTGGGAACTAAAAAAACACTAAATATAAATACAGAATTAACACTAACTTTTCTCCATAATCAAAGCAAAAATCTTCATTGATTTATACCTTTGAGGTGGTCAGGTCCACTCGAAACATCTTTTCTTACTCTTACAGCCTCCTGGGTAGACTGCGTAGGGCTTGGCTGTGAAGAAGCTTCTCCAAGATTTTCTAGCAAAATTTTCATTAAAACTGTTAAGTCATCTTCACTGAGAGCAACCTAGAAACCAACAATAAGTTGTTGTTAATATAAAGTAATAAAAAAATGCAGAATACCATATCTATGTCTTAATTTATGGTTCCTCAAATCAACTAAATGTTCATCTAACTAAAAAAAAAAAAAGAGTTGGGACCCATAAATACCAGGAGAGAAGTAGTTCGTCTTGTATATTATGAGACATTTCTCCCATGTGTAAACACTTCTGCCTCCACCCATATGCAAGCCCCTGCCGCTGCTGCTCTGTCACTGTTCCTGCCTTATCTGTTACTATCTCACTCTCTTCCTGGACCTGTGCCTCTCTCCCCTCTCCCTATCTCCTCATCTCCATTCTGCCTCTCTCTCTCCTCACTCAGTACCAGCTCTTTCCTCTACATTATTTACTCCCCTCTAAACTCAATATAGGGAGAGCGCTATTCATTTTCTGGTCTCCAACAAGAAGTAAAAAGATGCTTTCCTGCAATGTAGCTCTTATTCTCAGTACATATGCATCTGGACATAAACAAAATATTTGTTTAACTTATCAAGAAAAATGACTCTTAGAACAATAACAAATGCATCTACAAAGACTTTTTAGAAACCAAAACAAACCAGGAAAGTAATATCTTGTTCATCTCCTACCTTTATACAAGGGGATATGTGGCAAAAAGAAAAAAAAAAGCAAGAGCTTTTAAGTCAGGCAGATCTGGATCAACTCTACCACTTTTGAGCTGTGTTCAAGCTGTGTCTTAGCTTCCTTAACTCAACTTTCTTGAGTTCTAAAATAGGAATAGTATCATCTTCCTCATAGGTGGCTGCAGAACAACATGCAGCAGCTAGAACAAACAAGGCTGTTACTGCCTGCTAAGATTCATTAACTCTTTAAATCCTTCTATCTTTGTACATTTCTCCCACACATACAGTGGTCCGAAAGGCCTGCTTCAAGTACTTAAACAGAGTCACACAAGCATGCAAGCATTCACAGCACCTTCTCCTCTAAACACCACAGAACCCTTTGTCCCCCATATTAGGCCCCTACTACCAGAGAAATTGCCTGACTGCCAGCCTACAGGGAAACAGAGAGATATTTTAGCATGAGATAATGACCAGGCATTTCTTGTTTCCCCCGTCCCCAGTCCTCAGAGAACAGATATCACTTTAACTCCCTAGAATTCCTTGTGTGTTCATTCCCATTTGTGATAGCAACCAAGTATCACAGCTGCCCTAAGAGCAGCTAACTTCATCACCTCCTGGTTTGCTGCCGGAGGAAAGAGCAACTGCAGCATATACTTAGACTGAACTTCAGTAAGTCTGGAGGACAATTTGAGAGGCCACCCAACAGTTTGTTACAAACTGCCAAGCCGATCTACCCAAACAACTTGTTGATGTCACCTGCCTGATACCCTTTCTTAGCTGCACTCCAGACTCAGACAAACTATACAGACTCTGACCAATGAGGGGGTGTTTAGAGGGGCCTGGATCACTGACAAATTAGGCCGTGGAGACCGAACCCACCATGGCTGCATTCTTGATTTAACAGGGGTGCTTTTAGCTAAAGTGATGATCATGCGTTGTGCTAAACTCATGGATCTGTTATTTTTTCTTTTTTCTTTTGCAATACTTCAAGCATAAAGAAAAAGCATAGAGAATACTATAATCCTCCCGTGAATCCAGTGTCTAGCTTTGTCAAATCTTAATAAGCAGCTATATTTCCTTCAGATCCTTTCATAGATATGGTTGATGTTCCACATTTATTTCTATGAGGCCCCATTCCCTTCTTTCCAGCCCAGAGAAATACACTATGCTGAATTAGAGAATTATTCTTCATGTCAGAGAATTATTCTTCCCATGAATGCTTTCTTATGTTTACCACTACTGAATTCCCCCATAAACAATATTATCCATTCTCTTGCTTATTGTAAAATTTGAAATCATACAGATCTGTACTATCACTTTGCAACTCGTTTTTTCCATTTTTATGTTTAAGATAGGCTCATTTTGTTTTGTATAGTTCTAACTCATTCACTTTATCTGCTTTATAATGTCCAGTGTACGAATATACCATAATTTGATCCACACTCTCCTACTGATAGACATTTAGGTTTTACTTTTGCTTTCAGCAAACCTATAACCACACAATCTTTGAAAGGAAGGGGAAAGGGTCAAATATTAGTCCTGGGATCTAATCTCTCAACAGCAAGGGAGAAATTAAGAGAAGAGTCCCATACTATGGAATAGAGAAGTCTCACAAATACCCTAAACACACACTCTTCTTCATATACACACAGGAACCTTACATTCCTACAACAAACTGCAATTTTAATGTGTTCTCTTGTAGAACACTGCTCCTTTCATTCCTCCTGTTTTATCTTAGAATTAACTCTGAAATAACCAGAGTTAAATATCAAAAAGCACTAAACTACTAATTCACACACTCTATTGGGGTTTTGTTTTGTTTTGTTTTGTTTGCTGAGGAAGATTCACCCTGAGCTAACATCTGTTGCCAATTTTCCTCTTTATGTATGTGAGTCACCACATCATGGCCACTGATGAGTGGTATAGGTCTGCACCCAGGGACCAAACCTGGGCTGCCGAAGCAGAGTGTGCCAAACTTAACCACTAGGCCACAGAGGCTGGCCCCACACACTCTATCATTTAGTCACTCCTTCCCTGCCCCTATCCCTTACTGTTTGGCTTCAACAGTTTCATATACCGGCATAAGAATCATAGGATCCCTACACTTCCATGACCATTTTTGACCAGTATCATCTCTTCCCATGAGCCTACAGATGACCTGCTAATCACACTACTAAAAATACTGCTGTATTTATATGCTTACCAAATAAACATATTCACCTATTTAAAATGTCCATTTTTCATTTTTTTTTGGTGAAGAAGATTCACCCTGACCTAACATCCGTTGCCATTCTTCCTCTTTTTTTGCTTGAGGAAGATTAGCCCTGAGCGAACATCCATGTCAATCTTACTCTATTTTGTATGTGAGATGCCTCCACAGCATGGCTGATGAGTGGAGTGGGTCTGCACCAAGATCTGAACCTGCGAACCCGGGCTGCTAAAGTAAAGTGCGTAGAACTTTAACCACTCTGCCATGGGGCCAGGCCCTAAAATGTCCACTTTTTCTAATTAAAAGAGTACTTCTATACATTAAAAATACTAAGGTGTCTGAATGCAATATCTAAATATCACTTTATACTTTCATAATTACACTGCCTTAAAACTTTAATAAAATTTTCTAAAATTACTAATAATATTTTCAATAGACTCCAATAGGTTTTATCTCAGATTTTCTGATGGCTTTACCAAATATCTGACTAAAATGAAACAAAGAAAAGTGTGGGAGACTAGGATAATCTCATTTTCAGCTAGCAAAGTATTCCCTTTAACGCATCATCACTTCTGATGTACACTAGAACTGTACTGTGATCAATGATAAAAGCCTATATAACAATTTTCATATACTTTGTACATATTCTTACCTGCATAGGTTTTAGTTTTCCTTTGATCTCCATCCCTGGAATTTGCGTATACCATGTTGCTGCTAAATTTCGCTGAATGGACAAAAGCATATTGACTGGTTTTAAAATTTCAATGTCATGCTGTGGCAAGCCAGCCTGCAAAATAGTTCTGAAAGATAAACAAGAACTTATTTTACATTTTTGAAATTTACATTTTAAAATGAACACTATCATATTCTGTAATAGTTTCCACATACCATTTTCCTAAACCCTGAAAGCTGCTATCAGAATTCTTTCAGAACATGCTTCTTTTCACAAATCAACTCAAATCAGAATAAAGAAGTTTATATGTGGAGCTATCTGAAACAAAGCCTATGTAGTCCTAACTTCAAAGACAAATATTTCTTAACGTATGACTACTGCACTATTTACTATCTTTCACAAAGACGATTTAATATTAGCAACTAGTACAAGCCATACAAACAAATGTTACCTCCTCCTAAAATTGGAGGACAAAGAGAGTGATGGTCTACTTAGTCCTTAGTTTTAGGTTATTGGTACTTCTCCAAACTCAAAGGGGAAAACTCACCAAACCTAGAAGTTAAACAAACATGGTAATAGTCATTTCCAGCTTGCCTGCCAACAACCATTTGCACAGCCAAATGGTACTCTTGTCATTCAACAGAGCCAACACGTTCCCATTTGGATTGAATAATCCTTTAGATAACTCAGTGAAAATTCCCAAATATGACAAGGTTTGGAAATGAGAAATAAATCTCAAATTTTATCACATTTTAAGTTTTCTCTAATCTACAAAAGACAGCTATGTGCAAAGTAAAAAACAAATAAATAAATCTAAATGAAGTATTATTGAGCAAACTATAATTTTATCACAGGGAATTTTTAGAGAATGGAAAAAAATCACATTTAAATTTAGTAAGACAAATGCAGATTCTATGAGGTGCGTTACTATTAACCACTGACCACAAACCAAAGGTCAAGTTTTCATAACTAGAAGAATTAAGGAATGAGAACCACAAATCACTAGAGTATTTTACCCCTGGCAAAGATTCTATGAAAATTCTATTTCTAGTAAGTAATACACAATTGGATTATGTATTTATACCTGGACAGCTTCAACTGAGTGAGCTGGATGTTCATTTTGTCAATGACTGGGGGAAGAGAATAATGTCCTACAGAAACTAAGCTAAATTTGTTTTCAACTCTGATTAAACCCAGATCTGCTATAACAGCATTAGGTGACACTGAAGACTGAGGAATGATAATAACTGGTGCTTTCAAATTGATATCCATCAAAAGGCGGAAACTCTTTTGAGCCAAGTCTTTCATGCTGGAAGCAGCTCTTTCTGCAGCCTGGACTGTGGCTGCGCTCAAAGCTTCTTTGGCAGTTTGGAAATTGTTGAGGAAGTTCTGTTGAAAGAGACTGATATTCAGAATTCCAAAAAAACAAGATTTATTTAAAAAAGGAGAAACTTTAAAAAGCATTTACTTTAAAATGAAAAACTAAATAAAACAGGTAATATAAAAGAGATGTGATTTATGATTGTGTACATGGAGAGAGTAAAGTCTAGAAAGATACACTTTGAGAAATTAACAATAGTTCCCTCTAGGAAGGAAGAGTCCTTTAATTTTCATTTATATATTTCAGAATTACTTGGTTTTTATGACAAATATTGGTAACAATTCTTTTTTATACCTCCTTTTTGCTCATGAATGTTGGTTATTTTTAATTCGAATTTAAGTAAAAGAGATGGTGGAGAGCACTTTACTTCTCCAGAAGTGGGTTCAATTCTGTACCTCTAGGTCACAGGAAAAAAGTTTATTCTTAGAAACTAAGATTTTGTCAGGTTATTTCTGAAGATTCTTTTTTGTGTGTACTCAAGCATAAGAAAGATGCTTAAAGCATCTACAATCTTGCAATCATTAATAAGAATCAAAACTTCTTTAGTTAGAGTAAGATGCATTTCATCTCAATTTCAACTAAAAACAGAAAAGACTTTTCCCCAATGAAGATCGTTCTTAGAAGCAATATTCTTGATGTTCATCTGTTAATAATACAAAGCGACTTAAACTTCCCCCCTCCAAATAAGATGCTTTCCAGAAAAATGAAACATGATGGTTTAGGTAGAAATCCATGACCTGTAAGCTTTGATTAACAGCTCTGCTAAGAGGCATAGGCATATTTAAACTCTTCAGTTGGATACTTACGTGGGAAAAAAACCTTAAGTTTTACACTTACATGGAAATAAATAATTAGAAGAAAAGAATTTTTTGGCCTTGCTGATCACAATTATAATCAGAAGCTGTGTAAGTTCCAGTATTAGTCTTTCAAATGCCTGATGAGCTCCTTAAAAATTTCTTTTAGCTAAATACCTTTAAGAGTATTTCATAGAACACATAACACTGAAAAGCCCTAACTTAAAACATCAAAAAGTACTTTTAAAATACATAACTATGGAAGTGTTAAAGAATGATAGTTTATATGTTCAAAATAATGATAACCAAATGAAAAAATTCATTTGGTTACCCATCATGTAAAGGATTTCCTTAACAATATATAATATTCTGTTTAGCATTTGGGTATTTATCACACAGCCCTGTTAGTAAAGAGTTAGACTATCTAGATTAGATGTATAGGCAAAGATATTTAGGCCTCAATGAGAAATAAATATATTTTAAAAATAAACTTACCAAAAGAGACATGAAGAATTTATGAACATAAACAATTTGAATACAACCCACTTTGAGACTAAGTTTGCCATCTACTTTAGACATATCAGCATAGGCCTTTCCTTCTGTAGCGTCTGGAAAAAGAGTCATTTGGAACCTAAAGACTTCATCTCCCAAAATAGAGACAGCCTAAAAGTATGAAATTAGCTGGTTGTTACATCAGAAGAACTGTATCCATGTATTATAAATAAGTTTCCTAATTACAGAAACCTTTCTATATAAAGAAGTACCATTTAATTCAATCTTCAACAAATTATTAAAAACATTTTACTTGACAATAACTTTTTCCTATTTCTATAAAAATCACTTTACCATGGAAATATCAATTACCTAATTGGTCAGAAATAACTTTTACAAATCACCTAGTGTACATACAATGTGAAAGCAGACAATGACCACATTCATGCCCAATCCCTAACAAAGTGCCTGACGCACAACAATTAATAAACACATACTGAACAAATGAATAAAGGCATCTCAAACCCAAAGAACAAAAATAAATTTCAATATAGAAGCCTATCTTTTAATTACCTTTTTGTGAATAGACAGCAAATCAACATTTGTAACTATGATATCCTTAAGTCTGGCAAACATGTCAGTCTGCTTTGGCTTCACAGAAATAGAGGCATCCATTCCTATGGGAAACATAAAAGTTACAAACTTTCTACCCAATGCAAGTGAACAAATTCAGTGGTATTTAAGTTCAATAATACACTACCAAGATATAGAATGAATAAAAATTCTATTAGACATATTAAAGATATCAATCTCTCTGTATGAGATATCTAAGAAAGATTACAATATCTTTAAGTGCTACTGGCATCTTATACATGAAAGCTGTAAAAACTGTCAAACAAAAGAAACCGGATTTCAAAGGAAATTAATCACAAGTCTGTAAACACAAATATCCTGTGCTCTGGCAAGATCAGAAGTGGTCGTTTAGGAAGACAGATAATGTTTGTTAAACAGCCATCTACAAACAGTTATTATATTATGAAAACTACTGCTCCAATAACTAAGCATAAATGAATATAATCTGATGAATAAGTACTATTCTTTCTACAATAAATTGTATCTAAAATACAATCTTATAAGATTTCCCTCCAAAACACTTTTTGGCATTCCCATGATTTCTAAAGGCCGGGTGATTTCTAAAACTGTTCTCAGTAGAGAGAATGCCTGTGGCTAAGACCCGGTAATAAGCCCAAACCATTATCATGCCACCCATAAAATAGATACTTAGTAAAATTTGTTGAATGAAACTGATTTCTTAACCTTTTTAAACTGATTACTATGTACCAGGCACTTTTCTAAATATATGTAAATGTGTAAACTTAATCCTCACAACAACCCTATGAATAATTATCATAACTATCTCCATTTTACAGACCGGGAACTAAGGCACAGAAGAGTAAATTAATTTGCTCAAGCTTAGCCAGTAAGTATTAGAGCCAAAACCTGAACCTTGGCAGGCTGGGTCCAGAACCCACAGTATAATCTGAACTCATCCTTATATTGACTAATGATGAGTAAAACATAAAAATTTCTCTTAGAAACTTCTTTTCCTGATGCTATGTATACACAAAAGACAAGGGAAATAAGGATAATGACATTTTCTTTACCCAGTGAGATGGTATCATGATATTCATTTCTCAGTTTCAATTAAAGTTATATTATTCTGAAAACGCAAACAGAATGTAAGATATTAAGCCTTAGACTTATTCTGAAAATTTTTAAATACATAAGGAATGTCTCATGTCAGTCATGAACCATAACAAATTTACTTCTACCATTTCAAAATACATCTCTGAAAAGTTTTCAGGAGACTTTAAAATAAGTAAACCAAAAGATGACTCATGAGAAATCTACCATGCACAAGCTCATTCTTCCTGGAGGTCTATGTAAAAAACCAGAAATACCTACACTAAGGAATAACTACTTACCGTGTATTCTAATATCTGCAATGTTACACTTCTGATCACAGACAAAGACATTAAATGCATTCAATTCAGCTATGATCTTTAAATCAAACACATCATCTTGAGAAGTGCTGCTGGATACTAAAACGTAATAGAAACCTTGTGATTAGCAAAGTGCAAAAATGACACAACACAAAATAATCTCAAATTCACTAAAATAAAAGTACATTATGAACTATGAAGAACCAAAAAGGCTTCCATTAAGATTACATACAATTAATACGGATTTTGAATCAATTTTCAAATGCCAATCGGACAGAAACTAGTATATTCCCCTCCAAATTAAGAATAAAGGCAACTTTTAATAGCACCTTGAAAGCACAATTTGCTAGATGGAAAGTTTATTATAATTTTTCTTCTGGGAAAAAAGAAAATCCTCCGTATTAGAATTCTAGAATTCTATTGGTCCCAAATTTTAATTCTGAACTCCTTTTCATATCATATATTAGATCACAAAGAATATTTCATGAAAAACTGGAATAGTGATGAATAGTTAATAAAGTAGATAGTTAATTATGATACATAATACATTAGTAGAACCAATTTCTATAGATTGTACTCTGTTTCTGCATGAAAAATTCTAAAATAAATTCTATGAGACATAAACATAAAGGGCTAAAGTTAAAAAAGTACAAAAAAATCTTTTTGTGTGTTTGTGTGCGTGTGCACGTGTATAAGCATCATAATCAAGTGATTCCCTTAATCTACTTTAGTCCATGTCCTGATTGATACATTTAGGAGATTTTTCTTGTGTGAGGGAAACAGACCTTTTCCTATTAAACTGTAAAAACATGGGAACGCCAGTCCTTAATCACTAAGATGATAATAGGATTTTTTCCCTTAAGATTTAAAGTAGCATAATGAAACCATAAAAACCAAGTATACAGCATAACTAGAAGACTGTTTCTTTGGATTAATATTTTTTGTAGTTTATCATGAGCTTCAACATTGCTTCTTCATTTATTCAATTGTGTGTGTGTATGTATGTATGTATATGGTATATAGAAAAGAATGTCCATGGATATTAATGTAACAAGTACATTAAAGACAAAGAAGGTAAAACTCCTTTACTCTAGTTTATAGCAAAAGTATTGCTCTGCTCTTTGGTTAAAAAAAAAATCTGATCCTTGTATCAGATCTAATATTACTATCAGTTTTACATTTTAAAGATGCCAGTAATAAGATATAACTCAAACAGGTAATGGTCTGAAAATTAAATTACTAGATGTTAGTAATTTTACATCATATGATATGAAAGAAAAATAATTAAAATGATATTTGACTTAAACACAAGCCCATGTTCACTCAGGATACATCATATCTAATATTTCACAGCACAAGTCATATACTTGAGGCACATGTGCCCATATATGTATGTGATTTAAATTCAATTGTGGTTAGAAACCAAAGTGAGTCTGTCTCTTCCATGAGATTCTTCCTTGCGTGTCCTGCACTTAAAATTGCTGAGCACCAGGTAGGTTTACTTGACTTATTTTATTGAAATGGGCCTTTGTTACGCATGATCATATTCATATTTTAATTTCTTCTTCTCTCACTTTCATTGGCGTGAAGGCTGCAGAGACATTGATGCAAAGTATATACAAGTTAATTTTATGTAAAAGCTAGACAGTGAAATCAAATATAAATACATGATTAATATTAAACATTTATTTTAAATGCTTCACTAAATTACTCTATAATACCATAGGGATAAATTTTGCTTTCTTTTGAAACTAATCTAATCTTTCAGAGCAGCTGTAGCATTAAGGTGCTAAAAAATATTTACCTTAGCTTGAAAATACAAGTTATTATATAATTATTAAAGTTCAGAGAGAAAGTATTAGACCATGACTTAAAAGTTAATACCAGCTTTGACAACAATACTTCTGGACTCCCCCATAAGTGGTTTCAGCTCAGATTCCTTCTCAGAATAGGAAGGTTCAGAGGATGGAATAGCAGATGATACAAAATCCATGAAGGAGAGTAAAGCTTCCAAATGAAGTACTAAGTCTAAGGATGAAAATGAAACCTAAGATAATGAACAATTAGAGAAGCAGATTTCAGATATGCTGACATTTTTATATTAAGTTTCAACATTTAGAAGTAGCACAAGAATAGTTCAATTAAGTCCTTTTTTTATTTTTTAAGAATGAATAATTACAATTCACTATTACAATGTCAGTCCTTACACTCTGCCCTCTCCCACACCCAATCGTAATTTTAACTGCAACAGAACATGATGGGTTTTAAGTAAAGAGATAGGAAGTATTATCAGGCCTTAGGTCAATCACATTTCAGAGGGTTCCAAGGCAGACTATACAAGCTCAAATGGACTACGAGTAATGTCTGTACTGAGCTGTGCTTTCAGCTTTGTCCTTAATTTTATTCTTATCCTAAAGTCAGTATATAATTCAAACATTTAATGTTTCCATCAACATTAGGCCAAATAACCATAGTGAATAAAATTCCCTAAAAACTGTATTATTTGTGTACTCATCAAGGAATCATTAATTCATATCTGGGAAATAATCTCTTAGGAAATCAAACCAATTTTTCTAAGAATTTTATTTCAACTCCATATCCATTTCTTTTATCAACAAGATTAGATCTATTATTATGGCCACCCTTATTCTAATTTTAGAACTCACAATCTCAAAACTGAAGATGGCTATGAAGCTAGATTTAATAATTAATATACGCTAGCCTTATAATGAATTAGAAAAGATTTACCTTTAGTCTCTGTTTGGTATTTTCATGAATGGTTTTAAATTCTGGTCCATCACTGTCTGCCTAAAAATAGTGAAGGATTAAACCACTGCGTTGCAAATATTAAAAATTCACATATTGAAAAAAAATATATATATATATACTTTACTTTTCAAAGTACGCTATGAAAACACTATAAACATATTTCTTAAAGGCAAAGAAGAACACGCCAGAAAAACTGACCATATAAGCATTTCTCACATTTATAGAAGCAAAAACTCAAATTCCTTATCCTACTTAATGCTAACAGTAGCGAAAAATGCTAGTATATCTAGATCACAACGAACTTTGCTTCGGATACAATGGAACTTTGTATACTCCCACTTATTCAACAACTTAGGGTTAACTCAGAAGGTTACTGAAATTATCCAGGATTTTCAGACGCTTGCATAATTCACTATAATCAACCAGTTTTAGAATGAAAAACTTTAGGGGAGAAAACTGAAATATTAAATATGGAGAAATTACGTAATTTCACATATTCAAATATTAAAGAGTTCTAGATATACAACCAGGTACCTTTGTCAACAGCATTTTCAGAAGGGGTTCGTCAGTTACATTAGAAGAGTTAATAATGTGAAGAGGTTCTCCTTTAGAGTCTAAAAGAGAAAAAGACAGGGTAGCTCCAGTAAGTCTTTTAAACATTTCAAATGTATTTTAAAATAGACTAGTTACACAAATGCATGTTTGTCAAAACTCCCAGAATTGTATACTAAAAAGGGTGAATTTGACTGTATATAAATCATACCTCAATAAAACTGGCTTTGAAAAAAAAAGAAGGAAAGAACTCTATAAAAAAAAAAAACAAAAAACCAGCACCAGCCAATTACAACTCTTGTAACATTTCGTACTACTGGTATCAGTCATTTAAACAAATCAGAATACATTAAAGAATAATGTCATAAAATACATAAACTAGGGATTACTCTCAATACAAGTCTGCTTTACTTTAAAGTTACCTCATAGAGTTCCTGTAAACTTTAAACATCCATAGCAACTTTAAAAGTTAGCTTGATGCAGTTTTTAGAAAGTGCATCTGAAAGGTTGAGGATACCTGCTAAAGAATAACTCAATAACTTAGTGTTGATTTGGGGGTAAGGGAGTGTGACTACAAGGCGATGTTAAATTTTTTCTCTATATATTTCTGTATTGATAACTTTTCTTTTTCATAAGGACATATTAATGTCATTAAAAACAAATAATAAAACACTGATGTAATTTAAAAATAAATAAAAACCACATAAAAAGTTACTTCCTAGTAAATTAACTCATCTTTTCAAAAAGGGTCCTTGGGTTCTACACCTGGGTATTGTACTTGGGTTCTGATTTCCTAATATACCAGTTCTCGTAGAATAGTTATAATGAAATGTTACCTTTTACAAGTACTGAAGTGTTATGTATGGACATTGGAGATAGAGGCTTCATTTTTCTTTAAGATACATTTTACTTCACACTAAATATAGATATATATTTAGATATATTCTTACTTTGTGATAAATAACTACATAAATAATAAATTTTAAAATATAAAATTCCTTTGTATCGATGTAAGAAATTTAAATAATTATGGTGACTAATAAATATGCTTAATGTTGATAAAAAGGTAGGGACCATCTGTCTATTACACAGATAATTTACAGACTATACTTCACACTTACCAGCAAACTCAAAGCATCGCATGCTAATTTTTTTTAGATAAGCTTGAGCAGTCAGGTCATAAGTTTTAACTCTAGCTTCCATTCCAAGCTGCAGGACATTTAGTTCATGTATAGGCCTTCCTTTCTTTTCTGCTTTTTTCATCAAAGTAATCACAACCTAGACAAAAGTACCAGTATTACCACAAACTATTTCCCTAATATACAATGAGGATAAGTCAACAATTTAATAACCACTCAGGGTGATATAACCAAAGAACTTGTACAATGTAAAGATATTTACTTCTATTTGTGTCTGGAAATTGCCTAGTGTTATTTACTTTGGAAGACACATTTACTTGTTCAGGCTTTTGAAACACTGCCACTATATTCTAGTAGTTTTCAAGGTAAAGTTTAAAAAAAAAAAAAAGTAGTTCTGCCTAATTCCCAGAAGTCCTAGTCTGATGGATGGCTTTTCATCTGAAAATCTGTGAGATAAATGGTCAATTTTTATACTATAGTCATGTGTTGCTTAATAACATGGGTATGTTTTGAGAAATGTATCATTAGGAGATTTTGTCATAGTGTGAACATCACAGAGTGTACTTACACAAACATAGATGGTATAGCCTACCACACACTCAAGCTATATGGTACTAATCTGCTGGGACCACTCTTGTATATGCAGTCCGTCGTTGACTAAAATATCATTATGCAATGCATAACTGTACTCCTAAAGCAAGATTTCTCAACCTTGGCACCACTGACATTTTGGGCGGGATAATTATTTGTGCTGATGAGCAGTCCTGTGTACTGCAGGATGTTTAGTAGCATTACTGGTCTCTACCCACTGGTTGCCAGTGGCCCCCTCTCCCCAGATAGTGACAACCAAAAATGTCTTCAGACAGTGCCAAATGTTGGCCTGAGGGAAGGAGGCAAATTGTTTCCCCCCATTCCAATCACTGTTTTAACGGAAGGGAACTTTAATAATATGTATTGCAAATGATATTATAAGAACTTATGAGTTTTCTATGTACACATGTTAATGAAGCCCATTAGCAAATAGAAAAATTCATCTATTAACGTTTCATTTATCAAAGCTTAAAAATGTTCAATAACTCTAATATTAACCAGAAAAATAGCAGAGGTTTAACACGAAAGAAGTTAGTTTCAAAGTACGTATTTCAGATCAAAAAATAGAATTCATTTATTTAAAAATTTATTATTTTTAACTCAGAGAAAGAACATAACTTCTATACAACTAGTTAATGATGAAGAGATTCTGAAGGCAGTCCTGCAAGTCCCTGTATCTACTACGCTTTCTCACATATTCACATCTTTATGCCTGTTCCTCTTTCTACCTTGCCCCAGCCCCTTTCCTGATCTCCTTTTCTCAGACTACATCTCACTCTTCTTTAAAACTCAACTCAAATGTCACTTCCTCCAAGAAATCTTCCCTGTCCCTCTCAGGTGGCTTAGACTTACCCCCGCCCCCCATCACTGCCACAAGCACCCTGGGCACGTTTTAACGGGAGCACTTACAAAAATTTTGTTTGATTCCTTGTTTGAGTTCAGAGTCTATGCCTTTTACTTCTGTATCCTCAACACTTAGCACATGCAATGAATATTTGCTGAATGTGTGAATACAGAAGAGGAAAATCCATTTAACCTTTCCTCAAGAATCTACAGATGGAAAGCAGATAGTGGTAACATGACATTTAAAAAATGCAGACATATTGTGTTTTATTCTATAAGGGTTTCTAAAGTTTGCAAAGGATTTCTCTGTCACTGTTTCCCTTTCCACCCTTTCCTACATGAAATCCAAAGCAAGCCACATTCCAACTGTCCTAAAACCATTTGAAAAGCATGTCATAGGACATGCTACCATTTTCTCTGTGAAGTATCAGATCCCTCAAATATAACTCATACTCTCAAATTTTAAAACATTACTGCTACATACAAATCATAGTCTATGTAAGATTTCTTTTCATCCATATCAATAATCTACAAGTTTATTCTAGTAGAGATAATTCCAAATATCCATTATTTATTCATCTCTTTATAAAAATAGATGAAAATTACACACCTCTTTGATTTCAAAATTGAGCACCATATTAATGATGTCTACAGATTTAATTTCTTCCACTCCAGCTGTTAAAGTACTTTGTAAAGCACGTACATCTTGTTGTGACACAGAGGTTTCAAGTGGCTCTTTAGGTTCACCTAAAGACATTTAAAAGAAATTCATTCACTTCTATTCACACATTTCTCCACAAATACTCATTGAGGACTTAAATACCAGTACTCTAGACCTGGTACCAGCACTGAAAGTCCACAAATCTGTAATACGCAGCTCCAGCCCTTAGAAAACTCAGAGTTTAGCAGAAGAGACATACACATTTAAAATACAAGGAACCAAAATAAGGAGGCTACACCTAGTCAGATTAAGTCGACAAATGCTAATAGATTCTATATAAAATGTTCAAAAAGCACAGAACTAGGCATGACATTGTTATGGGAGGTCAAGAAAGGCTTAATAGGGGAATTATCATTCAAGTAGAGCTGAAGGACTCCCTCACACAGCGGCGACTTCAAGAATAAGTTAAGAGATTGTGGAAAACCACATATAGATAACACACCATGATAGGTTTTGGAAACAGAATGGAGTTTAATCTAACTAAATCATGAGGAGGATAATAAGAATTAAGGCTAGAAAAGAAAAAAAGGCGGGGGGGGAAATGTTTAGAGCCTCTTATGCCATACCAAGAAGCAAATGTAAAGCTATATGAGTATGATGATGATGTGCTGAAATTCACACTCTGAAATGCAATAAAATCGCTTTCCAAGCTGTAATAAACAAAACCAGTAACAGCTATCGCTGCTAAGTGCTTACCTCTGTGCAGACACTGTGCTAAGGGCTGTACATGGATTGTCTCGTTTAATTCTTACAACAACCTTTTGGGATAAAAACTTTACTGTGCTCATTTCACAGATGAGAAAATTAAGGTTCAGACAGATTCAGTACATTTCTCAGAGTCACAGAGATGGCAAATGGTAGAGCCCAAACTCATCAGTCTGACTTTATAGCCTTTACCCTCAACTAACCCTCAATATCATTACATTATTTATTAATATTATTCCAGTTAACATTATCTATGATCACTAACATAACACAAAGGAATTCTGTAGCATGAACTATATCAGAAACCCATAAGGAAAACCACTCCTGTCAATTATTTTTGAGAAAGCAAAAATAGGGCCAGACTTCTTAACTATCCCCTTATTCCAGCACTATTGCAAACATAATGTGATCCAGGGGAAGTAATTCTAGCAAATATTTTGCTTTTACAAAACAATTCTTGGAATAGGTGAAGATTTCTTTAATAAAAAGCACTGATCATTTTAAAAGATGGTAAATTGGAATTCATTACAGTTAACTATTTCTATTCACAAAGACCAATTAAGATAGAGAAAAGGTAAATCAAAGACAGGGAGAAGACATTTCTCCACACATACCAACACATATAACACATATAACCAGAAAGGGCTCATATCCAGAATAAATAAAGAATTCCTATACATCAATAAGAAAAAAGACAAACATCTCAATAAAAATAATGCTCAATAGACTTGAATAGTCATGTCAAAAAAGTGGATATTCAAATGGCCAATAATCATACGAAAAGGTTTCCAATTTCATTAGTAATCAGGGTACATATAAAAACCATGGAGGTACCACTGCATATTCGCCAGGATGGCTAAATTTAAAAATACTGACAATACCAAGTACTAGTGAAAATGTGACACAACTGGAACTCTCATACATTGCTGATAGGAAAGTAAATTGGTACAACCACTTGGAAAACTATTTGGTATAACTTGGCATGAGTTTCTGAAAGTAAACATGCGCCTAACACATGATGCAGTAATTCTACGTCTGGCTATATAACCAAAAGAAAACAGTATGTAAGCATGCAAAAGACACATACAGTAACATTCACAGCAACTTTATGCATGAAAGTCAAAAAGAGGAAACAACCCAAAGGATCATCAAAGATAGAATGGATCAAATAAATACTGATACATTCAAATAATGAATACCACACAGAAACAAAAAGAACAAAATACTGCTGCATACAACAACATGGATGAATCTCACAAACAATGATGAATGAAAGAAGCCAAAAATCAAAGAGTAAATTCTGTATGACTCTATTTACATGAAATTCAAGAAGAAGCAAAACTAATCTATCTATGGTATTACAAAATGGAATGGCAGTTCATTCTAGGTGGATCTGTGGGCAGAGCAGGCATTTGGTACTGACTGGGAAGGGCATAGGGAGGCCTCCTGGGGCACTGTGCTAGAAATGTTCTGTATCTTATCACGGTGATAACACAGGTGTAGCCAGATGTAAAAATTCACTGAATTATACACTTAAGATTTGTGCACTTTACTACATATACTAACATATGGTAAAAAAAATTTCTTCAGTGATAAAATAGAGTGAGACACCATTTTTCACTTAGCAAAGTGGCAAAAATTTAAAAGTCTGATGATCTGCTGTGTTAGAAAAGGTATAGAAAAACAATCTGATGGGAGTGCAAAATTAACACAAGTTCTATGGGAGGCAAATGGCAAGATCTGTCAAAATTGTCAATGAAATCAATTTTAATTAATTATTAATTTGAATTAAATTAGTAAAAGTTAAATACTCTTTAATCCAGTAGTCCTGGTATTTCTCCTACAGATACACATGCACTTGTAAAAGTATATGTACAAGAATATTTAATGCAACATGGTAAGAGTGAAAGATTGAAAACAACCTGAAATGTCCATCAATAGAGACTTCCTAAATAAATTATGATACTTCAACAGAATTTAATACCAGGCAGCTATTAAAAAGAAAGAGGCAGATCTATACATAGTATAGATATAGATATGGAATGAACACCAAGATAAACTGTTAATTAAAAAAAAAAGTAAAGTGCAGAAATACACACATACACACATATAGGATGGTACCATTTGAATAAAGATTATATATGTCTGTATGTGTATATATACACATTTAAAATAGCTTAAAAAAATAAATCTGGTAGTTATTTTACCTTTAACTCGAAAGGACCATTGTAGATAATAATTCAAATTCTCTTTGCATTTTTACTGCAGTACAATTTTTTCAGTATTTTTGCTGAGTAGTAATTTTTCAGATGTTTCTTACAGATATTTCACTACTAAGCCTTATTTAAAACCAGATGAAGTATGCTACCATAGCCTAGTGCCAACTTTAAACATTTTTTTCCATACGTGCAAATTCAGTAATTATTCCAGGAATCCACCACTGGTTTGAAACTCTTCTTTATGGCTTCCTCCTAACTTAACGCAACTTAGAAAAAAGTCTGCACCTATAACTGACTGTTTGCTTAACCAAAAAGAGTCAATCATCTCAAACTATGGTTTTATTCAACAGCATCTTTCTTGTTTTCTTGGTAATACAAATCACAACTTGTAAAAATATATTTGTTTACTTCATATTTACTGTCTCCCCTACTAAATTGTAAAATAAATAGACACATGTATTATGCCACTACTGTCAGTCTCTTACCTGTCTTTTGTATTCCTGGTTTCACTTTATTCAAGTCTTCAGTAGCCTCACCAAGATTTTCTGCTAGTATTCTAAACAAAAGGTTAAGATCTTCTTGATTTAGACTAACCTGTAAAAGATTATATTAAAAGAAAAGACAGATACTTCATTTTAAAGTGAAACAATTTTAATATAGAAAATAAATTCCTAGTAACAAAATACAAAGGACAAAATAATCTTAACATTGACTGAAAAATTATATAATCACTACATATTCAATTATTTTACTACTTATTTCATGTTAAAATTTTTATTTTCAAAGATGAGAAAGTGGAGAAAAATAATGAGATTTATGAGTGTATCTACTTAACTTATACTATCTTTAGTGAAAGTTAATAATGATTAAAGAAATATGATCACTTAAAAAAAAGTGAGAAATTCAAAGAACACATAAATTCCACTTTTTAAACAATAACATTCCAATGAAATTAAAAAGCTATCTTCAGATAAAAAAATAGGTATTTCCCTCAGTGCTATAATTATCTTAGGGGTACTTAGACATGCCTAAAAATAAGAGTAGGTGTATATAATATACAGAAGATGTAATATAATATGCTAATAAGCAATGTACATACAGATCTCCGCTAATGTGTACATGTAGCACATTTAAAAGTTAAGCAATGCTTAATTAAAGATTAAATTCTACTAAAAATAATATAGATCTTGTTGGACATCTTACTGAATTTTTTCTTACTCTCATTAGTAAAAAATTCCACGTTATATGGATTTATATTGAGAAAGTCTTCAGACTCTAAAATTTCAGTAACAAGTTCTTTTCACTCATATACTTACATTCATTGACTCAAGATGTCCTTTAATTTCCACAACAGGTACCTTGTGGTACCAAGAGGAAGCTAGATTCCGATTTACAGAAAACTCCAAGTTAATTGGGTACAATAGCTGAATATCAGGATGGGAGATGCCTGGCTGGATCACTGTCCTAATGAAAAATATAATTGATATATATGCACAAATATAAGGGGAAATGCAACATATCATTAAAAGAACACAAAGTCAAAAGTTGCTGCTCTAAACTCTGATTTGAAATAGTGCAGTTTGAGTGTTTTCTAATCTCAATCTGTAATTAATTTAATCTATAATACACTAGCAGGGACAGATTAAAATATATGATATACAATCAGCCATTAAGAAAACTTTTTCTTTAAACAGTAGACAGGTGAAAAATTGAATACAATTTGAAAAGAAACTCATATTGTTGAAGACATGGGGAAATCATTCAATACTGTTGTTCAAGGTCTGATAATGTACATTGGTACAGAGAATCAAAGAAATAGCAAGAAGGACAGTTATCATTTTCTAAGGAATTTCATAAAACTCTTCTCCAGGATTATTTTCTGGACTTGACTTATAATGATCCCTTTTTTATTCAGGATAATTAAATGTCCTTGGATGGAGGGTAAAATGATTTTAAAATGAATTATGTACAGACTTTCATGTGTTATCTGACGTGGGCCCAACAGATACATCATGACTTACAAGGTATTCCTGCCAAAAATGTCTAAGCTCAATTAAATCATGAGGAATCACTCACACAAAACCAAACAGAGAGACGTTCCATGGAACAATTAGACTGTACTCTCCAAAACTGTCATCATCAAGAAAGGAAGGCTAAAGAACTATTCCAGAATAAGTATCTACCAGTACAGAAATCCTCCTCAATAGTATAGGATATAATTAAATGCCTTACGTAATCCTGGACCGAGGAAAAAATCACTATAATGGACATTATTGAAACAACTGGTAAAATCTGAATATTGACTGCAAGTTAGATAATAGTATTATATCAGTGTCAAATTTCCAGAATTTGATAATTGCATTGTGGTTATATAAAAGAACAAACATTCTTGCTCTTAGGAGACACGTGCCAGAGTATTTAGGGGTGGGGTTAAGACGTCTATTCTCAAATGGTTTAGGAAGAAGTGTTTTAACTTCCAGTTATACAATAAGTCAGTCCTGGGATGTGATGCACAGCACGGTGACCACAGTCAACAATACTGTATTGTATATTTGAAAGTTGCTAAGAGAGTAGATCTTAAAGCTTCTCATCACAAGAAAAAAAATTTTGTAACTATGTACGCTGATGGATGTTAACTAGACTTATTGTGGTGATCATTTCACAATACAGACATATATCGAATCATTATGTTGTACACCTGAAACTAATATAATGTTATACGTCAATTATACCTCAATTAAAATTAAATTAAAAAGATGTCTTAAATGATAATATGCATATACATAAAGTTTAAGCAAATGTAAACAATTGGTGAATCCAGGTGAAAGATTATAAGCACATTCATGGTACTATTTTTGCAATTTTTCTGTAGGTTTGAAATTTTTCAAAATAGAAAGTTGATTAAAAAATAAACTGTTTTGTGCAACAGAAATATGTTGGGTATGAATTCCAGTGGACATAAAATTTCATCAAAAACATTAACTAATACTTAGATCCATAATTACTGAAAGAGCATACCTAGAAAGCTTAAGCTTTGTTAGCTGCACATCCATTCTATCAATTACTGGAGGGTTTAAGTAGTCTTCACCAGACACCAGACTGAACTGATTTTGAACTCTGATTAATCCAAGATCTACCACGACTGCATTGGTGGAAATGGAAGACTGCGGGATGACTATAACTGGTGCTTTCAAATCAATATTGATAGAAACACGAAAACTCCTCTGGGCAAGATCTTTCACACTTGTGGCAGCCTTTTCTGCAGCCTGGGCAGTGGCAGCACTCAGAGCCTCTTTGGCTGTCTGGAAATTGTTCAGGAAGTTCTGTGGACACAAAGTATAAAAGGCGACACTCAAGCAGAGAACAAATACATCATTAATAACACCATTTTCTTTTTATGTATGTGCTAATTTTTTCCCAATAGATAATTTTCAGTTGAGTCCTATTTTTCTAGAGTTAAGAATGAATTACTGATTATCCATCCATAATTATGAGCTACCTAATAAAGGCCTCAGGTTATATGACTGAGGAACAGAGACAAAAAACCATTTTCAATAGTTTTTGTACTTGAGAATTTGGTTTCATTATGTTCCAGCAAAAATAATTTTAGACAAAAATCATTCAATGATTCAGTTTTCAACTGTTAAAGAAAGGTTCTGATCTCTACATTAATACATAAATACCATCTACAATCAAAACAATGCACACCCTAAAATCCAATATTTGTAAGATTTGCAATCATAATTATCAGACTTATTGAAGAATTTCTAAGTTGAAAAATTAATATATAGGGGCTGGCCCAGTGGGGGAGCAGTTAAGTTCGTGCGCTCCACTTGAGTGGCCCAGGGTTCGCCAATTCCTGGCAAACCCAGGGGCAGACCTACGCACTGCCCATCAAGCCATCCTGTGGCAGGTGTCCCACATACAAAATAAGAGGAAGATGGGCACAGATGTTAGCTCAGGACCAATTTTCCTTAGCAAGAAGAGGAGGATTGGTGGTGGATGTCAGCTCAGGGCCAATCTTCCTCAAAAAAAAAATTAATTATAAATAGTGATTTTACCAGAAGTGACATGAGGAATTTATGAAGATAGACAATCTGAATGCAGCCAACGTTCAGTGATACCACACCATCCACTTTGGACATGTCAGTATAGGCATCCCCCTCAGTAGCATGTGGATACAAATCCAAGTTAAAACGAAAAACTTCATTTCCCATTATTGACACGGCCTGAAAAGCAGAGATTTGAATGTACTCCATCCATGAGGGTAACAACAAAATTAAGTCCCATTTAAATGGGGCTTATATTTATAATCATTATAGAAACAAACATTTTCTATAAAAATATATTTCATTAATAATATAAAATATATTTAATAATAAAATCTCATATTCAATCATCAAAAAATATTAGTGATCTATTTACCACCACCTACTTTTTTATGAACTGTATTAGGATCAATATCTGTGACAACAATATTTTCCAGTCTGGCAAATAGTGACTGTTTTCTCGACTGAAGAGAAAGAGAGGAATCGAGGCCTGAAAAAAAATTATATTATAATTTCTATAGATTACCATAATAAGATCTTTTTTCCATTTCAGACAGACTTTTATTATTTTTTTACAGATGTACATCATTATATTTCCATTTCTATGTAGACTACATCATGTTTGCCACCCAAAGACTAATTACCATCTGTCACGTACATATGTGCCCTATTACCCCTTTCACTCTCCTCCCCTTTGGTAACCACTAATCTAATCTCTGTATCTATGTGTGTGTTTGTTGTTGTTGTTTTCCTGTTCCACTTATGAGTGAAATCACAGGGTATTTGACTTTCTCCATCTGACCTATTTCGCTTAGCATAATTTCTATAGATCTACAATAATAAGATCTTAAGATGTTTCTTTCCATTTGATAATTTTATTTGGGGGATGATATTTTTAAAAATTTAGCAATGCTTGAACTCCCAATTGATAAATAAGTTGTGATATTAGATATTTTTAGTTTTATAAACAATGAAATCTATAAATTCATTAAAAAATAATTACCTGAACTTTCAACCTTCTGAAAAAACTACACCTGGTGCAAACAGATTATCCTGGGATTTTAGTAAATCCTTTATACCTTATATCCAGTCATTTACATAGAAGCTATAAAAGTTTCATGAATCAAATTCAGACTAATAGATGAAATGCCAGTTTGGAAAGAACAAAGAAAAAACTTAGTTTTCTAGTTTTTAAGTTCTTCAAGAATTTCATTAAACATATTCTTTACCTTTACCAGAAATGAGCTGGTAAAGATGGAGTCAGAAAAAAACTAGATCGGTTTTAGCAGCTTTTGCCTAAAAGAACATAATGGGCTTATAGGTTTTGTTCTTCATGATAAGGGTGCTTTGCACTTGTACTAAGACAAAGCATATTCATAAACCTTAATCTGAATTCTGGATTGACACTTATCCCAGCCCATCAACAAGATCCCTATATTGACATTATTATCACTTTTCACCTCCGGGATAATTCTCAAAATGGTCCAAAACACCAGCATGAATGGTTCAATTTGACGATCAGATTCTGACCAACATCTACATCCCAAAGAGTTAAGAAAGCATGCAGTCCAAGTATGTCATAAAATAAAATTATCCAGTTTTCACAGCTCAGAGCCCTCCATTTGTATATTCTTTAGCATTGCAGAAAAAATAAAAAGCTAATCTGTCAAACAACTTTTAATACTGTGAGAAATTTTACCTTGAATCTTGATTTCAGCAATATTGTTCTTCTCATCGCAAATGATGACACAGAAAGCATTCAACTTGGCAAATAGCCTGAAGTCAATAATGTCACTATCTTTAGAGGATACAATCACTACAAATAAAACAAAGCATTCTATCACAGTGGGATTCTAGTAATCTAGACTCTACTAAGGTTTCTTCCCTATATTAAGTGAACCACAGTTCTGTTAAAAAAAAATTATAAAAGTCTCAAGTTCTTAAAGATTTCAATTACTTTTCTTTTGCTTTATATATTCTGTAGAGTTTGCATTTTTCATAGTGAGATGTGTTACTTGTATAATTTAAAAGCAAGAAAAAATGTAAAATAAATAAGATAAGGACACTGAAACTCAGAGAAGTTAATGTGTCTACAGTGACATAGTTTAAGATGAAAAATCAGGATCTGAAGAGTTCTTTCTGAAAATCTGGGCTCTTGACCAATTAGATGCTACCCCTAGCCTCATGTCTTTGTGTCTTGCTTTCCTTATTTGTAAAATGAAAGGGCAGACTAACCCTCTATGGAGCCCCTCAAGAGGCACTGAGAGCGAAGAGCTCAGAGTAAATACAGGTCTTCTTCCCCTATCACTCACCTAAAGGCATCCCCTCACCACCACCAAAACAAGAACAAAAACAGACGATTTTTAAAACAACAGTATTTATTACATTTGCCTTAGATATCTGGCACCTGCGTATGATTTAGTTTAAAGAAAAGGACAGAACTGGGGGAAATGGCAGGTAAATGACTGAACTAGATAATCTCTAAGATTCTCCATTTAGCTCTAGAATCCTAAAACCTTTGCTAACAAGAAACAAAAAGAGTTTTTTGTTTTTTTTTTTAAAGATTTTATTTTTTCCTTTTTCTCCCCAAAGCCCCCTGGTACATAGTTGTGTATTCTTCGTTGTGGGTTCTTCTAGTTGTGGCATGTGGGACGCTGCCTCAGTGTGGTCTGATGAGCAGTGCCATGTCCGCGCCCAGGATCTGAACCAACGAAACACTGGGCCGCCTGCAGCGGAGCGCACGAACTTAACCACTCGGCCACGTGGCCAGCCCCAACAAAAAGTGTTTTTCATACCTTTCTGCAGAGCCGAATTTTTTTGTTGATTTTCAGTTGAAATTTGTACTTCCTTAGTATCACCTATGTTTTGGCCATCTGATGGAATAATGGTTGTCAGGTAATTAATAGAAGAGAGAAGAGCTTGTGTCTGCATCAACAGATTTAAAGATGAAAAAGCCACCTAGAAACGTTTAAAAAGGAAAATCAGTTTCTCAGGCCTACTACACTAGTAGTCCCCATGATGGACCCAAAAGCCTCCCGGCTAGGCTTACATCACTGCCTTCCACAGCTTGGAAGGAAAAGAGAAGGGAGGAAGATTCACAACCCAGACTCCTTAAACAGGTCATAAATGGAGAGTAAATTACACTTACACACTTCAGCGGTTCATTTGAGTATCAAAGTAACCTAATTACTCCATTTCCCAAGCATAATTATCGTGGAGCCTCTAACCTGCTTGTCATGGCCATCCTGATATTCAATATATATATGGTTTTTTGGATGTTCAATGGACTATTTATCATGATATATAAGTTAGAACATGAAACTTCAGAATCACTATGTGTTACGACTATGTCAAGAAATGATTTCAAAAGTGACATTCATGAGATTTAAATGTAAAAACTACAATTACGAGCAAGTTCTTAGTTACTAAATAATCTTCAAAACCACAATAATGGTCCTATCATTTAAAAACAAAGAATATAAAACTTACAGGAAAAAAGTATTACATTTTTTAAAACAATGACTGCAGAAAGCTAAAATAGAAACACAAGTTGCTTTCAAGAATATGTGGTTTTCTAATAGTGAATTAAAATTTTAAAAAGATCTTTCTTTATAGAAAAGAATTTCTTTTCATTGCCTGAAAACACTAAGTGGACACAAAATTACAAAAAGGAAGGGTCACAATATTCAACAGATTCTCCCATCTCTCAAAGTCTAACCTAAAACTCATTTCTCTCTCTTTTTTTTTTTAATGTAACCCACAACGACATTTTGCCTCTTCTTCCTCTACATGACTACCTTAGTACGGCTCCAGAAGAAATCAACATCTCTCCTCACATTTCATATACTTTTCATATACATTTTTTCATATACATTTCATAGACTTTCTCAGTCCTGCATTCAACCACAGCATTGAGTTTGGTTTGTTTAGAAATCTGTTGGTTCTTTGTAAATCAAGGTTCTCTCATCTATAGCATTCTTTTCTTTAGAAATAAATTGGACGTGCTACACTAAGTCAAAACAACAGCTTTATGATGTCAAATCATAAACATAGAACATGGCAGGGATCTGTGAGGGTCATTTATAACTTTCATTGGTTCTTGATTATTTCATCAAATTACTCAGTCAATATTCCTCAAAGGATACTGGAGACTTCCAGAGTAGGTTATTTTCACATATGAGATATTCTTTTAATAGAATTTCTTACCTTAAATGTTTGTTCAGTTTTTTCAAAAGTAGTTTGGAAACTAGGTCCATTCTTATCAGCCTAAAAAAAAGAAACAAAAGTTCTAAAGAAAGAATTAAGACCAAAGTAAATAAATCACTTATTTATGATCTCATTAATTTATTTATATTGTTAGAATTCTATTGTATATACATCATATATTAAATTTTATTATCTTATTTTAAAGTTACATTCAAATTATTTATTTATCATAATAGTGCAAATTTGTTCTTCTCTTCAAATACAGGAGACCATGGCAACATTCATTTCTGGGAAACTGCAGCTAGAGATCAGAACTATAAGCTCTGATTGGAAATTTTAAAGATTGGAAAATTTAAAGGTCATCTAGCCCTAACCTTGAATCTGTTTATAAAGTCTTTGATAAGTCTATTTTAAGATATCCCCAGTGAAAGAAACCACATTTTCTTACAAATTCAATCTTTAGAGAACTTTGATTTAATGAGTTCTTCACACTGAGTCAAAAATCTCTCTCTCATCATAATTACCCATTGGTTCAAGTTCTGTTCCTTGGGAATGTACAGAATAAATTCAGTTTTACCTCTTGTGAGAAGATTTCTAGCTAGGCTAGTTTCCCTGCCTCCCTGATCCCATAATGTTGTGCTCTTCTTTATTAGAGAATCAATCACATTAAATTTTAATTGTTGTTTACTTGCCTATCTTCCTACTAGTCTATAATTTCCTTGAAAAAAAGGGAATATTTTTCATCTCTGTATCCCAAGTGCCTAACAGAACCTTACAATAAATAGTTTTTGAATGATTAAACAAATCAACTAGTCTTGAATCAAGCTAAACACCATCAGTTCCCTCAGAGTTTCTCATATGATATATTTTTCAGTCCCTTCCCAATCCTGGCAGTTCTCCTCTGAACCCAATCCAATTTGACTTTATCCCTTTTGATGTATATGTATCCCTTCTGACTCATAAACAATGAGTGTAGGTAGGTGCATATGCCCCAGAAGATAGGAGTAGGTCTTACTTCATCCCAGACTTCCATCTTTGGGGACAAGAAGCTTGGTGGCTTTGTAATAGTCCTAGTCCTGTACTTAAGTCAAAGGAAAAGAAGGTGTACAAATGGAAAGAGAAACAGTAGACATCACTAAGATTAAGACCTATGATACACATCCAGAGCCTTTAGTAATCTACTATCATCTTTTTCCTTCAAGAGGATAGTCCAGAGTATACAATACGTATATAAACATTCTATGGCCCTTACCTTAATATACTCCACTTTTAAGAGATCTAATCCAGGTTTGTCAGAAGAGCTAATCAAGTGAAGGGGCTTCTTTTTGGATCCTAGATTAAATAAAAAGAAAAAAAGTATTTCAAATACATTGCTCTTTTTTTAAGTTTGGAATCTTCTGGATGTCTTTTTCTTTTTATTTATTTATTTTTTTTATTTATTTATTTTTTTTATTTTTATTTTTTTTCAGTATACGCTCTATTATGAGAATGAAACCAAATAGTAAGCAAAATACAGCAGGAATTTTCAAATTGTATTGAAAGAAGGTCCCAGCTGGTCTCTTCTGAGAGCAATGTAACTTAAGGTGATCCTGTCACTGGCTGAGTATGATCCCCTCTGTCCACTGGACAGTGCAATGCCCCGGGCCACGAGACTGTCAGTTCCTCTTGCTCCATATCTTCTGAAGCAATCACGAATTTAGTTCCACCTCTGCTGCCTCTGCCTTCTTTCCTTGGGCTTGGATTTGTTGGGTTAGTGGTTTGCAACTATTGTCAAGACTGCACCGTCCCTTTAAGGTACCACATGCCACCACAGCTTACACAGCAGCCCTGTAGCACTTTATCCACCTCCTGTTTACTTAGATCTTCTCCACACTCTTGAGTCAACCAAGACTGGATCATGTTCCGGAGTACCCGGTAGTTTTTGGAAAAAATTTCAAGCAAAACCTGTCGATGCTGACCACTCACGTCTCCAGACTCCCAGAGGGCGAACACCTTCTGCTCATCCGAAGAAGCAGCAGTCTGTGGGGGAAAAGGCAACAGTATCTGCTTGCAACCGGCGGCCAGCATCGTATCCTGCAGCATGCCGTCCAAGATGCCACTGAAGACCATGTGGCCATGGGGCAGGCTGACCAAGTGCAGGTTGAAGAGACGCTTGAGTTTGCTCAGTGTGAGCACAAACTATCTCTGAAAGGTGGCCTCCACGAAGGCCCTCAGTTCCTGGGCCACAGGGGTGTTGGCACAGCCTGGGGGCGGGTGCCCGCTGAAGCTGTCCCCGCCTGCTGCCTGCCCGCAGGCAGCCCACTGGCCAGCCTATTGTGGAGGCCATGACTGGGTGAGGTGTCCATGGGCTCCTCGTCTTCCTCCACTTCCCGCTCTTCCTCTTCCTCTCCTTCCTCGCTCATGGGCTCCTCCTTGATCCGAATACCAGGCAGGACCGTGGATGCCTGGATCTGTTCCTTCCTCCGCTGCAGCTCCTGTTCCAGCAATGCGTGGTTCTGCTGGGCCTTGCTCTTGGCTACTTGGACCCGCTGGTCCCCAGAGAACAGCCCAGCAGGCCCTGATTGTCCATCTGGTTTCTTTGGCATAGTTTCCTTCACAAAATTATAAACTTTTTCTGGCTTGGCCTGGATGCCCATCCACAGCATGTGCTGCCACTGGACCACATCCGGATGCTTCTTGACGAACTCTCCATCGTAAGGCAGTATGAACTCCCAGCCTTTGCTGATCCTCACTACCGCCACGTGCTCCAGAAAGTCCTTCACATCCTCTGCACTGAGTTTAGTCACCATTGCCACCTCTTTCCTTACCACCCACCAGCTCTGCGTGAACTTCCACATAACAAAGTCTCGGCCCCTGCAGAGCACCTCGGCAGGCACGCCACTGTGAGGGCTGGAGGAGTCCTTGGGGTACAGGATGCCACTCTTCACCACCCAGTTTCCTTGGACTAACATAGCCACCTTCTGGATGCCACGCAGAACAGCCACAGAGTCGAGGGAGGGGCCTAGGAGATTCATCAAGTTGGCAAAAGGCATGACCTTCACATTCTTCATCAGGACCTTGATCTGATCAGCCAGAGGCAGGGTGCATAGCTGGGCCCTGGACAGGACATTGCTGGGGGCCACAGGTTTGTCTTTCTCCTGCTCCTGGCTGGGGGGGCATCAGCATTATGAGGTACTCACTCGGTAACTTGACGAGCTCCATGTTCTCAACCCCGCTGGAGCCCTGGCACAGCAGGTACTGGCGCTCGTGCTCAGAGCGGTTGTCCCTCAGGCCATAGTAGTGCAGGTGGACCCAGGGTTCTCTGACATGCTTCTTCTGCAGGAACTTGTAGGACTGCATACGACGCTGGCAGGCCTGTTCCGACTCGGGCAGGGAGAACCGGACCGTGATCTGCTTCACATCTTCTTCTGCCTTGGCCTGTGAAGAGTCTCTCGCCTCACTGGCTGCCTCCCTCTCTCGGTGCTTGGCATCTGCCTTGTCCAGGTAGAAGAAGCTGGGCTGCAGCTGCAGGATGCCATGTAAAGGTGTCAGGTGGAGCTCACCTTGCCTGTAGAGCGCAGCAGCGTAACAGGACGTGTTACTGGTGGTCTGGGAGGAGCCGAACGTCTGCTGTCCATCTGCTTCTAGGAACATGTGCTGGTCTCATTGGCACAGGCGCCACCCACATTCAGTGCAATCTGCTCCCCTTTGCTGCGACAATAGTTGTGATTCAGGATGTCGACGGCCATCTCAAGCTCTACCTTCTGCTGCTTGGGCTTGATCTTGGCTGAGAGGTACAGAATGTCATCTTAGGTCATCGAGGCTGGGTGCACAGGGTACTGAAACAGATAGAGCTTCTCTGCCAGACTTTTGGCCAAGTACACGTCGATCTCCTGTACGACTGGGTCATCCTCTTCATTTGCCATCCTAGGGGGGAGCCAGCCGCACAGTTCTCGGACCTGATCTCTCTGCAAGGCCTGCGAGGAGGCGGCAGCAACGACCCAGGTAGCTGCGGGCTGCAGAGGCGGCGGCAGCCCGGTTCTCCTCTCAGGCAGCGGCCATGTTGCTGGTGGAGAAACTCAGGCGGACATGTCGGGGGAGTGTCTTTTTCTTTTTAAAAAATTTTGTTATTTAAGCTTTAAAAGACTACCGGAATATATTTCCATGGCTATTAAATACTAAGGGCATCACTGGTGAAGAAACAAACCAATCCAAATCCTTAACTTACCTTTGGCATCCAAGTTATTTAAAAACATGCATATTTATTTTCATTTGATTTTATATCTGTGTTCAAAAATAATCAAAACTTCTCTAGATACTTTTAAGGCCATATGTGCATTTGTAGGACAGCAGACAGCTACAGGTGTAAGAATTAGGAAATATGAATTCTAGCTTATCTCTACCCTTACCAAAAGCTATTTAACTTCAGCTTTCTCAACTATATAACAAGGAGACTGGACCATAAAAATATGAAATATCTTGCTGAGCCATAAAATTCTATGAACAAATCTTTCATTCACATTAAAGAAATTTAAATAATTTTCCTTTGTGTAGACTAACAGAGAAGGCTTACACGGAAGAGGAAAGATTTTTCTTAAAAGAGGGAGAACTAATTTCTTTTTAATTTAAAACCAACAGCTCCTACCAGAAGTCCTCTATATCCTTATGTAGAGGTACCAAGGAACTGCTTTGAGAAGCTGTGGAGACAGAAGCGATTTACCCACCGTTTTATCCATAGTTTATTATTTGCTGTTCTCTAACTCCTGCTTCTGAGACATCTCAGAATTTTCCCTTCACCTTCAAGGTCAAAACCTTCCCCACAGGAAAAAAAAAAGCCTAGCAAATTTATTATTTATTTTTCCCCCTCAATACACTGATGTAAATTCCATCTTAACCCAGTACTTACAGAAACTTACTAACACAAAATATTTTTGTTCTAAACTGAAGTTTATTTTAGTTTCAACTATTAAAAAAAAACCCAAAAACTAGATCTTTATATTTGACTAAAATATTAGGCAATTTTAATTACTGTAGATTTACTCATTCCTTCATTCCTCAAATATCTAATGAGCACACAAGATGTACACTGAAACAAATAAACTATAAGAGCTCTAAAAGAATGAATTTTATGTCCCACTATTTTTATTTTTACAAGCTGGTGCTGCTTCTGATATATGAACACTATTCAATAGAAAGAACAAGAACTTCAACATTATAAGACCAGAGATAAATTCTAGGTTTTGCCACTCCTAAGATGAATGGTCTTGAGTAAGTCACTTAATCTTTCTTATTTAACCTTTCTCTGTTTGTAAAATGAGAATAATACTCCCTATGTAAAGGAGATTTATATGGATTCTCCGAGGCAGCAGATCACAGTAGTTAAGAATGCAGACCCTACGACCACACTTCCAGTGTTAATCATGGTTCGGCCACTAACCAGCAGTGTGACCTTGGGTAAGTTACATACCAATTCATGCCTTAGTTTCTTCATATGTAAACTGGAGACAAGAACATGGCCCATTTCATATCATTGTGATAAGGATTAAAAGAGTTATTTGTAAAATGCTTAGTACAGTGCTATTATTTATTATAAACATTATTACACAAATGAAAGTGTTTCTGATACTCAAAGTAATATTATATTTATTATTAGCTATTATTTCTATTTTTATGGCTATTACCTTGAATTTCATGGTAATCCAAGCTGATTTTCTTTAAATAAGATACAGCAGTTAAATCAAATGTTCTCACTGTAGCCTCTGTTCCTAACTGAGTAACATTAAACACTAGAATTGTATTTTCTTCTTTCTCTTGTTTCGTAAATTCCAAAACCACCTAAAAGAATTAGAACAGCCAATGAAAGGTTGATAAGTAGTTTGAATCATACTCACTATTAAAAAAAATCTTCATACACATCATCATGAGAATAGTACAAATTTTGCTCATACTTCTCTACTATCATTAAGTTATTTACTATGATTGGAAAGTATCTCAAATTCTATTATTGAGAACATTACATCTAAATAAAAATCACAATGAAATTTTACAACTTTATTGATTTACTTTTTTTAATTTAGTAAAAACAGGAATGTATGGATTCTTCCTTAATATGATTTTCTTAAACCTATATCTCAAAACAAAAATCACGTTTGGTGATAAAAGAAGCATTCTCATGAAAGTAAAAAGTAAGACAAGGACGTTCACTATTATACTACTATTTAAATTTATTGTGGAAATGATAACCAGTATATTTAGCCAATGAAAAATAAAACACATATGTGGCAATTTTTTAAACATGCAAGTTCTTTGATACTGCATCAAGAGATGGAGGTCTTTGCCTCCTCCCTTTGAATTTGGACAGGTTTGTGACTACTTCAATCAATAGACTACAGAGGAAGTGATCTTATAATGACTTCTAATGCCAAAGAAGGCCATAAAACTTCCACCTGGGAATGCTCACTCTCGGGCAAGCTAGTTGCCATGTAGAAAGCTCAACTACCCTGAGAGTGCCATGCTCAGGAAGCCATGAGCAGGTATTTCAGTCAACAGTCCCAACTGAGCTTCCAGCCATCAGCAAGAATCAACTGTCAGCCTTAAGAGTGAGTCACTTCTAAGCCCCTCTGAGACTTCAGGTCACTGTAGCTCCAGTCAAACCTGACTGCAACCACGTGAAAGACTATACACAAAAATTACCAAGTTGGGCCCTTCCAGAAATCCCAACCTACAAAACTCCAAGCAAAATAAAATTGTTGTTTTGAGCTACTACATTTTGGGGTAACCTCTTAGGCAGCAGTAGTAACCAGAACAATATAAATGCTGGAAAAAAAACAAAAATTAATATTATTAGCAGTGACATAATTATGTAATTCAGAAACCAGGAGTGTCAACTGGAAAACAGAAACAATAAAAGAGTGCAGCAAGATACTCAGTACAGAATTGATAGACAAAAAAATTTCAGATGAATAATGATTTAAGTGAAAGCAATGAAATCATAAAATAATATATAAACTTGTGTATAAATAGCTTTGTAATGGAGGAGAATTTTCTAAACATACACTAAAATTAGGATAAAGAAAAACTGATAAATTTCACTACAAAAGCATTTAAAATTTCACTGCAAAAACACTTAAAACTTTGGAATGACAAAAAGTCAAATTAGGAAAAATATTTCAAACAGTACTACTATTTTTTTTCTCAGATGATTCTGATTATCACTTTAGTTCATTCTTTCAATATTTAATAAAATATTTATTGGGCATCATCTACCTTGTATGAAGCTCTGCCAGCCACTAAGGACATCAAAGTGACCAGGACAAAGTCCTCGCCTTCATAGAACTTACATTCTAGGAAGAGTGGGGGAAAGTGAAAGTTGCTATCTTGTAATAAGATGGCATTTGAGCAAACATCTGAAGGAAGTAAAGAATCAAGTCATGCGGGAAGAGTGCTCAAGGCAAAGGAAACAGCAAGCACAAAGACTGTGCTTTGGTACATACAAGGAAGAACAAAAGGTAAGTGAAAACTCCGTGAGGCAAGAACTGTGCTCACTGCTGTGGCTCCAGTATCTAAAAGAACGCCTGGTGCACAATGGCACTTGATAAATATTTACTGAAGAAATCAATGAAATATGGCTAGAACAGAATGAGCAACATTGAGAAGTGAATTGAAGATGAAAGATGAATTGAATTGAACTGAAGATAAAGCCAAAGAAGTCACATGGGGTGACCTGTAGGCCATGGGAAGGACTCAGCCTTTTATCCTGAGTGAGATGGGATGCCAGTGGAGGGTTGTGAACAGAGCAACAACATGATCTGACTTTGACTTTAAAAAGATCACCCTGGCTACTATGTGAATAACAGAGTACCTCATGGAAGCAGAGAGACAGTTAAGAGGATACTGCAATAGTCCAGGCAAGAGATGATGGTGACTTAGTGCAGTAGCAGTGGAAGGGAAGAGCAACCATTTGAATATATTTTGAAGTTAGAGTCCAGGTATTTTCTGATATTTTAGAGGAGTGCGTGAGAGAAAGAGAGAACTCAAAGCAGACTAAATGTAGAGAACCTATCTGTTTTAAAACAAACACCAACAATACCTAGATCTGTACACACAACTAAAATCTGGTATTTCTGACATTGTATTTTAGGACATGATCTCACATTGGGATCTGCAGTAGTCAATAAGAAACATCTCCCTTTTATACCTTTTGTGCTTTATTATCAAAGCAATGCATATTCATTATCAAAAAATTTACAATATATGGAAAAGCAAACAAGCAAAAATAAAAAACTTTATAATCCCACTAGAGATGAACACTGTCAGTTATCAAAGAAAAAAAATAAGTGTGTGTTTAATTTTAAATGGACTCATAATGTTCTTGATATTGTAATCTTTTTTTCCAAATAATGATATATTGTGAACAACTTTCCATGTCAATTTTTCCTTTTATTACATTTTAATGACCACAAACACATGTTGGAAATTTAGTTGCCTATATTTTTCCAAATTATAAACATGACAATGAGCAATATTATTTAGCTTAAAAGTAAAAAACAACAAAACATTAAAGTAAACACATCATAGAAATTTTCTACAGAAAAGAAAATTCTAATTAAGAGTCTTGAGCTTTTCCAGAATAGATTAGATATGCTATAGATCACTCATGTCAATTTTTACAAAATAAAGTTTCATTTTCTTGGAACTGATATGTGTCTGTATGTGTGTATACTGGGCAGTAGGGAAGATAAGAGTACGATATTTTTAATGTATTTAAAGTTTGGGTCTAGCATGAGATAGTTTACAAAGATAGTGGTAACAAGAATATATTTACTTACCTGCAAAACAAGTACACATACCTCTTTAATTTCAAACTTTAGTAGAAGATTAATGAGCTCCTCATTTGGTGCCTCTGCAGCTTTTTTTAGTTCAGATCCTTTCTTACTTTTACCGGGCTGGGTGTCTCCATCTTCAGCATCAAAATATTCATCATCAGACTCTAAAGAAATTCATTTGACATGAGACAACATCCAATGAAAACTGCATAACCACTCAAATCTCTCAAAAGTAAACTTCATTTATTAGATATAATGTTCATATTTATAATCAGAATATAGTTTCAATGTTTTTCTAAGTCCACAGTGACTCAACCTGGTACATGATGATCATATACAAAATCAAACCACCTACTATTTTTTTTAATAGCTCTGATTGTTTTTCACTTTAGTTCATTCATTCAGTATTCAATAAAATACTTATTGAGCATCATCTATCATATATCAGTCTGTACCAGCCACTAAGGACACCAGAGTGACCAGGACAGATGTGATCCTTGTCCTCATGAAGCTTACATTCTAGTTCAAAATTAAAAGAGATCAGTTAGGCCAGAACTAGAAAAAAAAGATCAGATAGACATAGTAGCTTATTTACAATCTTAAGCACTGTCAATCACAAAAATCTTTTCATTCAAATGAAGAAACTAAGCTCAAAAAAAATAAGTGACTCAAAGTCACACTACTGGTTAGTAGCACAATTAGAACTAAAATCAGTATATTACTAAAATATTTTAAAAATTCCTTTATATTCTGAAAATTTTATCTCTATATACCAATTTATAGGCTTTGTTTAATAAAGAACATTTTACTTTCCTTACCTGATTCCACTCCATCTAGCAACAGTGAAGTGCCAAGTAGGCCTTTAGTCCTATCTGAAATAATAGGAATTGAGGACACCTAGCGAAGAATACAAAAGTTTGCTTAACATACTGATTTACCAGGATTAAATGTACATAATTGAGAGAAATAAAGTAACAGAGGATACAGACAGACAGAAAGACACATATACACACAACAGACAAATCTTCCATCGAAGCACATTATGTAATCAGTTAACCAATGGTTGGTTGTAGTTTACTAATTATTACGACTACCACCTGCATTTACAAGGGCAGAAATATGTACTACTCTAGTAGGTAAGTCTATTTATCATTGTGTGTCATTTGGTTGCTATCTCTGACAACATTAACTGTGCATCTTTATTACAGGTTCCTGAAAAACGGTAACAGCATTAGTTGGCTCTCTCAAATTTCATTTCAAAGTAAGTGGAAATCTAACATTTATTTTATGTTCTAAAGATCAATTTCAATTAAAGTGATCTAGAACTTTTAAGTCTAACGTACAAGAAAATTTTATACCATTTTATTTTGCAACATTTTAAAGATTTCTATACCAAATTTTATTTAAAATACATTTCATAAATTTGAAAGACATTTTTTCCTTTCATTTATGTATTTTTGTTCCCTTTGTTCCCTGAAACTGACTTTCTACCACCACTCTAAAACAGTAGTGAAAATAGGCTACAATCCTTATTTACTCAATGCCATATGCAGTTTTGTACAGAATCAACAACATTAAACTTCAAAAGTGTATCAAATAAATGAAACTGGCCCTTAAAAATACTGAAAAACAAAACAGCTCAAAAAAAGATGAAAAAGAACTCACTATACATACAAATGTACAGAGATTTAGCATTTTATTATACTCATTTACCTGTCTCTCTGGAGACGGTGCTGATGATATCTGTGGCAAGGGTATGCTGTTAATCAAACATAGCACATCTCTCATCTTCTTGTCAGAAATTCTCACATGCATCAAAGGAAGCCCTCCTGATACTTTAAATCTAAAAATACAATTCACTGTAAGGTTTTAAGGTCCAACTTCTCTATATTAAGGGAGGGGGAATGCATGGATTGGAGAAGAGACTACACTGAAGAGTCAAAGTTACTCTGGACATGTTTTAATCTAATTACATTAATGCCTCATTTAGTCAACACTATCAGGGAATGGGAAGTTCTATGTAAGCCAAGTTTCCAGATAACTTAAATATATCCTTCTTAGGCCGCAAAACCTTTTAAAGTTAAGCAACTTTTATGAAAATATTTTCAAACATAATTGTTTACTTTTTAAAATCAAAAACACTACATATACCTTAACTATTTCCTGGTATCAAAGATTTCTGATCATAAACATCAGAGACTATCTACCCCATTACTCTCTATCCTCTCCCCTTGCTTTGTTTCCTTTTACAGCACTTTGTCAGCACCTGATACATCATATGTATATTTGTTTCCTTTATGTCTCCTCTGATGAAAATACAAGCTCCACGAGGACATTTGTTTTACTGCTGAATCACTGTTGTGCTTTCATTGCTGCTTGCTTTTCGGCAGCTGCTTCCATTCTGCTTCCCTACTCAATATAACTGCCTAGGTTTGCTTGTCTTTTTTTTTTTTTTTTTAAAAGATTGGCACCTGGGCTAACAACTGTTGCCAATCTTTTTTTTTCTGCTTTATCTCCCCAAACCCCCCATGTACATAGTTGTATATCCTAGTTGCAGGTCCTTCTAGTTGTGGGATGTGGGACGCCACCTCAACGTGGCCTGACGAGCGGTGCCATGTCCGCGCCCAGGGAACCCTGGGCCCTCGCAGTGGAGTGCGAGAACTTAACCACTAGGCCATGGAGCCGGCCCCGGTTTGCTTGTCTTAACAGCTTTGTGACAGCTGTTTGCTGCTCATAAAGCTCTTTTAGGTTGTTGTTTATCTTTGACTTCCTAAGTTGTGAAGAACTCCAAGTTGACAGATCCTAACAACGAGATGAAGAATGGTTTCTGTATAATGCACAAACCACTAATATCCAAAAGAGGCCAACTGGCTTTTCGTACCTCAAAAGATTGAACTTTCTATAAAAGTACTTTGTAAATTGAAAAGCACCATAAAAATCTAAGATGCTTCCTTACTACTTCTGAAATGTTACATAAAACTAAAAGCATCACAGAGGGACTAGATTAACCCTGCCACTCGAAATAACTAAAAAAACCAGACAAAATACATGAAAAAATGATTTCAAAGACACTAGATATCAGTCAACTAAGGTGAGTTGAAAGATAAGAAACAAATGAGGAAAATCCCACAAATACAAATAAGCTTATTGCCTTAATAGTTTCAAAACGTGTGGGGTATGGTAAAGCAGTATTTCAAGGGAAATTTATAACACTAAATGCCTATACAGAAAAGAAGAAAGGTCTCAAAATCAATGGTCTCAGCTTCCACCTTAAGAAACTGGGAAAGAGGGGCTGGCCCGGCGGCATAGTGGCTAAGTTCACATGCTCTGCTTCCATGGCCCAGGGTCTGCAGGTTTGGATCCTGGGCACAAACCTATACACCACTCATCAAGCCATGCTGTGGGGGTGACCCACATACAAAATAGAGGAACTCTAGTACAGATGTTAGTTCAGTGACAATCTTCCTCAAGGAGAAGAGGAAGATTGGCAACAGATGTTAGTTCAGAGCTAATCTTCCTCACAAAAAAAAAGAAAGAAACTAGGAAAGTAAAGCAAGAAAAACCCAAAGTAAGTAGAAGAAAAAAAGCAGTGATAAACATGAGAGTGGAAATCATTGAAATAAAAAATGGAAAACAATAGAGAAAATAATTGAAATCAAAAGCTGATTGTTTCAGAAAAAGACTGATAAAATGGATAAGTCTCTAGCCAGACTGATCAGAAAAGGCATAAATTTCAAATATCAAGAGTGAGAGAGAGAGCATCATTACAGATTCTATATGTATTAGAAAGGTAATATGGAGATATTATGAACAATTTTATGACAATAAACTCAACAACTAAGATGGACAAATTCCTTCCTTGAAAGACAAACTACCAAAGATCACTCAAAAAAACCAGATAATCTGAATAGCCCCATATCTATTTAAGAAATTAAATTTAAGTTAAAGAAATTGAATTTGTAGTTAAAAACTCTTCCCCCAAAAAACTCCAGGCTCAGATGGCTTCACTGGTGAATTCTACTAAACATATAAAGAAGCAATGATACCAATTCTATACAACTTCCTCCAGAAAACTCATTCCATGAGGTGAACACTACCCTGATACTCTGATAACAAAACACGAAAATAAAAGCACAAATATCCCCCATAAATTACAGAGATATAAAACTTCAGAATAAAATTTTAGCAAACCAAATACAACAATAATTTTAAAAAATAAAACATCATTACCAAATGAGGTTTACCCAGTAATGCAAAGTTGGGTTAACATCCATCTGACAAAGAGTATCAATGAACTACTGATATACACAACATGAATAAATCTCAAATTAATTATGCTAAATCAAAGAAGCCAAATAAAAAAGAGTTGAAACTATCTGATTCTATTTATAGAAAATTCTAACAAATCTCTAGAGTTAGAAAGAAGATCAATGTTGTCCAGGGACTGAGGGGACAGAAGTTAGCAAGCAGGGATGGGAAGGAGAGAAGACAAAAGGACTTTCGGGGATGATTCATTTAGGGATGTGTTCATTATCTTGACTATGGTGATGGTTTCATATATATACACATATAGCAAAAGTTATCAAGTTGTGCGCTTTAAATAGATGTAGCTTACTGAATGTCAATAATACTTCCATAAGGCTGTTTCTAAGAATGCAGTATATTTCATAATTATCTACTTAAATTTAAAATTCAGTTTCTACATTTCATTCCTTTAGATTATTCTCAAGACTTTATATTGTTTCATAATCAAAAGAGCCTCTAATTTTTGAAGATTTTATTTTACCAACATTGAACTTTAGATTTGATCCATTCAAAAACACAGATAATCAACTCTACAGAATGTAAAAGTTTAAATACTTCTGAAATAAGAGAGGTAATATAATTCAAATAAATATTTTCTTAAAAATGTGTTTCCACTATCAGATACTCATTTTTTTCTGTCCTTCAGAAATATAGCTTTGCTTACTCAAAATCCAGTAACTGGTACAGATATATTTTACTTTGTTGATTTTATAATATAAAGGAAACTCATACATTACCTGGCCATTCTAATGTCTTTTTCTACCATTGCCTTGGACAACTCAACATGAATATCCATGGGTTGCAATATATGCATAGTTGATGGATGCTGAAATCGACACTTTTTCCAGTTTTCCTCTGAAAAAAAATGTTTTTAATTAAATGACTAGTTTTATTTATTAAATAATCTTTTTTAGATTATCAGATGTTCTGTGGAAAACTACTCAGAAAATAGTTAAACATATTCAATGAATACCAATTTTTACTTCTTTCAGCATACAAGTTAAATGATCAACATCTTTTTAATACAGATTGACAGAAGTCAATGACTGTGATATAAAAGTAATTCTAAATATTTGGAGGATGTTTATATAATATCTTGCACTTTAAAGTAAACAGAAAAAACCTAGCAATTTATTGCCTTGATTCCAGAATTAACAACCGAGGTGGGTGGTTGCAGTGAAAAAAGGAAAAAAATGACAGAGGGAAAAAAGAGGTTTCTGGGGTTCCAGATGCAATTACACTAGTTTAACACATAATTCTAAAGCAAAAATGAGTTTTATCATGGAAGATTTTATGACAAAAAAGTATAATAATAACTGTCCTCCAAATAAAAAGGTCCCAAAGACAGACTTTCCAATGACTAAAAGAATCCTACACAGATCTTAATGGATGACAATGAATAAACATCTTTTACCACTTATAATTCAAACTATTATTAAGTATATAGAAAAGAAAAAGCAGTTTTAATGATCTGTGTAAGTACTTCCCTTCAAGGAATTAATAGGCTCCTAATATATGAAAACTAAATAGAGCATTACATATTTACATTTTAATAAATCTCATCACTCCTACTAGAGTATACACTCTGCAGACAGAGATTACGTCTTTCCTTAACGAACTACCACAAAGTGATATACTCAAGGATATTTAGCAAATATTTATTGCTTCTGGAAACCAAAATATAGAGAACTACCGATCTTGACTTAAGCAGTAGAAAACAACAATGCTTTTGGAAAAAAATTAATTACCTTTAGGGCTTTAAGACTATATTTATACTTCTCAGATATCTATAAAAGTAGAAGACGTAATACTACTGAAATAAAGATTATGCTAATACAGTAAAATATTTAAAAATAAAGGCAGCAATGGAAAACAACAGTGAGACATCCCAAAAGTATTAGGAGAGAGGAACTTGAGCCAACTGCAACTTCTATTTTATGTTCTGAGCAGTTTGACAGTCACCTTAAAAAAATATAGACAACGACTGGACTTAGATTCAAATGGTGCTAAGTACCCTAAGATAAATAGCGAAATTTTTCTCTCTATTTTTACCTGTAGCAACGATCTGCACTGACAGGCTCCTATTTGGCTGTATTAAGTGACCAACAGGATATGTGTTCAAAATGTTGTCTGCACTGATATACATACACACATACACATTTATTTACCAAAGCTAGTCAACGTAATTTCAGGATCCTAAAAATTGAGCAACAGTTTACCTGCTCTTGCAAAAAGTAGTTGCACACTTTTTATTTCAACATCAAACTTGTCATATGCTTTATCCATTATTTCTTCCAGAGATGAATTACTAGTCTTCTGCAAACCTTGATCTTTACTATTAAGCTAAAGTAGAGAAAAAAATTTCAATTTTTTAAACAGAAAGTATATACCTCAACTACTTCAGTTGTGTTTTCTTAAAATCTAAATAAAATGAGAACATTGCCCTTAATGAATTCACATCTTGCTTAATTTTCTGATAATTATTTGCAAATATTTTATTAGGAATATAGTATTTCAGCATACATCTCTAATATGTTTGGGTAATAGGTGCTCAGTACATTTGCATTAATTAGGAAATCAGTTACACAGCCTTTTACCTCAAATAAACTGTCTACACACGCAACTCTTCCTGACTCTCAAGAGTTACCACCATTTATGGCTCAGATCCCCTACTACTATCCTAAACTCTCCCGGCTACATCACCAGAATAATTAGACCATTAGAATTCAGCTTCTACTTCCTTTTCCCTCTTCACAAAGAAAGCAAGGATCAACTCAGAACCATATTTTTTGATATCTTCACTTTTTCTCAGAGGCTTGGATTTCTAAGAGGTACAACACCCAAAACTTTAAAGTTCTCTTAGTCTACTTAGTTGCTGACAGTGGTTTAACAAACATATATTCACATGTGTATAATTTCCTATTGTCAAAATATATAAATTAACAAATAACACTGTAGTTAAAGTCTGGAAACTTCATAGTACTTGAAAACAAGGAGTCCTTCTTTCCAATTAGGAAAATACAGCAGTAATCCAGTCCTCAACATCAAATTATCTACTATTACAGAAAATTTCAGGGTTTTGTTTGTTTTTTCAATAGCCATAAAATACATATAAAATACTCAATCTAGGCTAGGTTTGACCAAATACTTAATTCTTAATATTTCTTAAGAAGAAATAAGTCTAGGTTTAGTTTAAGTGAACTCTGAGGGAAAAACAGCAAACTATCAGATAACTAGCCCAAGCTGAGCAAAATTTTGCAGACAAAAGTGCATATATACCTACCTGAAATGTACCAAAATCTAAAATGAGAAGATTTGACTTTTTGTGGTGAAAACCTGTCTGTGGAACTATTAGATAAGAAGGCTTCAGATTTATCCTTAAATCAAGGACTTTTCGTGTTTCAATAATATGTGTAAGTCCTAAAGAAGAAAGAAATAATCAAACATTCAACAGTCAAGTTGAAATATGTAACCATATCATTAACAACGAGAGCAAGAATATCACTTGAGAAGTATTATGGAGGAGCGTCAGTTCTTCTCACAGATTAGATTCTCAATTCTGCATGTAAAGCGAAGTTGCACACAGTCAATGGGAAACAATCACATCATCACACAGTACATTAAACTCGACATAGCTAGTATTTTATCCAAAGAGAGAATCCATTATTTCTTTAGTTAAGAAATGAGATAAAGTAGTTGGCTTGAGTTCAGAGGCCACGTTGAACAAAAGTATATATCTTAAAACTAGATTCACATGCAGTATGGTGAACAGTTTCTTAAGATCTGAGACAGAGGGATGTTTTCCATCTCAAGCTCACCCTGAGGCACAGGTTCTTGAAAGTAATGGCAAAAAGAATCAATTGTGCCCCCATATAATTCTCTCACCAAGTCTAGCAGGTATATTTGATATCAGGTAACACAATGCAACTCCACTGTATAATAGAGTCTGAATTTAAAACAATGGAAAAAAGAGATCTATACTATTTTAAATACAATATTTACTTTAGAATAGACAAAATTTTGAGAGTTTAGTTGATGCTTATGCAAATTATTTACCTGTAGCTGTTCTCTCTTTAATTTCTTCCAGCTTCATCAATGTAGCTGATTTTATTTGCTCAAGATCTAATCCCTTATCTGACTGAAAGAATTCAACCACTGCATTGATGGTTTTCTGTAAAATAATTTAAAATATAAGCAAGTTATACACAGTACTGTCTATATTATAAATTTTAAAGTTTTAGTCAAGTTCTAAATAACTATGGCTTTGAACTGAGGAGATACCTCCAAAAGTATTCTGCCCTACTGCATCTCCGGCTGGAGTGAAAGAGAACCTGAAAAAAGGAATAGTCCAAGGAAGCTTACTGGAGAGGGAACAAACGTGTGCAGATCATTAAGATGAACTTAATACGTTCTATGGTATCACGTTCATGTATGGACGCTACTTCTAGTTTTAGCCTGATTACCCAGAAGTGGTACTCGACTTCTCTATACTCCAATTGGATTCCCCTGCACTTTGAGGTTTAGAGAGGAAAGAGGAAAGCTCTTCAGCTTTTACCTACATCCAAAACTTAGACTCAAAAAACCAGACATTTTGCAAGATGGGATGAGTTCTGGAGAATGGACGTACAACAGTGTGAATGTACCTGATACTACTGAACTATACACTTAAAAATGGCTAAGATGGTAAATTATGTTATACGTATTTCCACAACTTAAAATTTTTTAACAATCAGAATACAATGAGCTCTGGAATCTATATAATGCCTCCCACCCACACTGTGAATCCAGTTCTAAACTGCAAAGCAAAAATAAATCACAGATCTCAACAACAAGGTAGGCCAACCCAAGAGTGATTCAATAAGTAGTGAACCTGGCCCACCCTGCTGGCCAGCTTGAGATGAGTTAAGAGAATCTGAATAAAAGACAGAACCATAGATACAGAACTTCAGCCAGCATTTTCAATAACACCCTAATGCCAATGCTTTTTTCTCATGTAAACAGTATTTAAAATTATTTTAATTACTCCTAAAGCTCTTTACGTTTGGAATTCCAACGTTTGGAATTGGTTCCAAACAGTAAGGGGAAAAAGGAGAATAAGCAAAAAAGAACAGAAGCAAGAGGTCAGTGTGTAACTATTTGGGAGTAGTTGGTACAATAAACACAGACTTTTTTAATAGTATATTAGATTATTTTTTAATTTAGCATAAGCACAGATAAATACGCTTTAACTTTACAGTAGAAAAAAATTGGTAGCATATGAAAAATCGAAATTGACTGCTAAACATGTACTGTTTTTAAAACAAGAAAAAAGTATTAGTAAACTTAGCTTCTAAGCAAATAAATATTAAATATGAAAGAGGAAAAATAAGAAAACCCTATGTCGGCAGTCTAAAATGGGTTTAATAAAGATTCACTTTCTCCTTGCACTTACAGCATCATAGATGACTTCCACAGGCTGAGACTGAACAATCAGAGTCTGGTCAGCAGTACTATTCTCTGGATTGGTTTCAAATTCAATTTTAAGCAAGGATGATGCAGTATCACCAATTGAAGCCACAAGTGATGGTACAATATCCTGCTGTCTCAGACCTGTTATATACCAGTGTTCTAATTTTGCTTCTACCCTACAATCCAATGAGGAAAAAAGAAGTTATATAACTAAGATCTTCTGTAATGGAATGCATTAAAATACAAGTTTTCCTTTTAAAAAACTCCTTTGAGAGTGAGGACCATGCCCATTACCCTGAGCTGAAGCCCAAACTCCTTACCCCAGGATTCAATTACCTGCACAATCTGGTGTTTTTCATTTTGTTTTGTTCTTTTATTCTTAACTCCTCCTCATCTACATGAAAAACCCACTTTGGCCAACTCCAGAACACTGCAGAAGTCCTGATCATTGTGGCATGAATACAAGCTATACTTAACTCATGGAACTCATCTCCCTATTTCATGCCACCCTGAACACTCTCCTAGCTCATCCCTGCTTCTCCTAGTCCTTTCCATTCAGCTAGCCTAAGCCCCCATTCTCCCAGCCCAAGTCATTCTCTTCCACAACTGAGCTTGTGTAGCATTAACCATAGGGATTTAACTTACAGGACCTTCTCACCCATGAGCTCTCTAACATGTTATACAGTTCTTAAATTACTAACTTTTTGTGTGTCCTCTTATCAACTACAGCATAAACTTTTTGAAAATAGAAACTTATTGTTCCTATGTACAGCCTTCATAGTATCAAATTTATCAATGAAACAGTATCCAGTAAGTATTTGTGATGGAAAGAAGGGAGGGTAGAACAAATGATGAGCTCCTCATACAGCTCCATAACAAAACAAATTCAAATATAAAAAGATTATCTTGACACACATAAGAAAAAGAAATCAGAAAAGGACTACTATTAATCAGTTATTTTATCCCAAATAACACTACTTTTTTTGGCCTAAAGTTATATCTAGAAATAAAAATTAAAATAATAAGTGTTTTAAAACTTACTTAAGTGCTTGTGCTCCTGGTCGCTGAGATACTTGGGTGCCCAGGCCAATTATCTGAATTTTTAGTATTTCTGGAATATTTTTGTTCTCTCTTATTGTAACAGAGGTGCTTACTAACTTCAGTGTCATTATATGTGCAACATACTGAACAAAAAGAATAAATGAAAAATTTTAACATAATTAATACTTTCTTTAATAATTTCTTATTTAAATTTCTTGAATTATAAAGTGATCCAAAAAACAATATGGTAGGTTTTGACATCAATATGCTCACTGTAAAAAAGAAGATTAGAAAATTCAATATAAAATTTGTTGCTCAAATAGAACATTTACAAAGCATTGAAAATTCATTTTTCTTTGTTATAAAGGTAATAAAAATGAAACAATAAAATATTTTGTGGCATAAAGATTCAAGTCAGCCACTTTCACTAATGCAAACTAATTGAGACCAATTCTCTGGCTCAAAAAATGGACAAAATACAAAGAACATCTGCTTGATGACCTTGGAGAGTTAACAAGACACTGAGAAAAAAAATCTTGACCCAAAAATTGATAGGTCAAGACTGGAGGTAGGACAGAGTACGAGGGAGATGATTCTTATCAAACCACACAGGAAGACAGCAGGAGAGGAAGCAAGAAACAAAGGATCTAGAAAACAACGAAATGGCAATAGTAAGTCCTTATTTATCATTAATTACTTTAAATGTGAATGGATTAAACTCTCCAATCAAAAGACACAGAATGGCAAAATGGATTAAAAAAAATAAGGTCCAATGATATGCTGCCTACAAGAGACTCACTTTAGCTTTAAAGACACACATAGACTGAGAGTGAAGGAATGGAAAAAGATATTTCAAGCAAACAGTAACCAAAAAAACAGAGGTAGCGATACCTATATCAGACAAAAATAAACTTTAAGTTAAAAATGGTCAAAAGAGGCAAATACAATCTTTAAAAAAAAATAACTCCTATCCTATGACACAGCACCACCACTCCTGAGAATATACTGAGCAGAAAATCTTACATATGCACACTAAAAGACATTTACAAGAAGTTAACTGCAATGTAACAACCAAAAAACAGAAACAATCCAAATGCCCATCAACAAAGTATGAATAAATAAGTTGTGGTATTTTCAAATGATCAAATCCTACACAGCCATGAAAATGAGCAAAACACATCCAGTGAAAGAACAGGATGGATCTCACAACAATGCCATATCTATAGCAAGGTCTATATTTTAACCTTGATAGTAATTATATCGCTGTTCACTTTGTGAGAAATCAAATTAGCAATACATTTTCGTTTTGTTCACTCTTTTATATAAGTTACATTTCACAATAAAAACACTTATTTTAAAGATAAAATTTTTAGAGATTTAATTTAATTCTATTATAAGCAGTTTTTATCAGGTTATTCCAGCACTCACTAAAGTGACTAAATCTAAAGTTGAAGAGAGTTTTTTTAACTGGTAAGCTCTAACTGGAAACACATAAGAAATAGTAAAGCAGAAATAAATGATAACATATTTTTATTAGCCCACTCTAAAAATCAATAAGTTGCTTAACCCAGTTCAAGATAATACAGTACAGTCATGCGTCACTTAACGACGGGGATAGGTTCTGAGAAATGCGTCACTAGGCGATTTTATCATTGTGTGAATATCACAGAGTACACTTACACCAACCTAGATGGTATAGCCTACTAGGCTAGGCTATATGATATATACACACCTAGGCTATATGATATAATTCTTATGGGACCACCGTCAGATGTGCAGTCCATCACTGACCAAAATGTTGTTAGGCGGTACATGACTGTAAAATGAAACAAAATACCTCTTAGACCACCTAAATAATTACCTGCTTGGGTAAAGTTAGGTCGTGGGTGCTCTCACTATAACCAATAGCAGTGAAGAGCTTATCTTTTTCCTCTGGAGTCATAAGGTCATCAATAGCTACAAAGAAAAGACAATATTTTAATAAATCAATTCCTCCAGTTTTACAGATACAATCAAAAAATCAAAGCAAACTAGCAAGTGCCCTAAAATCAATAGACACAAATGCGAAAGCAAAAGCAGCTAGGGAATTTTCACTAATAATCTACTTTGACTAGTTAAAAAAAACATCGTGTATTTGCTTGCTTAGGTCAAGAAAAGGCAAGGAGACACCATCAAGGAAATTAGGTCTCATTTCAGAATTCCCTACGTATTTTAAAAATTAGGTGACGTGTAATTAAATATCCGTGTAAAAATAACAGTAAGGAGTGTTAAATGTTGAGACTTCCAACTTTTTAAATTTCACACAAATAATTTTTCTCAAAAATATCAGTTTTATTTTACTTAGACAAACAGAAATATCCCAGCCTGATGTATTTGCTTACGTATATGTTTACTACTCTGAGCCACTTTTATTTCAAAAGTATTATGAAATAAAATCCAACTAACTGGCTGAAATACAATTTATATATTTTTTCTTATCAATAAATTATCTGACTTGGAACTTACTTTCAGGAATCAAAGATTCTTCATCCTTTTTCCTAGATTCCTTCTTACCCCAAAACCCACTAAACCAGCCTCCACGTTTCTCGCCTGTGTCAGCAGACTTTTTCCTTAATTTTTGCCCTGATCGAATCACCTAAAAAATAAAAATTTAAAAATTTAATTAAAGAATAAATGCCCTCTTCATTTTCAGGTGTAACCAGGTAAGAATACTGGTTAAATTTTTTTAACACTGCATTAGGTCAGAAACAGTCAAGAAAGCCAGTTCCTTCTGAAATGATGCTCAGCATGATTTGGTTAATGTAGTCCCACCATAAAATTACTTTCCACACTTACTGGAAAATTTATTTCCATTTTGATGGGGCTCCATTCTGTTAGGAATATAGTAAAGGTTTCAAGTAACATTTTTCTGAGCAATATGTCTTGCAAATTTTTAAGTTAGGAGCCACTGGACCTACAGACGTATAAAATGAAAAGTTCCCTGAAAGGAAGATGCTTCCACCACTCAAAAGTATTAGTTTAAAACAATCATATTTCAGAATTCATATACATTGCTGGCTTGCTAAGAGTGGACGTCGGGAGCGGGCAGAACATAAGTAAAAATAGATAGTCCTCGAATCTCATTTCATCCTCTTTTCTCAACAAATCCTGACTTGATTTTCTCCTGTCCCTTGTATTTGTCCAATTTTCAGTGAAATATAGATAAATAACCAAAAAGCAGAAAACAGAAGGACAAATAGAATAAAGGGGATAAGTAATTTAGTTTCTATCTTCTCACTCCGTGAATAAGTAAACTTTAATAGTTTTCCCACTTAAAATTTAAAATATTGTGAATTGGTAGTAAATACTGCAAGCCTCTCAGCATAACAAAAACTGAAATAATCTAAAAGAGAAATTAAAAGAGTTGAATTTTATAGTAAAAAGAACTGGTTTGATTAACAACAACTCAGTTCAAACTAAGTTATATAAGTTCCCTTTAACAACTAGATATTAAATAAACAGTAAGGGAATAGGTCTACATTTGCCCACAAAACTATCAAAGGTCTCAGTTATACCTCAGCCATAACTATCTTTTATCAAGCTTACCAATCCATTTTTAGCAGGTGGAAATGTAATGGGTAAAAAATACATACATGATTACTTAATATTCTACATAAAATAACATTTAACTTCTTTATTCTCTTGGCAAAGACAATTAATGTGCTTTTTTTATTTTTCATGATAAGTAGAACTCACACAATTTATTTAACCTGTCTATGCCTCAATTTCCTGACATAAATTGAAGATAATAGTATTTTCCTCAGAACTGACAGTACCCAGCAAACCATATCAAGAAAATGTTAGATACTATTTTCATTTTATCACTGAACTTTCTACTTTAAAATTTTCATGACTACAAAGCTTCAGCAAAAGCAAATCAATTCTTAGCCACCAATATTCTGAGTTCATTTCAGACTCAGGCATAATATTGTTAATTCAAGTGCTTGTTGTGTTCGTCTTTAGTTTTGAGATATTTTTTTAAATGGAACTAACCCCATTGTGTCCTATGGAAGTTGTAAGAGTTGAAATGTTAGTGAGAAGAGGTACTCAAAATAAGAAATAAGAAAAAATTTAAAAGTGTTTTCAAAAAAAAGTCAAATGTTGCATTTGGATACAGGCTACATAGTTCAACAGAAGATATGAATCTTTAAGACAAAGAAATCAGGCAACCTGTGAAAAAGACTATCTTTCAAAAAAAGTAGTGACAAAAGAGCACTATTACACTATCTGTAGGTAATTCAGGAGGAGATTAGGGGAGCGTTAGACAATGTAAAGACTAAGCATGGGGAAAACATAAAATTTCTGTCACAAGCCATAGATGAGTGCATACATTCAGGCCCTGTTTGAATTTGCAAAGTGAAAGTGAATGACAAATCAGGTACTGTGGATACCATAGCTCAGTGGTATTCAATCCTTGCTGCCCTTAAGAATCATCAGGAAGCTTTACCATACATTAACAATGAACTAGCAAAAGAGAAATTAAGAATACAACCCCGTTTACAATCACAACAAAAAGAATAAAATATCTAGGAATAAACTTAACCAAAGAGGTGAAAGATCCATACACTGAAAACTGTAAGACATTACTGAAAGAATTGAAGAAGATATAAAGAAATGGAAAGATATTCCATGTTCATGGGTCAGAACAATAAACATAGTCAAAATGTCCATTCTACCTAAAGCAATCTACAGATTCAATGCAATCCAAATCAGAATCCCAATGACATTCTTCACAGAAATAGAACCAAGAATCCAAAAATTCATATGGAACAACAAAAGACCCCGAATAGCCAAAGCAATCCTGAGAAAAAAGAACAAAGCTGGAGGAATCACAATCTCCAACTTCAAAACACACTACAAAGCTATAGTAATCAAAACAGTATGGTACTGGCACAAAAACAGATACACAGATCAATGGAACAGAATTGAAAGCCCAGAGATAAAACATACATCTATGGACAGTTAATCTTTGATAAACAAGCCAAGAACATACAATGCAGAAAGAAAAGTCTCCTCAATAAATGGTGTTGGGAAAACTGGACAGCTACATGCAAAAGAATCAAAGTAGACCATTATCTTACACCATACACAAAAATTAACTCTAAATGGATTTGAATGTAAGATTTGAATGTAAGAACTGAAATCATAAAAACCCTAGAAGAAAATATAGGCAGTACACTCTTTGACACTGATCTTAGCCACATCTTTTCAAATACCATGTCTACTTGGGTAAGGGAAACAAAAGAAAAAGTTAACAAATGGAATTACATCAGACTAAAAAGCTGCAAAGCAAAGGAAACCATCAACAAAATAGAAAGACAACCACCAACTGGGAGAAAATATGTGCAAATCATTTATCAGACAAGGGGTTGATCTCTAAAGTATATAAAGAACTCACACAACTCAACAACAACAAAAAAACCACCCAATCAAAAAATGGGCAGAGGAGGCGCCCGCCAGGTGGCGCAGTGGTTAAGTTTGCACCTTCCCCTTCAGCGGCCCAGGGTTCACCAGTTCAGATCCCGGGTTCGCACCCACGCGGCGCTGGTCAAGCCATGCTGTGGCAGGCCTCGCACATATAAATTAGAGGAAGATGGGCATGGATGTTAGCTCAGGGCCAGTCCTCCTCAGCAAAAAGAGGAGGATTGGTGGCAGATGTTAGTTCAGGGCTAATCTTCCTCAAAACAAAAACTGGGTAGAGGATATGAACAGATCTTTTTCCAGGGAAGATACACAGATGGCCAACAAATACATGAAAAGATGCTCAACATCACTAATGATTAGAGAAATGCAAATCAAAACTACAATGAGATATCACCTTACACCAGTCAGAATGGCTATAATTACCAAAACAAAAAACAACAAATGTTGGAGAGGATGTGGAGTAAAGGGAACCCTCATACACTGCTGGTGGGAATGCAAACTGATGCAGCCACTATGGAAAACAGTATGGAGATTCCTCAAAAAACTAAAAATAGAAATACCATATGACCTAGCTATCCCACTACTGGGTATCTACCCAAACAACTTGAAATCAACAATCCAAAGTAACATATGCACCCCTATGTTCACTGCAGCATTATTCACAATAGCCAAGACATGGAAACAATCCAAGTGCCCATAGACCAATGATTGGATAAAGAAGACGTGGTATATATATACAACAGAATACCACTCAGCTATAAAAAAAGACAAAAATTATCCGATTTGCAACAATATGGATAGACCTGGAGGGTATTATGCTAAGTGAAATAAGCCAGACTGAGAAAGACAAACACCATATGATTTCACTCATATGTGGAATATAAGCAAACAAATGGACAAAGAAAACAGTTCAATGCTTACCAGGGGAAGGGGGGTGGGGGATGAGCACAGGGGGTAAAGGGGAGCACTTATCTGGTGACAGACAAGAGATAATGTACAACTGAAATTTCACAATGATGTAAACTATTATCAATCTCAATTAAAAAAAGAGAAAAAAAGAATCATCAGGGAGCTTTAATAGAAAAAATTTTTAAAAAACAATGCCCTAACCCACCACACACCAATTAAATCAAATCTTGAGGGAGTGGACTCCAGGCATCATCAGTATTTTTTTTAATTCCATAGGTGATTCTAAGGTGCAGCCAGGATTCAGAACCACTGAGAGTTTCTCAACAATAGCAGAGTGTGGGCATGACTTGTGACTTGTTTCTAACCAACAGAAAATGGCAAAAGTGATGAGATGTACATGATTATGTGCATAAAACTGTAGCAGCTGTCTTGCTGGAGTTTCTCTCTCCCTTTGCAGAAGCAAGCTGCCATGTTGTGGGCTGTCTATGTTGGAAGGCCCATTTGGCAAAACACTGAGCTGAGGGCAGCCTCTAGCCAACAGCCAGCAAGAAACTAAAGTCCTCCGTTCCACAGCCACAAGGAGCTAAATTCTGCCAAGAGCCTACCTCAGTTATGCCTCAGAGACACCACAGTCCCAGTCAATATCTTAACTACAATATTTTGAGACCCTAAGCAGAGGACTCAGATAAGTCATGCCTGGACTCCTGAACCACAGAAACTCTGACATAATAAATGTATGTTGTTTTAAGCCATTAAGTTTGTTATGCATCCATTGAAAACCACTTCACACGGCTCTGTCCCGAGGGAGAGCCTCAATCATGGAGCAAAGCAGAGGCACAAGCAGCTAAACCCCTGAGAGAAACTCCAGTCTGGCCAAAGAATGAGAAAAGGGAGTCCATGAAAGCTAGAGTGTACAGGGGGAAATCCTAGAGCGGGAAGAGCCAGAGGATGGGATTTCTCTTAATTCTGTGGATGAACCTGTACATATTTCAGTCTAACTCAAGCTTCACCTGTATGAAACTGACCTAAATGAAAGTAGCAAAAGTTCAGAAGCTGAAGTGAGATATGAACCATCTGCATAAGTCTCAAACTAACTCCTGTACTATTCATGTGCAAAATAGACCCAAACCAACATACCAAAGATTCAAAGAACTGAACTGAGATTCAAAACATTATCCACAGAAGGCAAAATACAACTTAAGATCAGAACCTAACCAGGTTGTGTGCTAAGACAAAATATTGACATTTTCCAGAAGAGGACCCAGAGACTACAAAATATAATATACGCAATGTCCAGGATACAATCCAAAATTACTTGATGTGAAAAAAAAAACCCAGCAAAATGTGACCAATTCTCAAGGGAAAAGAAAATTACCAGATGCCAATGGTCAGATAAGCTAGATGTTGAAACTATCAGAGAGCCACTGTAACCTATGTTACAGAGATAAAAGGAAATAGAGTTGAAATTATGAAGGAGATCGAAATTTTCAGCAGAGAAATGGAACCTATAGAAAGAAACTCAATAGGAATTAGACCTGAAAAACACAATATCTGAAATAAAAAACTCCTAGGATGGGCTCAATAGTAAATGGAGATGATTGAGGACAGAGTAAAGTTAAAGATAGATCAATAGAAATTATCCAAACTAAAGAACAGAGAGAAAAAAGATTTGATGAAAACAAATGAACAAAGCCTCAGGGACTTGTGGTATAATATCAAAAGGTCATATATATGCACATGTATATGTACATATTTACAGAGGTCAGTGTATGTGTGTGTGTAGATATATACACATATATATTTAAGAAATGAAATTGGAGTCTAAGAAGGAGAGAAGAAAACAACTGGGACCAAAAAATTATTTGAAGAAAGAATGACTGACACATCCCATGTTTGGTAAATCTAATGGTTAATTCTCAGTCCTCAGCTCAGGAGACCAATCAGTTGATCACTCCCTCTTCCTTGAAATTCTTCCTTCACTCGGCTTTGAGGATATTACACTCACAGAGCTTCCCACCTACATCTCTGGCAACTCCTCCATGGTCACCTTTGCTGGTTCTCATCTCTCCGACCTATAAACAACAAAATGCTTTGGGTCTTTGGAACTCTCCTCTTCTCTAGCATCTCTAATTTCATAGATGATCTCACCCAATGTCATGGCTTTAAATAGCATCTATGTGCTGACCCCTCTTCAATTTATATATCCAACACAGACTTCTCTTCTAAACTCCACATTCACGTATCCAATTGCCTATTCCATATCTCCACGTTAATGTCTAAAAGTTAGCTCAAACTTAACAGGTCCCAAACTGAACTCCTGATCTTCTCCCATCCCACCCAAGCTTGTTCCATCCAGTCTTCCCCATCTCATTTCACGGCAACTCCATCCTTCTAATTGCTCCAAGCCAAAACCCTCAAAGTCGTCTCCGACTTCTCTCTTTTACAATTCATATCTAATCAGTTGGGAAATACTGGCTCTACCTTCAAAATACTATATCCAGAATCTGAGCTTTTCTTATCACCTCCATTGCAACCATTCTCAGCCAAGCTACCAGTATCTCTCACCTCAAATATTTCAATAGCATCCTAACGGGTCTCCCTGTTTTCCCCCTGCCCTCCTTTTTACAGTCTGTTTTCAAAATAGCAGCTAGAATGAGTTTTAAAATATAAGTCAGATTATATCATGCTGTTCTCAAAATTACTCCCCAATTCAGAGTAAAAGGCAAAACTCACACAATTGCTTATAAGACCCTACAAAATCTGGTATCCTCCCCAACTTCCACAAGCATCCCTCCCACTCCTCCACTATCTTCTCTGATCTCATTAACCACCACTCATTCAACTCTCTCACCACTTTACTTAGTCAGATATGCCCTGAATGAGCCAGATATGCTCCCATCCCCAAACCTTTCAGCTTGCTATGGTCTTTCTGCCTAGCACGCTTTTCCCTCAGGTATCTTTCTGGTTGACTCCCTCACCTTCTTCAGGTCTTTGCTCAAATGTTTCCTCCTTAGTGAGGCTTTTCCTGACCACCCTATCTAAAATTGTAACCCCCATCATCACCACTGCCTAGCCCAGCACTCTCTATAACCCTTTCCCCTTTACTTTTATTTATGTTTTTGTTTATTATCCTTCTTCCTACTAGAATGTAAGTAAGCAATTTTTGTCCGTATTGTTCACTCATGTATGCTAATGCAAATGATAATAACAAAGAAAAAAAATCACTTATTCAGTAATTACTATGTGCCAGGCACATAGTAGTCTAATGCTTTACATGGACTATCTGTACTCCTCACAATAACCCTATGAATTAATCCTATTTTACAAGTGAGGAAACTGAGGCACAGAGAGGTTAAATAGCTAGCCCAAGGTCACACAAGTAGTAGGCGGCAAAGCTGGGATTAGAATCCAGACTATCTAACTCCCGAGTCCACATTCTTAACCATAATGTTAGTACAACAGGCAGGCACTAAATAATTGCTAAGTAAATGAATGAACAAGTGCACATGTTTTAATCACATTTAAAAATATGCATATGTGTACAGAGATCCATGAATAAAAAAAGACTAAAAGAATATACAGAAAGGTACTAACAGTAGTTATCTTTAGTGTATGAGATAATGGCTGTTTCAATTTTCTGTAGATCTATACTTTCTAACTTTTCTATAATGAGTAGTACTTGTAACTTATTTTTTTAATTACCAAAGAAGTCATGTTCCAGAATTATAGAAAGGACATGGAACAATGAGGATAAGGTACCAAGTGGGATAAATCAGCAATTATGAAACATTATAAATAGACTGATTTTGGAAAATTTTGGAAGAAAAAGAAAAGAAGAAAGGAAGGAAGAGGAGAGGCAGAGAAGGAGGGAGGAAGGAAAGAAAGTAGATAGGTGAAGGGAAGAAGGAAGGGAGGGAAGAAGAAACAAAGTAAAGATAAAGTGAAAGAAATAGGGGATAAAAAGCATAAAAAAGTAGATACATACACATGGGAGTAAAACCAGAAGCCTATATGTCAAAATGTTAACAGCAGCATTCTATATCGTTAGCATTATGGATGACTTTTACTTTCTTCTGGAGGATTTTCAAATTTTTGGTTATAAAATTTTTGCCTTCACATTAGTGCTATTTTTTCCAATATTCCAATTTTTTCCTCCTGAGACTAAATTAGTCCATGAAAACTCAACTTTTATTCTTACTTGAATAAATCTCAACAACTTCCCAAACTTAGATTTCTTGATCCTAGGGTTAAAGGAGTAGTATTAACATGTTTAAAACATAAAATCAGCTAACAAAAATGATTACCTCAACTTGTGCTTGTTGCCTTGCTAAAATTATGTTAAAAACATCTAAAGTCTTCTCTAAATCCTATAAAAGAAAGAGAAACTTGTAAACAAGAAAAATAGTCATTAGATTAAAAAAATTTTTTTCTTCTATCATTTCTAGGTCTAGTCCATAAACAAACAGTACTTGTGATATAATGAAAGTATAAATTTAAAGGTACACTTGGCTTTTATATTTTTAATTTTTGCAATAAGGGCAATAAGTTTTCCAAGAAAGTAAAACCTCATTAAATATAATATGAAAATAAGAATTTTAATGAGATCATTACAATACACAGATAGCCATATATGCAAATGAAATCAAGAATATTTAGGAGGAAGACTTGTTTTAGGTATTATCCTTACGGTTCTTACTTCTAACTCTGTTCTTCATTATTTTACAACCATTGTACTAAAGCCACAATTATAAAACACAAAATTTAAGAATGTAAAATTCTGCAAATCAACAAGTAGGCTAAAGCACAAACTGATCTGGGGAACTTATAACATAAAAGTATGTAAGAGGAATCTAATATGTACTGGGTGTGTGTCAGGTCTTACCTCATGCAATTCTCACAACTCAGTGAGACAGATATTGTTTCCATTTTATACATGAGAACACCAGACATGAGATATTAAGAAGCTTGATGCTTTTTCTACTATATAATACTAGTGATTCTCATATATTTCAGAATAATAGGAATTCAATTAATTCTTTACATTATGAATTTGTGGCAGAAATAGTTATATGATCAAGATCATGAGATATTAAGCAAATTATGTATTCAGTGTGGTAGTTTTCTATATTTCAAAAGGGGGTAAATAAGACTCCTCCTATCTTAAGGATTAAGAGTTGTTTTTGAGAAATAATACTTTGAACTCTTTAAAAAAAGCCACTGACAAAACCAATAATATACATCTACCTAATAATAAATATATTTGAGCAGCTCTGATATTGATTTTCTAAACATTATTATAAAAACCAAACACATTTCTCCAAATAGCTCACAGTAACCTCATTTTATCTGATACTAGGACGGGAAGCTTTTTTTTTTTTTTAAGAAGAAAAAAACTGGGAAAAAATACTCTGCATTTTCCCATAAAATTCTCTCAAAAAAGCAACCAGTTCTATTCTTTCTAAAATTGTATTTTAATTCAAATTAAATTTAGAATTAACATTAAAAGATGATTTAACAAATAATACCTTTCACCAATATATGCAAGATATACCTGAATTTGTTTCTGTATTTCTTCGGAGATTTTAGTCTGGGTTAGCTTGTTTTTGTAGGCATTTTTATAACTCTTGAGCAACTGTCTGTGTTTTTTTATGTTACTCCATGACCACATCTGTGTATACCTTCTTATATGAACTTCAAGGACAGAATCAATTGCATACTTCCACCTGCAAATCAAATTTTATCAATGCATATTTGAATATAAAGGTTTAAGAAAAAGCAGGAAAAAGACTAACTTTTTAGATCTACACTGTTACATTTTTTATTCTTATAAACTGTCTTCCTATGAAACTCAGCAATAACATTTCAATTCTCCAGTACAATTCTCTGACTTAAACAGACTGCAAAATGAGCAAACCAGGAAGAGGGTATGCCAAAGCAAAATTACAAAGGCACAGAATGACATGTTATACAAAACTAATAGCATCCCAATTTGATTATAACATTGAGTCCTTGTGGATGACTAGAGGGCAGTAAGATAAAAAACACTGAAAGTCTTGAATGCTAAGTTAAGAATTAGGGAATAATCTAGAAGCAGGAGTACAAGAGAATGCTTTTATGAAAAAAGTAACAAGGACATAAGATAAAAGATATTCATGTTGGGACCAGCTTGGTGATGTAGTGGTTAAGTTCACGCACTCTGCTTCAGCAGCCCAGGCTTCCCAGGTTTGGATACCTGGAGTGGACCTACACACGGGTCATCAAGGCATGCTTTGGCAGTGTCCCACATACAAAACAGAGGAGGACTGGCACAGATGTTAGCTCAGTGAAAATCTTCCTCAAGCAAAAGCAGGAAGATGGGCAATAGATATTAGCTCAGAGCCAATCTTCCTCACCAAAAAAAAAAGAAAGAAAGAAAGAAAGAAAGACAGACATTCCTGTCATTAAAAAAAAAAGCAGCTTCGTTACATGGCTTCAAAGGTGTCTTAACTCTGAGAGTCCCTAACTTCATGATTATATGTTAAAAAAAATTCTAACTTACCATTGTCGACCATTGGTATGAAGCGGTAAATAAGGTTTATATTTCCTGTAAGGAGCATTTCTAACCATATAATCCACTGACTCCAAAAGGTCAATCATACTTAAGTACTATTAAAACAAAACAAGGCTACGTTTATTACATTGCACACATGAAGAAACACCAAATTTTATTATATTTTCAGTGTAGTGAGACTCCAAATTCCCTATCAATGAGCATTATAGTTGCCAGGCAACTCAGTAATGTATTTCATCGAATTTAAAACACTTTCAATTATAAGTTGTAACATAATTTTTAAGTTCCGCTACAAAAGAAAACTGCCACTGATTAAACTGTAATATCACCAATAATTATATATATCCTATTTTAAAATATGCTAAAGTGTGAAATAAATGCACATCTTAGAAACTATGGTATCTTTAATATAGAAATATGGCATCTGTAACCAGTGACATAGAACACGCTTGTTCCTAAAACTACACATTTTCCTCTGGTCCATCATTTCAGCAGTAGCTATGTACAAGCTGATTTTCAAACTGGTCAAAAAATTATTGCATAAATAATTTCATTTAAAATGTAAATAGCTGAACTTTAATGTATTATAAATGTAAAATATACCCCAGACTTTGAAAACTTAAGGAAAAAGAAAAGGATGTAAAATATCTTAACTTTTTATATTGATTACATGTTGAAATGATAATGTTCTGGATATGTTAGGTTGAATAAAATGTTACTAATTTTATTAATTAGTTTCATTGTTTCTTTCTGCTTCGTTAGTATAACTATTAGAAAATTTAAAATTACATATACAACTTGCATTATATTTTTATAGTACTGCACTGGGCTAAAAGTTCAATTAGCGAAAGCCCCTGGCCTCCTTTTGCTTCCAGTTCTCCAGCTCTGTTATCCCCTGGGCAAATAACCAAACTTAGGAAACAACAGAAGCTGCCAACATAGCTGTTTTAAACATTAAGTAAACAGTGTTTAATATAAGAGTGTCTTCTATTAAAATCTGAGGAAGAAAAAGCACATTAAAATCCTCATCAAGAACCGGGAATTAAGTGGGAATAATGTCATTCACTATAATTTGGTAAGATTCTCTACCAATAAGGAAAAGATCAGATAAAATGAAGGAAAGTATTTCTTAAATTTGATATTTATTTTCTTTTAAAAACATATATATATATCTGTTTTTAGGAGTCAAATTTCATCATAACATACCAAAAGAACCACCAGAGCACTGGAGAAGGAATAATCAAAAAGGACAAAAGCAGTCAAGATTCAATGCTAATTAAAGCTAGAAATGTCCAACTGAATCTTACCTGAGGTTTAGTCAGTTCAATGGCAATATTTTGTACTTCTATGTTCCAATCAAGTTTGGGTGTTTTGAGCTCTGTTTCTGCATAAGGATTCATGTAGAGTTTTGCAGAGGCTGATATTGGCTGGAAAACTTATATCACATAGGAAGACATAAGATATGTTTATATTACATGTAAATAATTATGAAAACACTGTTACTCTGAAAGTGAAGAAAAATGATCAAAAGTATGTAAAAAAAAAAAGTTAAAAAATCACTACCAAAAAATATTTAAGCATCTACTACTTACCTGCATAATACCAACTGTCAAGCTCTGTGGTTAAAATGGAATCACCAAGAAGGAAACTGTACTTGTATGCTTCTAAGTAAGAAATGTACAAAATATAGCCAATCTACTCTTAGTTATTCACAGTATGTGTAAAATTAGGCTTCTCTTCCTTGCTACAAAATAGTTAATGATTTTATTATTCATTAAAAATACTAATACAAGATAGGAAACAAAATTTGGTTAATTTGTGTCATTTAATCACTGGCAGAATTTAGGAACAGAATTACATATATAATTCTTATTACCCAGGAAAAAACTGCTTACTACTTTACTGTTTTCAAAATGATTGTTATATAATCTTAGAATCAACTAAAGAAAATATTTTTGAAGTTGAGAAGTAGTATGAAAAGGTATATTAGGGAAGATGAAAGGGCAAAGTAAGTCATAAATTTTAACTGTGAATAATATTAAAATTACATAAATTTTGATATCTTATATTTACAATTTGCATAAGACTGTATAAAAATTTTAATTTATTTAGAGGTTATTTATGAGTGGAATTGCCTAGGACCAAAGTTGTAGATTTTTCTGAACTAGTTCTTTCACAATTGAAACTAAATGCTTTCACAAACTAGCAGCATTTGAAAACTTTATCACCATTAGATCTTAGAGAGGTCTATGAACATAAAGAGAAAATGCCAAGTCTCATACAATGGTAATTAGTTATAAAAGAATATGAAAAACACAAGAGTGAACCAGAGTAATATGGAATATGGCAGAACATGGACATGAAGGCTGAGAACAAACATAAAGAAGGATACTAAATAAAAATAAACCAATAGCTTCTTTAGAATAAAACTGAAATGGAGGAAGTGGGATAAATAAACAAGCAGGCAGCTTTGTTAGAGATCTATTTAAAAATAAATAAAGGTGAGGCTGCCAAGAAATAGAAAAGCTCACTTAAAAAATTCTCTAGAGTGGTTAGTGTCTTACTCAGGCAAGAGTGACATGCTAGGGGTGACCTGAATACCAAGATATCAGAGACTCAGTTATTAAACAAAGAAAAGAAAAGGAAAACCTAATTTCTAAAACAAAGAAGATGGTAACAAGGTACGAAAAAGACATGGAGGTCAAGTGGGGTTAGCAGTAGGGAGTGAACTACAGTCACACTGCCCTTCTCTCTCTTACTCTCCAGCAGTGTTATGCATTATAACCCATTCCTAAATAATTCCTTATAATCCAAATATGCCATATCATAAAACTAAGGTATACAACTAATACTTCCTCTTTGTCAAAGTAACTTATCAGAAAAAGTAAATTAAAATATTTAATTCCATGCCTCCTGTAACATGAAATAAACTTTTGTCATTACTTACTATATTGATGGTTTGGGGGTATTTTGCTACTTGTAAGAATTTCACTTTTCAGCTGATCCTAAACAAAAAATGTGAATTATATAAGAATGAAAAACAAAATGCACACATATTCAGCCACATATACAAAAAAACACTTGGTTCTTAAATCACCGTCTTTTTCCCCTCTTTGTAATTGGGAGTCCACAAGAAAAACACACTGAGCATTATTTACAGATATATTTCTTTAGAAGGAAATATAGAAATAGATAATTTTTTAAAATTCTAAACATCTATAAACAACATTATAACACTGTGTTCCCCTGACTTAAAAAAAATATGTATAAACATCCATGAATTGGGATCTCAAACACTTTCTCAGCTAAGGCAAATCATGTTATAGTATCTTTCTGAGAAATAAGAGAGAGAATCCTGGAATTAATTCAGTTCAGAAAATTCAACTGCTCTTCCTCTGTCCTCTAACTAAATAAACACGACTAAGACTGGCTTAGTACACTGAAATTTTAAATTAATCTTTGATTGTTCAGGAAATCATCATCACAAACACTTAAACCATTCACCAAGGATATACTTTTCAGATCTGAAAGGTATTATCTTTCTTTACAATACTCTTCAAGTAATCATTCTCATATGAAACACCACAGTGTAACCAGAAAGCCATCAAAATGAGAGTGTAAAAGACGATAAACGCAGTTTTAATTTAACAGTATAGATTCTCATCTCACTGTCTAGTGAATGATTTCACAAAGATCTTCAAAAACAAAAGTGCTTCCAAAAACTGTGTTTCACACTTCTGATTTAGCTATATACAACTTAAACAAAAGGCTGATATCCTGTCCTCATTAAGGACCTCTTATGTTAAACAAATTTAGGCAGTGTGATGAGCTCTTCCAGGCATAAACTGAAATTACCAAGATCTGTTCCCTTGATCTCCGGTAAGACACGCTGCAGTTCACGTTCCAGTAGGCACTGAGACTGTCAAGTCGTATAAGCTGCGAAAGAAAATGAAAGAGGTCAAGCAACCAACACATTGAAATTATGAGTCAATATTAAAAGAGTATTCTCATATTTACTAGGCCAAAATTATCCAATTGCCATTTTGAACTTTTAAAGGAAAGAAAATAATGCAAAAATGGGGGGAAATAAATGCATGTTATTCAGAGACTTTATTATTAATCTAGCATTTGCTAAATGGTGCTTCCAGGAACACTATTTCCAAGGAGATTCATTCATTCAATTATCAAATATTTATTGAGAACTTAGTATTAAACAGACCCTGTAAATGTTTTGCTGAGTAAGAAAGACATGATTCCTCCAGTGGATAGGAATGGCTGTTTCAAGGGAGGGTTGAGGGGATAGGATCCTCTGACCAATGAGGTGGGGAAAGCCATATACTAAACATCCCTCTTGAAGATTCACAAGTTTATTAGCATATTTAAAGTATCGCGAAGTCCTGTGGTTTAAAAAGAAATGAAACATACCTGTTTATGAACAGCTTAGTACTTTACTCAGTAACTTACCTGACTAGAGAATATTTTTTCTACAAATCTAATAATATCTCAATTACCTAATGCTCCATAAAATATCATTTGGGAAATATTAATTTTATCCAGTTTCTTTATATGCTAGGTGAAGAACCTAAACTTCAAAATAAGTGATTATAGAAGGTCACATAATAAGTAGCAGAGCCAAAACTAGACCCTAAACTTTTAACTCACATTCCAATGGCCCATTCTGCTCCATCAAAGTTTGTTCAAGAAAATACATTAAGTGTTTGTACCTAGGAAAATAATAAGATTTTAATCTAGTCTAATACCTTGTATATAATTTTTTCTGCTTCATTTAATATGCACGGAGTCCACTGTTTATTTGCAGTCTAAAAGAAAAAGAGAATATCTATGAAATGAAGAATATATAATCTATATCACAAAATAGTGCTCTTATATTTGTAAACTGTAACAAAATAACTTAGGAAGAAAAGGTTTCTAGCTAATGTTAGCTATCTGTTTCTTTACATCTCTATAAGACAAAATCAAAGAACACTGAAAATAGAATTGAGGGGGTTCTAATTTCACTGAGCTCATTCATCCAGAAAATAATTACTGAGCTCCTATGTGCCTGAACTGTAGTAGGAACTGGGTACGAATAAAACCAGAGAGCTGGACTAGAAGCTACTGAAGAACGTCCATACACTTTGAAAAAAAAAAAACTGTTAATGCAAAATAGGAAGTAAACCAGGAGAATATGGAAATCACAGCATGACCGTATTTCTAGAAAACCCGCATGATCAGCAATGCCAAATGCTGACATGAGATAAACTACAATAAACTTATTCAGCAGCCAGGGCATTATTGATGAACTTGTTGACAACAGTTTCAGTGGAGCAGTAGAGTCAGAGTACAGTGGGTGGACAGTCACTAGGAGATGGGGAAACAAAGATAGTAAAGGAAGAAAATTCTCTCAAAAAGTTTAGTTAGAAAGAAGAGAAAGAGACAGCAGTTAAATTGGGCCTGGGTAGGCGGGAGAAGGTTAAGGAGAGGCCTTTTAACTTTGTTGTAAAGGAGAGACTTGAAGGTGTTTAAATGCTTGTAAGAAGAAGTGGGGGCGGGGGAAGGAAGGGGAGTTGAAGATTTAGGAAAGAGAAAGAAATTGATAGCAAGAAGGAAGAAAGGCAGGGAGAGAGGGAAGGAAAAAAGGCTGCTGAGGACATAGGGGAGGATGGGATCCACATCAGAGGCAGGAAGATTACCTTAGTAGTAAGAGTTAGATGGAAACTGGAAAGATAGAAGAGAGGAGTGGTATGGATACAGAAAGAGGTAAGTTTGCTGTTATTCTTGTTGTAATAGTCAATGCAGCAGGTGAAGCAAGAAATAATTGAGCCAGACAATGTTTCAAATGGTTTACACAAACTATCTCATTGAATCACCATGAAAACACTAAAATATAGATACTATTGTATCAGTGAATGAATGAAGGTTAGATAGAAGGAGAGCAACATGGTAACCACTACAACAATATGTTACAAGTGCTTTGAAAATATTTAACTGGGGAGCACAAAAGAAGAAATGGTAAATTCTAAGAGGGAACTAAAAAAGGAGAGAGAAAGACAAGATAATACCTCACATAAGTATAAAAACTTGAGTAGAATCTCCAGGGAGACAAAGGGAAGAGAGTAATACAGGCAAAGAAAACAGTATGAAGAGCCTGAGCAAAAAGATACAGAGACTCAAACAGCGCACGCTAAGGAAACTATGCATTATTCTTATGCATGAGTATGCCTGTTATCAGTCAATGGGAGGTATATGACTACTTTGAATTTTTTGTTTTGTCTGCTAGAAGCTCAAAGTTAAAAACTGTGATCGCTTCTGACTAATATTGCTAGTCTAATTTTTCTGGAAAAATTATCTCTCTACCTTTCAGAACACAGATTCTGGTCTCTTTAAAGGTGTTATTGTATATTTCTTTTTTTATCAAAAGCTACTTTAAATTCATTTTGGAAAGGAGGCAAAGGATAAACAATATGTTAAACACTGACTTCCCTGACTCCCTTTCCTTTGTCCCTCCAGTTCTTTTTCTTTAATATTTCTGCCTTGGTCTTCAACTCAACGTATATCTCTACTTCTCCGTATGCCTGTATCATTCTTAAGGCCCCCATGCAACCATGTCCTTTTTCTGTTTCTCTGGCAGTCTACTTCTTTTTCATGTTTCTTCTTTCCCTACTAAGGTCCTCTCCATATAACTAATGATAAGGCAAACATGTATTTAGTATGATTTACTGCTCACTGTCCCTAACTTTAAAACACATTTCTTACCACATAGTTATCCATAATAGAAATAAAAATGTCCAACATAAATAGAAACACTCCCTATTCTTAAAGGCCTTTAAGAGAAAAACCAAATTGCCTTATAAAATACTTAAATTATCTTATATACATCTCAATATAATATATACACACACACATACATATAAACATGCACACACGTATAAGCTATTTGGAAATTCCACCTACCTATACCAAGAATGACAACATGACTCTATAGAAATTTATCCTCCCCTACTTTCCCATATGTTTAAGAATATAGCTTTTAATTCTTTCAAAACATTTGATATTGACATTTTGATGTTTGTCAAATTCAAAGACAAACTAAAATAATTAGAGAATGTAATAAAAGCATCACTAAAAGTTTTGAACTTCTAAAACAGCTCTAGAAAGATTATACACAAAAATAAAATAGCTATTTGTAGTAATAGTTGATTTTAGGCAATTCATCCTGTGACTTAGAAATAATATTTTACAGGTTCCACAGAAATTTTAAATAAGACCAACATTACCAATAGGCTAAGTTCTCCCAGTGTGACACCAAATGAAAGAGGCTGCTTTGGATCAGTGACCTATCAAACGAGAAAAAGTGACATTAAAATATACTGATGGTGAGAGAGAATCCATGCTCTACTCTATATAGGAGGCAACATAGGGCAACTGGTTTATAAGAAAGTCACACAACACAAATGGACTTATGGAAAAGAAAGAGGAGGAAGGCAATAACATGGCTGGGATTACCCATATTTTGTAGGCATGACACTGAGATGATACTTTCCCAGTAGAACTCTTTTCTTACTAGAAGAAGACTCACTATGACTCGACAGATTCTTGTCTAGAGAGTTACAAAGAGACAGTCTTACGTCTATCATTAAAGATGCTCTTCATAGACAAATAAAACAAGGTGTCTCAGATAACACTAAATTATTTTTAAAACATTTAAGATTTTCACACTTAGAAATATGATCTGTCTTTTTAAATCTTTAGTTTCCTTGACACTTAAAAAATACTTTGATAGGAAATGTTCAAGATTCTTAATATTTAATTTCCTCAGTCTCTTAACCCAAAATCTGCCAATGTCAAACTTCTGTTCTATTTCTGATCTTCAATATCTAAGTTATGTTTATACACAATGCTTAAACTGTACCACAATGTGTATGATGTCATTGTTTTAGACATCTTAAAGATGTCCAAAAGTCATAGAGATTTTTGGTGATGACAGAAAGTAAGGAAACTAGAAAGTGAAGAAAAAACATAACATGTTAAATCATCCAATAGGGACTCCAGAGTCTAGTCACATAGAGCCTCTCAAACAGGAGAAATGCATGCTCTGGTAAAGCTAAAAAGCACAAATAGCTTTGCAAGCTTTGTGTTTTTTTCAATTTTTGGTGAGAAAGACTGGCCCTGAGCCAACATCTGTTGCCAATCTTCCTCTTTTTGCTTGAGGAAGATTGTCCCTGAGCTACCACCTGTGCCAGTCCTCCTCTATTTTGTATGTGGGTCACTGCTATAGCATGGCTTGATGAGTAGTGTAGGTCCACACCCAGAATCCGAACCCACGAACCTGGGCTCCCAAAGCAGAGCATGCTGAACTTAACCGCTATGCCACCAGGCCAGCCCCATGAGCTTTGTTTTTAATATAAAATATATTACGATTTGTGGCAAAACATATTTTCCTTCATTCCCACCCTTATCTTTTTTATACCTACAGGTAAATAGCTCAAAATAACTTGCAGCTATTTCAGAAGAAACTATAATAAAACACAACTCCTCAGTTGCTAATGCACTACTCACAAACTACTACTATCTTCCACAAGCATCTATGGGATAAATTGTTGTACTTTCCCTACCCCCACTTCCTACATTCTATATTTTTCATTATTCTTCTAGATACAATAATTCAGGTAATCACATTGAAAGAGAAATGATACAAGACCCCTTTACACTTTTTAATTCTTTTCCTTTTAGATCTTATTTTGTCACTGACATCAATTTAAACATAAATGATGTACTTATCCCACTCCTGTGTATCTCAGTAATTTTGGGGGGTTGGAGGGAGCAGGAGAAGATTTGCCCTAAGCTAAAATCTGTTGCCAATCTCCCTCCTTTTTTTCATTTTCCCCTTCCTTTTCCCTCCTCAAAGCCCCAGTACATAGTTGTGTATAGTAAGTTCATTTAGTCCTTCTACGTGAGTCACTGTCACAGCATGGCTACTGACACATGAGAGGTGTGGTTCTGTACCCAGGAACCCAGGAACTGAACCCGGGTCATCACAGTGGAACACACTGAACCTTAACAGCTAGGCCATCAGGGCTGGCTCTGTATTCTTTTATTAGAGAGAAATAATGTACCTTTCTAACTTTACTTGCCCAGTAAAAAAGCTTAGCTTAAGTTCAAACTGAGGTTCTCATTTATCAATATGCCATTAGTTTTAAAGTAATTCTTTCACTTCCATGATGTGTTGAGTACATTTTATTTTTCTAAGTTTTTTATAAACAAGGGTATTGATGAGTTAGTTTTTTAAACATTTATTTGTTTAAAAAATTCAGTTTAGGGGCTGACCCCATGACACAGTGGTTGAGTCCGGCATGCTCTGCTTCACCAGCCTGGGTTCATGGGTTCAGATCCCAGGTGTGGACCTACACCACTCATCAAGCCATGCTGTGGTGGTGACCCACATACCAAATAGAGGAAGACTGGCACAGATGTTAGCTCAGGGCTAATCTTCCTCAAGCAAAAAAAAAGGAAGATTGGCAAATCTCAGAGCAAATCTTCATCACAAAAAAGAAAAAAATTCAGTCTAATGACTATATAAAAGCAAAAGATAAAGTCAAAAGATAAAATAGAAATGGCATATTTTGAAAAACTACAAGTATGTCTTACTGGATATTAAGTTACATAAGGAACAAATCAGGAAAGGAAAATAAATTCTATATATGTCTGTATTGCTTTAATTCAATCCAAATGTAAAGTAAATTAAAAACAAAAAATGCAACTCAATTTTGAAAGAAACGGAATAACATTTCTAATTTCTTAGGTAAATAAAAAAATTCAAGGTTTCTTACATATGTTGCAAACTTTGAAATAAAGCAAAGCATATTAAGTTCAAAATATTTGTTAACACTTTAAAACTCAACAGTAAAACAATTGTTAATGAAATAATGTTAAATTTTTGGTTATAGGCGAAGTTGGGCTTCTAAATATATTGTTGCACATGGATTTGAGTAGTTGTGGGTGTTCAGTTCAACTTGGTGGAACATAAAAAGAATGGGACTAGCAGTCAAGGGACCAGGTTTGAGTTTCCTCTCTACCGACTACCACTAAATTGATTATTTCTTCACCTCCTAGAACTAACCTTTTTGTCGGTATAAAACAAACTAGTGCCTTAAAGTTATACTAGTATAAGTCTTACAGCATTAAACAAATTTCACAATAAATAACACAGGACAGTCTGGAAATCTCTTATTTTAGCTCTAGAAAAGGAGTCTATGGTGGTTTTACGATATATTTACACACAGAACAAAAAAGCCTGACAGAGGAAAGGAGATATGGTAGTGTACTTATCAGAAAAAAAATCAATCTTGGATTTAAAACCAGGTAATGATAATCCATATACAGACAAATCAAGGATCAGTATCATAAAATACACACTTAATTACTAATTTACAGAGTAAACTGAAATTACTTACATCATCTTCATATTTAATGTGAATGTCTGTGATTTTTACTTGTATATTTTTAATTACTTGAGTTGCCAATTTTTCCAAAAATGTATCCTTTTTGGCTTCTTTCGGTTTATCTATAAAAAATAGAAAAATACAAGCTCAAGAGTGGAAATTCTCAGATACCACATAACCAATGACCAAAGGACTGCTAAAGCACTACTCAATGGAAATCACAGCCTATCCTAGCATCCTTGTTTTATTTTAATCGGCATTTCCAACTTAAAACTTACTTTGAAGTTACACTGTAATCTAACATTCATTTTACCTTCAAAGACAGAAATCAAGTGGCAATGTGTATAAATAACACATGGCATAAAAACTACTTTTACCTACCTTTTGAGCGATCGAGACCTTTAAAAGGTTTCTTAAAATGTTTTTTGTGCTTTTTACGTTTACGTCCTTCTCAGTGGAAGCATTTTAGTGAGAAAAGGATAAAATGCAAGTTAGCAGACCAGAGGACAGAAAAGAAAACAAGAGAATTCTTCCTGTCAGCAAATTTTGGTACAATTCACCTTTATTCTAAACTGACTTATTTCGTTTCAAATGGAAATTCACAAACCTTCTTTAGTCTAGAATAACCTTCTTTAATCTAGAAAATAACTTGGCAGGTACAATTATACAGAAATTGGGTAAAATATCCACAACACCCTTTACAATATTTATGACTTCTCACAGTACAAAGTTTAATTTTAATTTCAATTTTACCAAAATATCGGAAATGTAATAATGACAGAATACAAAACTTTCAGAGAAAAGTTTTGATAAATGTGTGGTAGGGACATAGGAACACAAATGAAATGAATGAGTAGGTTGCCGACAGATGACTTCCTCTGGATGACACACCTCACAAGCAGGATCCTTTAATGACTTAAGGATATAAAGAATACAAAAAAAGGGCTTAAAATGTACATTGAACTGTGCATTGAAACTGGTTTAATAATTCCTTTAAAATCTCATCCTCTTTTATTTGGCACTGCCTCACGTCATGGCATTAACCAACACCTATCTTGCCCAGCTTATAAATCTTTCCATTCAACCGCCTACTATACATCAACTCCAGTCTACACTCTTGAAGCAGTCTCTGGATGGTCTCCCCTGCCTCTAGTCTCCACTCTACTTCCTCTTAAACATCCTTCTATACCACTACCAGACAGATATCTTCTAAAATATTATTTACAGCCTGTTAATCCCCTGCTCAAAATTCTTTTAAAGGGTCTCTGCAGCCTACCAGATAAAATGAAAAAGTGTCTGCATGACACAAAGGTCCTTTCAAGATCTGATTGCTATCTCCTTGTCCTGCTCTATCTCCTGCCAGTCATCCTTGCACTGGATACTTCAGAAATACTATTCATACTTTCCAAAACAAGCCACAACTTTCCAATACCTAAGGCTTCTACATGCGTCATGCCCCAAACTTGGGCTGCCTTCCCTGAAGTTCTTCACCAGGCAAACTCCTAGGAGACTTCCAAATGGCAGGTCCAGCACTACTGCCTGTGTGAAGCCTTCTTCAACTATTCCAAGCAGCTCCAGGGCCATCTATCCTTGCACCTTATATAAACTTCCACTAAGCAGTGACTACACTTTATTCAAAATGTTCGCCCAACTTCTTACCACCAGGCAAGAGTCTTCATTAGGACAGGAATTATCCTAATATCTTGCACAAAGCACATGAAACATGTCTGTTCAAGTGATCAAAAAACCCACAGCTGAACATTATAATAAAATAAACTCAGTTAACATTATGTATATTTGAGAAAATATACATGAAATTTAGCTTGAAATTTTAAATTTGTTCTTCTTTGATATTTTAAAGCAAATTTTCCTGCCACTACAAAAACTAAGAACCAAATTCCAGATTACAAGATTACAAACCTTGAGTTTTAAGAAGTAAATATTTAATAAATATATAACAGAATCTAGACTTTGCTATTACCAGTATTTCTTGTCACAGTGATGGTCTCTGAATCTTTTTCATTCATAAATTAAACATCAAGAAAAAGAGTGAGTTCTGAAAGAAATACCATTTGAAAAGAAACAAGTAAGAAAGCCAGAGTAGCCCTGAAAACCATCCCACTTGGCGGGAACAGCTTTCAGAGACAGAGGTTCAGCTGCCTGGGTTTAGAGCCTACCATAACTCGCTCTTCTTACCCGACCTCCTATTATCTTTCCGGCTTCACATTTGTTCTAGTACCTTGTTCCATCTTTGATCCAATGCTAGATGCACGTTTAAACCTCTCCAAATAGTTTCAAAATCTAATCTGAGTGCTATATAGTTCTTAGGGAAAATTTCTATTTAATCTGGTGAATAATAAATTTATGATTCTCAATCATCTCTAAAGGAGTTCTCAAATACTTTGGTCTCAGGGCTCCTTTAACACATTTAAATTTTGAAATCCTTGAAGAGATTTTTATTGGTATGAGTTACAACTATTGCTATTTACCCTATTGAAAATCAAAACTGAGAACTTTTTTCAATATTTATTTGTGAACTCAATTTAAAAAAAACATTATGTTATAGCATAGATAACATAGAATTATGAAAAATAACTATTTTCCAAACTGCAGTTGTAGTGAGAAGAGTGGCATGGTTTTACATTCCTACAAATATCTTTAATATCTGGCTTAGCAGAAGACAGCTAGATTGGCATAACTACTTCTGCCTTTGATCTGTTGAGATATGTGGTTCAGACTGAAGCATGTGAAGAAAATCTGATCTAACTACAGGTATGTCATAGGAAAAGGGAGGAACATCTTCATGGCCGTTTTATGTAATTTTCAGTTTGGCCTTTCACCAAACTCATACAAGTGGTAGTTTCTTAAAGGTTAGTTGCATCTTGGAATCTGAAACTCTATCAATGAATTTCTCATCCAAATTAAACCAACTGTTCAACCTCGTACTTTAAATACACCTTTTACACATGCCTGATTTTTTATCATGGATTGGTAATATGGAAATATTGCTTCATTGAATTATGCAGATCTTCTAAATGTTGAGTCATTTCATTATTCAATATCAAAAATCACATTTGTTAATATCACCACCAATCTCATCAGAAAAGTCTAAGTATTGGGAGCTGTCAACCTCAAGGTGGTAAACACAAGTTTTTGAAAATTCTAGTTTTTGCTCAAAAGTTCAAATCTTCCTATTAGCAACAAACATTGTCAGTTGTTTATTCTTGAAGCTGTTTTGCTGAAATGTCTACTAAACACTCAAATCTGAATAATAGGAGTCTGTCAGTAATTTTCCCCAGTAAAATGGCTTTTCATGAAAAAAGTAACTAGTTCAGCTGACAACTCAAACAACTGCATAGGTACTTTTCCTTGAGACAATTATCCTACTTCAGTCTGCCTAAGTGCTTTATGCATACTTCCTCAAAAGTCACATGAAATATTAAAGATACATACTGAAGAGCTGAAAGTTTATTAAAATCAAAATTTTCCTATCTCATCAAGGACATTCTTAAATAAAATTGGTGCTTTGTGGCTTTTTTTTACTGTGAGCGCATGGTACAATAGCTATTAACACAGTTTGATACCACTGCCTTGATTCATGCTAAGGCGGCCAGCAATTTTATATAACATTGCTTTTGCATCATTGGCACCAATGTCAACACAGTGAAAAATCAAACAATATTTCAGTATGATTATGAATTTTGACTTTTTGAGAACCATTGCTCTAGACTAATTTAAAAAAACGACACCAAATGAGGAAGGAATACACACTCAGAAACTGCAAAGACGAAAGGATCCTAAAGTACACACAAAGTCCTACCCAATTGAATGAAGATATCATAGACAAAATGAACTATTCTCATTTCAGAATCATCCATATTCTAGGCCTCGTTTTGTATCTAGGCTAATGTATCTTTTCTGGAAAAAAGTAAACTGAATCAATTAGGCTTTCCTTTATAGTGACTTCTGTCTGTCTGGTTTTTTTTAACAATGCTGCCCAATGATTTTGTTATATATTTGAATGGGTCACTGAAATTCACTTGCATCCTGGAGACAGGTTACTCCTAGTATGGTCAGAAAACATTATCCCTGGCAGACACAGCAAGCTGATTCAGTATAACCTACAAAATTGGACAGTGAGCATGAGCATCTCATGCTGTCTCTCATATTAAACAAAGGAACTTTAAGTCATATTAACACAGTCAGCCACACTTACTGAAGGTGCAGATTTGTTAAAAGAGAAACTCTTTCAGGGTAATTCCTTTCAATGCTGTGAAATTTGCCATGCAAATTCCCCCATTTGTCCTAATGAACCTAAACACTAAAGAAGTTTCTAGCTACAGAAGTAATTCTATCACAATGCTTGCTGCTTACATTTCCAGATGCAGACCCCACTTGTCATTTAATCAAAACAAATTTTAAGTGTGACTAAGTTAATATAATAAGCTCCTGAAAAGTTAAATCAAAATATTATTTAATATATTAGAAGTCATTATTTTAACGTACTTGATAAATTTCCTAGGCTATCAAAGAATCCTATTGTAAATCCTAAATGCAGTCAGCCTTCAAATCTGCCTTTTGTGAAGTTTCAAATTTCAAAGTGCACGGGACAGTCATCTATCTAGAGGTGCCTCTGGAGCTACGACAAAGGGGAGCAAATCAGAGAGGTACGAGAAGAAAGTCAGAGCAGCACCTCTTACCAAGGTTCCAAATGAAGTCTGACCCAAAAAAAGTTTCCATTTTGTTGCTTTTTACAAGTCTGAAAACCACTGCGATAGGAGAGGAACTGCCTAACTGAGAAACTACTACATATACTATAGAAGTAAAAGGCGGTCTGGATTTGAAAGTTATCTACAGATCAAATTGTCAGCTTCACAGGGGCAGTGGATTGTGATTGCTTTATCCCATGAACATTCATTCAGTGCAGCACTCGCCACAGGAAGACACTAAATGGTTAGTGAATGAATAAATGGCTGCAGAAGGTAGGGAAAAGGAAATGATGGTAAAGAGGAAAAACATGAATTACATTTCCATATTTTCTAAAAGGATGGCATGTCATAATGGACAAGCACAAGCACAGGTAAGAATATGATTTTTTATGTAGCTGAATTTAATTAACCATGCATACCCACCAGGCTTGACGTCCTTGTAAACAAAGTTTTCCAAGCCATATATGAATTCCCCTGAATGTGCGCCTGCATCCGCATGGCAGCAATAACCAAAACGCAAAGCATTAAGCACCCTTAATTTCACAGATGAAATATGTCTAAACTTAATTCAAAGAATTAGAAATCATAGAACAGGTAAAATTTGGCGACACAAAATGATTTATTTCTAAGGAAATATCCACAGTGACACCATTTTCATCATTTCCACATATAAGCTTTATTTTCATAATATTAAAACAAAATTTCTTAATAATTAAAATTATAGCTATTAATAATTTCAAATTAAGCAAGGCAGACAAATATCAATTACAGCTAATGTCTCACTGAATTACTTAAATTTTCAAACAGAGAAAAAGTCTGCTGTTTTGGCTCCCTTTTTGCCTACCATTTTGCCCATTTTAAAGTCAGCTGAAGTGCTCTCATCTTACTTTAGTCTGATCTGTTCTCTTTAGATACACTGCCGGAATCCTTTCTAACCATTTGTGTTAACAATAGCTAGATAGCACCATCTTTCATTTCCCTCCCCAAATACAGAGTAGACACCAGAGCAAGTTCAACCTTCCTAAAACAGCTCTGATCATGTCACTCCCTGGATTTTAAAGAAAGAAAAAAGAAACTTACTGACTCTCCCATTGGCTACAGATTAAAGCCCATTACAATACAGAGTTAAAAATACAGGCTCTAGAGCTAAACTGGGTTCAAATTCTAGCTCTATTACTTTCTAGCGGCGTGATCTAGAACAAGTTATTTAACTTTCAGCTTTCTCAACTGTAAAATTGGAACAATAATAGCCCTATATCATATACTTATATCAGCACTTACATCAATAGTTATAACTATTAAATGAGTCAATTCATATAAAGCATTTTGAAGAGTGACTGGAAAACAGTATATGCTCAATACTCAATAAATGTTAGCTGCTATCACTGTTGTTAGCATCATCATGGCACTCAAATCTCTTAAAACTGGCCTAAACTTAGCTTTCCAACTTACATCGAACTACACTCTATCAAACTCCCAAATCCTTAGCCGTTCCCCATACATGCTCTATACCTTTCCACCTTCACTGGCCCCTCTACCTAGAATGTCCTCTCTCCTTTCTGCAGACTCATCCTTCTAGACCCAGCTGAAATACATATCTTCACAGTGTCTACTCTGATCTCTTTGGCTGAACAAGATATGTCCATTCTGAACCCCCTTAACACTCTATCTATACCTCCTTGATGGAACTCAACACTTTCTCCTGTTTATTATTATGCATACATCTTATTTTCCCAACTAAAATGTAAGTCTTCGACAGTAGGGTCCAGGTATTTTCTAATTTTTGTGTTTACAACAATGTGTCAAGCAGATTGGCATCAGACTTCTCAAAAGTACTTGGAAGGTAGAAGATATTGCCTTCAAAATTCTAATTTAAAACCTAGCATTCCATCCCTAGCCAAATCAAACATGTGTAGAAGTAAAACACAATGACTTTCAGACTTGAAAGGATTTTAACAATTATAAGGAGTGCACCCTTTCTGAAAGGCTATTTGATATGCTCTGGCAAAACAAACTAACAAAGATCAAAAGGTAAGGGACCCAGAAAACAGTGAATTAAACACAGAAGAGTGATGAAGACCAGTCCCAGGATGACAACTGTGTAGCAAGACTAAAAACATAAGCAGTTCACAAGGAGATCTCCAGAAGAAAATGGGGGACGGGGAGGGGACTAATAGCTGGGTTTGGGCAATTGGAAAATAACATTGACAGTCGTAACATTTCATGCAGCACATGAAAAGAATTAAAAGTAAATTTACATAAAAGACTAAGCAAATAAAAAAGAAGCATTTACAAATTCAAGAAAAACAAAAGATTAGATAAGAAATTAAATACAATCATAATGCATCACTTGACCTATGCAGTGAACAATAATTATACTGTCATAGAAATGTAAATTTTAACTAGTAATTGGCCAAAAATTATGATATAACCATATAATGAGAAGATAGGGAGGTGAATTTAGAGGGAAAGCAGATGGTAAGAGAGATAAACTCCTTGATTACCATAACAGGAAATCCTACATAATGCCTTACATTACTAACTTAGATAATAGCAGAATGTTAGTATTTCTAAAACAATGGTTCTCTCCAAGGAGTGGGTCTAAAGCATAAAGAAGGGTGGAACAGGGGACTGACATTTTTCATGATAAGTCTTTCTGGCAAAACTATTGGATTTTTAAAGTGTGTGTATATACTACTTGATAAAATTAACATTTTAAATACAGAATCTACAGTATTCTGAAATCTTTTGACCTCACTGGGAATTCAATCTTTCTCTTTACTTTATAATAGCCTTTTCAGGAAAATAAACTCACTACAATAAAACGAAAGGAGAAAAACATCAAGGAGTTTATTTTTACAGTTAAGCAAACTCTAGCAATAAACTCATAGTTATACGTCAATTTTCTTTTTTCCCCCACATGACAGTAGGCAGCACTCTATTTTATCAAATAAAACAAATTAGGTAACATGTTTTTTTAAAGCAGATCAGCATAAAGACTTCTTCATTTTTGTCATCTGCTGCTTAGAGTTGAATCACTTCTTCATCTTATCTCTCTGAGTCTCTAGACGTGTGATGGTGCTTTTGTGCTTTTTAAATCAAGAAACAGAGAGGAAGTCAGCATCATGGTGGAGTGAACTTGCCCGAGACTCTCTCCCCTCCAACATACAACAAAAAGGGACATCCATACTCCAACAGAGGACACCCTAACATAGTAAAAAAAAACCTCGGAGAGACACATAGCCACACGATGGAGGGCAAAGAGGCTGGAGCCCCCCTCAGAGGAGCTAGAATGGGGTAAGAGAGATTTTCACTCCCTCTCCTAAAAACTGCCATTGAGACTCCAGGAGGATCTGTGAGAGAAGGAGCCAGGGAGGGGACGCTGGTTCACAGGATCACCAAGGACTCCCGAGGGCCCTTGCAGCCTAGAGAGAAGCCCTCTAATGGGGCAAAAGCTTTCGTGAGGGGTGACCGCATCAAGCCAACACCCCAGGAGACCAAAAAGTGAGAGCTGATTGAGAAAGCTTGGAGTGCACACAGGAGAAAGCACCCCTTCTCCCACCCACCCTGTGCCATACCACTGCCTGGGATATCAGCTGAAAGCAAAGGGCTCAGAATATGTGGCTCTTGACCCCCCCACCCCACCCAGTGGCGATAGGTGGTAACTGCAACCGAATAATATCAGAATGAGAAAGACCCGATCCTCCAACATCAGACACTACATCAAATCTCCAGACCAAAGAGAAAATGACAAGCACCCAGAACTCAGTCCTGAGGACAGAGAAATATGTAAGCTAAATGACAATGAACTCAAAATAGCTATCATCAAAAAACTCAACAAGGTAAAAGAGAATATAGAGGAACAATTCAACGAGTTCAGGAGCTACTTCACAAAAGAGATTGAAACTATAAAGAAGAATCAATCAGGAATATTAGAGATGAAAGACACAATGGAAGAGATAAAACAAAATATGGATTCCCTGAACACTCAAGTGGACATATAGAGAAGGGTAGCAGCATAACTGAAGATAGATATGTTGAAATGCTCCAGACAGAGGAGGAGAGAGAACTAAGACTAAAAAGAGATGAAGAAAGTCTCTGAGAAATATCCGACTCAATGAGGAAATGCAACATAAGAATTACAGGTATTCAAGAAGATGAAGAGAAGAATGGAGCAGATACCATGTTCAAAGAAATAATAGCAGAGAACTTCCCAAATCTAGGGAAAGAGAGAGAAATACGTGTGGAAGAAGTTTCCATATCTCCTAGACTTATCAATGTAAAAAGACCTACTGCAAGGCATATAGTAATAAAACTGGCAAAAACGAATGGCAAAGAAAGAATACTAAGGGCAGCAAGGCAGAAGAAAATAACCTACACAGGAACCCCTATCAGGCTTTCAGCAGATTTCTCTGCAAGAAACCTTACAAGCTAGGAGAGAATGGAACGACATATTCAAATCTTTAAAAAACAAGAATCTTCAGCCAAGAATACTCTATCCAGCAAAAACATCCTTCAGATATGGGGAAGAAATTAAATCTTTCCCAGACAAACAAAAGCTAAGGGACTCCATAGCCACGAGACCCCGCCCCCCCCCCCACACACACACACAAGAAAACCTCAAGGACCTCATACCTGAAAAAAGGAAAAAAGGGAGAAAGGAGTCACAAAACACAGAGTAAGGAGATAAATAGAATCAGAACAGGATAGTAAATATTCAACTACAGTATTAGGCTAAAGGGAAGGAAAACAGCAAAAACAAAGACAACCTTGTCACATTAACCACAAACTCCCAACACAAGTTGGAACAAGATATGAGAAAAACAGCTTCGGAGGGGAGGAGGAAAGGGACTGAACTGGTTTAGACTAAGGAAATAAGAGGCTATCAGAAAATGGACTATCTTATAACAAGAGTCTGAATACAAACCTCAGGGTAACCACTAAACAAAAAAGCAGAACAGAGACACAAAAAATAAATAAGGAAAAAACAAAGAAAAACATCATTAAAAACTACATAATTCAATGGGTAGACCAAAACACACAGGACAAGAAACAAAGGAAATGCAGGAAAACTGGAAAATGAGTGATAAAATGACAGCATTAAGCCCTCATACATCAATAATCACCCTAAACATAAATGGATTGAATTCTCCAATAAAAAGACAAAGTGGCAAGATGGATTAAAGAACAGGACCCAACAATTTTCTGCCTCCAGGAAACACATCTCAGCTCCAATGACAAACACAGGCTCAGAGTGAAGGGGTGGAAGACAATACTCCAAGCTAATGGCAAACAAAAGAAAGGTGTTGCAATACTTATATCAGACAAAGTAGACTTCAAGATAAGACAGGTAAAGAAAGACAAAGAGGGGCAGTACATAATGATCAAAGGGACACTCCATCAAGAAGAAATAATGCTTATAAACATCTATGCACCCAACACAGGAGCACCAAAGTTCATAAAGCAACTATTAACAAACCTAAAAGAAGATATTAATAATAACACAATAATAGCAGGGGACCTCAACACCCCACTCACATCAATAGATAGATTATCCAGACAGAAAATCAACAAGGAAACAGTGGAATTAAATGAAAAGCTAAACCAGTTGGACTTAACAGACATACATAGAACACTCCATCCCAAAACAACAGAATACACATTCTTCTCAAGTGCACATGGAACATTTCTAGCTTTATAGCATAGAAATTAATTACAAAATAAAAGCTGAGAAAGGGAGAAAGACGTGGAGACTAAACATTATGCTATTGAACAAGCAATGGATCAGTGAATAAATTAAAGAAGAAATCAAAAAATATCTGGAGACAAATGAAAATGATAACATACCATACCAACTCATATGGGATGCGGCAAAAGCTGTATTAAGAGAGAAATTCATCGCAATACAGGCACACCTTAACAAACAAGAAAATTCCCAAATAAGCAATCTCAAATTACACCTAACTGAATTAGAAAAAGAAGAACAAACAAAGGCCAAAGTCAGCAGAAGGAGAGAAATAATAGAAATCAGAGCAGAAATAAATGCTATTGCAACAAAAAAGGCAGTAGAAAGGATCAATGAAACAAAGAGCTGGATGTTTGAGAAGATAAATAAAGTTGACAAATCCCTAGCTTGACTTAGAAAGTAAAAAGAGAGAAAGGTCAGATAAATAAAATCAGAAATGAAAGAGGAGAAATAACAAGACTCCACAGAAATACAACAGATTATAAGAGAATACTATGAAAAACTATATGCCAACAAAATGGATAATCTAGAGGAAACGGATAAATTCTTAGACTCTTACAACCTCCCAAAGATGAGTCAAGAAGAAACAGACAATCTGAATAGACGAATCACAAGGAAAGAGATTGAAAGAGTAATCAAAAGCATCCCAAAGAATAAAACCCCAGGACCAGACAGCTTTCCTGGGGAATTTTGCCAAACTTTCAGAGAGGATTTAATATCTATCCTTCTCAAGCTATTCCAAAAACTTAGGGAAGATGGAACACTTCCTAACACATTCTATAAAGCCAACATCACTCTGATACCACAGCCTGACAAGGACAGCACAAAAAAGGAAAACTACAGGCCAATATCGCTAATGAACATAGATGCAAAAATCCTCAACAAAATTTTGGCAACCCAAATTCAGCAATACATCAAAAGGATCAGACATCATGATCAAGTGGGATTCATACCAGGGACCCAGGGATGGTTCAACATCCACAAATCAATCAACATGATACACCACATCAACAAATTGAGGAATAAAAACACATGATCATCTCAATAGATGCAGAGAAAGCATTTAACAAGATCCAAGAGCCATTTATGATAAAAACTCTTAACAAAAAGGGGATAGAAGGACATTACCTCAACATAATAAAACCCACAGCCAACATCATACTCAATGGGCAAAAACTGAACGCTGTCCCCCTGAGGACAGGAACAGGAAAAGGATAACCACGCTTATTCAACATAGTACTGGAGATTTCAGCCAGAACAATTAGGCAAGAGAAAGGAATAAAAGGAATCCAAACAGGAGGTGCAGAAGTGAAACTCTTGCTGTTTGCAGACGACATGATCTTATATACAGAAAACCCAAAAAAATCCATCAGAAAACTAATAGAAATAATTAACAACTACAATAAACTTGCAGGGTACAGAATCAACTTACAAAACTCAGTTGCTTTTCTATACTCTAATAACGAACTTACAGAAAGAGAACTCAAGAATACAATTCTATTTGCAATCACAACTAAAAGAATAAAGCACCTAGGAATAATTTTAACCAAGGAGGTGAAGGACTTATATAATGAAAACTATAAGACATTACTGAAAGAAATTGATAACGACCTAAAGAGATGGAAAGAGATTCCTTGCTCATGGATCGGAAGAATAAATATAGTTAAAATGTCCATACTACCCAAAGCAATCTACAGATTCAATGCAATCCCAATCAGAATCCCAATGACATTCTTCACAGAAATAGAGCAAAGAATTCTAAAATTCATTTGGGGCAACCAAAGACCCCAAATTGCTAAAGCAATACTGAGAAAAAAGAACAAAGCTGGAGGCATCACAATCCCTGACTTCAAAATGTACTACAAAGCCATAATGATAAAAACAGCATAGTACCAGCACAAAAACAGGCACACAGATCAATGGAACAGAACTGAAAGCCCAGAAACAAAACCACACATCTAAGGGCAGCTAATCTTCGACAAAGGTGCCAAGAATGTACAATGGAGAAAAGACAGTCTCTTCAGTAAATAGTGTTGGGAAAACTGGACAACCACTTGCAAAAGAATGAAGGTAGACCACTATCTAATGTCATATACAAAAATAAACTCAAAATGGATCCAAGACTTGAAGATAAGTCCTGAAACCGTAAAACTCCTGGAATATAATATAGGTAGTACACTCTTTGATATCGAACTTAAAAGGATCTTTTCAAGTACCATGTCTTCTCAGACAAGGGAAAGAAAAGAAAAAATAAATAAGTGGGAGTTCATCAGACTAAAGAGCTTCTGCAAGGCAAAAGAAACTAGAATCAAAACAAAGAGACATCTCACCAATTAGGAGAAAATATTTGCAAATCATGTATCTGACAAGGGGTTAATCTCCATAATATATAAGGAACTCACACAACTGAACAATAAAAACACAAACAACTTGATCAAAAAATGGGCAGAGGATATGAACAGACAGTTTTCCAAAGAAGATATACAGATGGCCAATAAACACATGAAAAGATGTTCAACATCACTAATCATCAGGGAAATGCAAATCAAAACTACACTAAGATACCACCTTATGCCTGTTAAAATGTCTATAATCACTAAGACTAAAAATAAATGTTGTAGAGGGTGTGGAGAAAAGGGAATCCTCATACGCTGCTGGTGGGAATGCAAACTGGTGCAGCCAGAATGGAAACCAGTATTCAGATTCCTCAAAAATCTAAAAATAGAACTGCCATATGACCCAGCTATCCCACTACTGGGTACCTACCCAAACAATTTGAAATCAACAATACAAAGTAGCCTATGCACCCCTATGTTCGTTGCAGCACTATACATAATAGCTAACACATGGAAATAATCCAAGTGCCTATCAACTGATGATTGGATAAAGAAGATGTGGTGTATATATATATATATATATATATATATATATATATATATATATATATATACGATGGAATACTATTCAGCCAGAAAAAAAGACTATTCATCCCATTTGCAATAACATGGAAGAACCTGGAGGGAATTATGCTAAGCGAAATAAGCCAGTCTGAGAAAGACAAACACCAGAGGATTTCACTCATATATGTAATATAAACAAATACATGGACAAAGAAAACAGTGCAGTGGTTACAGGGCAACAGGGGTAGGGGGTGGACACAGAGGGTGAAGGGGAGCACTTACGTAGTGACAGTCAAGAAATAACGTACAACTGTAATCTCACATTGATGTAAACTATTATGAACTTAAAAAAAAGAAAAAATAAATAAGTGAAAAAATAATGTCTGAAAAACAAAGTATAGTAATTAGTCACAACTATTAATTAATATGGTGAAATGCAAAGTATCTAAAGGTCTGGATTGTCTTCTATCATTCACATAAAAAATAATATATGAAGATGGGATCCATAGTCACAGAAACTAGAAAAAAATTTATATGCAGTTAAGATAATTAAATATATTTCTTGACAATTAAGGAAAAACAATCTCTATCAACACATTTCCCAATTCCTGAATTTATTCTCTTTTATACTCAGAACTTTTTTCTCACAAATCTAACAATGTTAAAAGTGAGTTTCACTTTCTGAATTTTAGTTCTATCCCAACAAAACCTAAATTTTATCAACCAAGAAACCACAATATAATTATTATTATATAAACCTAACAGTCCTATTTACACAAACTTAATACTACAGAAGTTCATCTCCTATAAATACATCAAATCATCCTTAATAGCCTCTCTGCCAGACCCAAACACAGAATTTTCATAAGCACTGAAAACTCAGGAGACAAAATTTCCTAGGTACGCAATACAAAATGTATAGCAGGTTATTGTTTTGCCAATTAAGTTGTCAATGACTAAAAGAAGAGTGGCTTTTTCTCACAGTTCACTAGAAACACTAAAATATTTTTTAAGCAATCCCAGTTATTTCTATCCAAAAGAAAAAAAAGGAGGAGTTGGGGTTTGTTCCTTAAAAGGGAAAATATAACAATTATATATTATAGATTATAAATGTATATTTACATGTTATATCAATATATCTAAGTATATGTCAATATACTTACTGATGAATATATATAATTCTAAGTGGGTGTTAAGAAAATATATTTAATCTGAACTGTTTCAAGAAAGAAATGAAATTCTAGTGTTCTCTAAGTCTTTCTTTTCATTTTTATAGTACTAGTTCCATAATACTAATTAACCAAAAGTGAATAAAAACAAATCATCACACTGGATTGTCATAAAACAAAACGATTATCACCTTGCTTTATTTGGCACATAAAATAGAAAAAAAGAAAACTTTTCATAAAAATATAGATTCTTAATCTTCAGCAGAAAGACAAAATGTGCTTAAGTATAAAAAACAAAGGGAAAAAATGTTTAGGCTTTTTTTATTTCTTCCATTAAGATATCTTTTGTATTTTAAGTATTTTAGTAATTTTTTGTAAAAGAATCAGTAATTCTGTAAAAGAGAAAACACTTGGGGCAAAAAAAATTAAAATCATTGATAAACAATTTTAATGGGCAAACTATTTTTAAGAGAGACTTCTTATTGATTCAATTAAATGTCAGTAGCTTAGGCCAGGAAAAGAAATATTATATCTAAATATAAGTTCCATCATTTCTCACTCACTATTTGCCACATCTTTTTAGATAGACCAAAGAGAAATGCCTTAGCATTTCTGGTATCATCTTCTTTCATAACAGAAATATATAAATATGCCACCATATGGCACGATATGATGCAAAATATGACACGAAAATGATATAAAATGCCAGTAACCCTATAACCCAGTCAGCAATCAGGGTGTGATTTGACTTGAAAGAGAAAAACAAACTGCAGGTTTGGAAAAGTCTTCCAGCTCATCACTCTATAGATTACTCTTTTTTTATCTTATCCTATTCTTGCTCCATAAACCAAGTCAAAATAGTCACCAGATTTATTTTTAGATAAAAACAAAATATTAAAACAAGGCAAGATTTTAAAATGTTGAAATCTGAAGAATCATGTTTTCAAAAATCTCCTATACAACATCAAGAAATACATCTGGGAATAGAATTACAGCACCATTTCGTCTAAACATTATCTCACTATATTAATATACTGAACTTTATTATCTTCCAAGAACACAGGTAAAAATGCAGGCAAAAACTGTTAACCTGTGGCAAAAACAAACAGGTCTGCAAGAACACAGAGAATTCGGGAAGTCTCCATAAAGTATTTCTGTATAAGAAAAGTGGGAAAATTAAACTGGCAGTGAGATAAAACAATCACAGAAAAAGGCAATGATTCCTAAATGCTAGTCATTAAAATATTTATAATCAATATTTTGAGACATGACTTTAATAGATTCTTTCTTTGCAACTACAGCTATGACAGCTTATGAAAGTATCCTCTTTACAGTGTATTAAACATATCTAAAATATAGGTATATCTAAGTTTATCTAAAACATAAGCTTACTATACCTTTCTCTGCTGCTTTTTGAAGGGCTTCTTCAATTCGGGATAGCTCTTTCTGTTTAATATCTTGTAAGGATTTTTCTTCTTTTTCAGCATCATATTTAATACCTAAAAATACATAGTTAATTCACACATAAAGAAAGGCAATTAATAAATAAACATTAGGAAAACTTCAGCCTCATTACGATTGTGTATGTGTGTGTAATATGTCTTTTTTTGTAAGGCAAAGAAGGGTTGCATTCTTTAGATTAGTTTTACAAAAAGCTTAAACATAAATGATTCCTATTTATTTACAAAGCTTATATCAAAAAGTAAAGGAGGGAAGGAAATGAATTAAAGGAAGAGAGGAAGATAGGAAAAAGGATAAGAGGGAAAAAGAGTGAGTAGATAGGTAAAAGGGAGGAACAGAGGGAAGGCAGAAAGTACATTAGAAATTTTTTAGTTATTATATCTGAGTGCAAAAATTGTGAGAAATTACAGAAAACATGTAATAGCTAATACCAGATGGTATTAATGTAGATTGATAAAAAGACTTTCAGAAAGTAATTCAAGAATATGTATCAACAATTATCAGATATATATATCCTTTTTATTAGTAATTTCATTTCCGATAATGTATCCTAAGGAAATAACACAAAAGAATAAAAATGATATCTATAAGAAGGTGTTATAACGTTCACTGTAACAGTAAAAAACAGTAGGCAGTCCACAACGAAATATCATACAGCCTTTCAAAATTGTCACTATCACCATGAAAACTGTGAAACATATTAAAAACATATATATTAAGTGAAAAAGCCAAATCCATGTTGTAAATATAGTATGATAAATACTACATCAAATCAAGGATGTATATAGTAAAGACTGGAAAGAAAAATATAAAAATAAAAATGGTGGGGCCCGGCCCCACAACCAAGTGGTTAAGTTCGCACACTCCACTTCAGTGGCCCAGGGTTTCGCCGGTTCCGATCCTGCGTGCAGAGGTGGCACTGCTCATCAGGCCATTCTGAGGCAGCGTCTCACATAGCACAGACAGAGGCACTCACAACTAGAATACACAACTGTGTACTGGGGGGCTTTGAGGAGAAGAAGAAGAAGCGAAAAAAAAAAAAGATTGGCAACAGTTGTTAGCTCAGGCAGCAAGCTTGAAAAAAAATATAAAAATTGTGTTTGTTTTGTGGTTGAGAAAAAAAGTAATTTCTCCTAAGATATCCAAACTTTTCTTAACACTATATTGTTCTTATAACTGAGAAAACATTAATAACAAAAGATAATACTGAAAGATCACTGCCTTAAAACATTAATTAAAAATTAAAATACTATAATTTATAAAGAAAAAAGTCCCTATTTACACATATTTTTGAGAGAACATTCATTCAAAATTAGAAGCAACAAAATGTGAAAAAAATTTTCCAATCCTGAAATCTGTAGATTAAAACATCAGTACATTTTTTAAAACTTATTTCATTTCATTCTCCAAAAGTAAATGTCTAATGCATCTCAACTTAATAGAAAGCCTTAGTTGCAAAATAATTATTCACAGAGAACAGAATAAACTTAATGGTTGAAATCATTCTTTCCAACAATAAAATAAAACTATTTTATATACAAATGTGGTAATACATATGTGTGTATATGTAAAATGTACACTTTAAGTGCATATATGTATATGATTAGTTTATTTAAATTATCTTCTATTTTACTAAACATATTAAAAGACTTAACCCAGGTAACAATTTAATTTCATTGCAATGTTACTGAATGGTTATAACCTAAAGTGACATACTTGCTCCAGGGACAACAAGCAGGTATAATCCCTCTAGGGTCGCAACAACTGCTTCTCCATAAAGGTTCTTCCAAGGAATCTTCAAAGTTAGTTTATCTAAAGAAACATAATATCAACCTTAAATTCTTATTTGGCTGCTCAAGAAGATATACGTTTCTCACTTTCCATTAAGAAAAAAAGTATAACAAAATCTTTCACACATATAGTATGTATATCACTCAGAATAAACAAAAAACTCCAACACTGAAGTTTGCAAAGATCTTTTCCATGTCATATTACTATCTGAAGTGATTATTTACATTGTGCTTTATATTTTTCCAACTTTTTGATAACTATTATTTCACTTAATATTCTCAAACTGTGAGAAGAATGAAGCAGCTATTATTTCAATTTTCAAAAAAAGGAAACAGTCTCAGAGAAGTTAAATTAATTGCTGAGTCCACCCAAGTCACCAGTGAGGATGCTGGAACCAGAACTGGTGCTCTTCCTCATCCAACAGTTGATGATCTTAATACTGTACATGCTGTTCTGCACATACCTACGACTACATCTCTACAACACAATTAGAAAATAATATCTGTACAAGATCCCAGGCACTGAAGCAGCAACACAGAGAAGAGTACCTAAGGAACAGACCTTTGACAGTAGACCAAACTGCTACAGTTGGAAGAGGCCGGTCCTAAAGGAAAGGTATACTGCTTTATAATTATGAGTTACAGGCAGTTCAGACCAGTTATATTCCAAATATCTACTTATAAATTACTTGAAAGGTAGAACACATCTTCTCTCTTGGAAACAATGGTATTAATCTCAGGTTTTTCAGAGACTGAGAAACTTTTTCACTCATAATATAGATGAACTATGGCCCTGAGCATCACTAAGCCAAGTTTGGAGTTTGATGGGAAAAGGCTACATAGAGCAGGAGAGAAGCCACAAAGGGCACACTCTTGGCTAAATTTTGAAATAGTTAAAACCTCTTTTCTATCTTTCCATATTTATTTCTTTACTCTTTTCCTAATCTCCAGTATGCCCTCTCTCCAGGTTCCTAGGCAGCCAATGTCCCAATCGGCCCTCAACAATACTAGAGAACTTCTATCCCAACCTTGTGTATCTCCAAAGCTTTTCATGTTCCAAAATAAAATACCTTCTCTCACCACAATTCAAAAAATAATAACCCTATAAAAACTATAATTCTCTCAGCGCTGCTGATCAAGACTCTCAAGAGAAAAGAATCAGGTTCAACTAAGTCATACTATTATGTGAATGACTAAGCTACTTACACCACCAGAATCACTGGCACTTTTAAATAAAGATGCTCAAAGTTCAAAGAATTGTTAAACAGGATAACACACTGAAGAGGAAATAAAATAATGCAATATAAAAAAGGATATTTTGATTCACCTGGATGGCTATGTAGGCAAGCCAGTTTTACCTGGAAATCTATTCCCAGGGTTAAAAATCTCAAATTATTTAAATTTTTTTTCTTCAGCTTGTAACCCTCCTGAGTTTCTTAAATGGCTCCCATGCCAGGGGAGTCTAGAGACAATGCCATATACTTCTGGGTCATTTCTAAGTCTGACAATTTTATACTGACCCACACCTATATTTATAATAGATACTGTTATATTTGTAATTACCTCATAAACTCCTAAAAAATTTATTTGATTGCCTTCTTGGTGAGCATGATACTGAAAAAGTGGGAAAAGCACCTTTAACTAGCATACCAAAAAGCGACTGTCTGTTCCCTAAACCTTTTCTTCTCTCCATTTACCTTACTTCAGTATCCTGAATTCCACTGGAATTCGGTTATAGTCTGTCTCCCTTTTATAGATAAGAAATTTTTTAAGTAAAAGGATAACCCAGGAGCACCCACAAATATGTCTAGCTCTTAGAACACCAAAACATTCTAGAGCTTACTTAGCCACAGTGACTCTACAGGCTAGGTGTAATATTTCAACCTAACAGAAATTTAATAACTAATACAAATACTCCATAAACCAAAAACAAGGGATAAATACAAAGAAAATATGCTTCGCATCCTTATATGTTGAGTCTCTCATAATTCAGTGAACAACTATGAAGGAAGCCATTCAATTCTTATATACTTTAAAAGCAAAAAGAACAAATTCTGAACCACTAGAAAACCTCTTCCAAAATATAAATCTAGTTATAATAATATAATGAATAATGTAAAAGTTCTTTAGTCAAATATAACTCATCCAACACCCTGGAAATGTGATTGCAATAGTATGTCCTAATTTTAGATCTCTATAACTTCCTTGAGAAGAAAGATATCATATTCATCCTTGCCTCTCCCATAGTATCATATGTAGCATGTGTGCATAAATATCTCAAATGTAAAAGAACGAATGAATGCCTATAACTTCTCTCTAGGACTCCAATTAAGCACGTAGGGCCAAAACAATAATTCTAGAACGCTGCTAAACATCACCACCTCACACAGCACAAGGCTCTGTATAAAAGACAAACAAAAAAGACAGTGCGCGCCCCAGGGATGCTTTCATCTAAGGGAGTGTCTCCTGTTTCAAGGGACAAAGCTTGAAAATGTTACTTTATATTAAAAGGAACATATAAAGCGGACTCAAGCAGAAATATTCAAGTAATTGTTAAGAGATGATAGAATAGTGACGAAGTAGCAGGGTGATGCAGATGGAAGGAAGGACGGTGGCCTAAGCGAAAATTCTAAAGAAAGAGTAAGTCATCAAGGGTTGTAATTTATTTTTTTTAAAAAGTAAAAATCAAGTAGTATGGACTAGCTGAGAGGACTTCATAGATTAAACTTTCTACTGAAAAATTTCTTAACAAAGATGTATGCTTAGTTATGGATGATCTTAGCGTGAGAGTTCAGCTCACAGAAAGATTTCCCACTTACCAAACATACTCTCCACACCACACTGCTGCATAATATATCAAGTGAAATGGATGAACATAACAGGAGGGAAATAAGCTACACTTAAATTTTATTGACTAGAGTTTGCAAATTATACTACTTTCACATATAAAGAAAAAGCCTACAAAATTTCAACATCAATTTTGAAAATTAAGATATATTCTGTGTGGTGGAACTAAAGCCTGAAAAGTATCCTTGCAGTTCAAATGTTCTTCAATTTTAGAGAGTAATTTTGTACCCTTTTGTCAAAAACTTTGAAGTATTTATGTATTATACATAATATACACCAAGTTCAGAACTTCAAAAGCTGTAATCCACATAAGCCAAAACACCTCACATTTTTTGTTCAAGCTAAAAAAGATGTCTTAGATTAAACAACACAGGAAAAATAAAAAACTAAAAGAACTGAGAATAACTCAAATGAAGAGTGAAGTACTTACCAATTTGGCCAGCCTTGACTTTAAAAGGAACATCCAATTCACTCTTCAGCAGGAAAAAAAAAATTGAAAGGACATCTTAAGTTATTAAGCACTGCAAAAATCATCTTTGTATCATCATTTAAATATACAATCACAGCTAAGGAAAAACAGAAAACAAATTTTCTTATTTGAGTAAGTCATAAAGAGTACGTTTTATGGCTGAAAAAAAGTTTTTATTAAGTTAAACCTTTACTTTGAAGAAAGAATTTACAAAAGAAGCAAAATTATAAATAGGAACAATACAAAAGGAGTTTGTAGTTGAAAATAATTGAGTAAACTGGTTATTTGTTTCAATAAACCAAACCAAGCCAGGTGTAAATCCCATGAACTTTTATACTAACAGATGGACATTGCTTATCTGAAATATTAGAATAGGAAAAGAAAGAGTCCTTTCACACAAATATGTTGAAAACAATAACTGAACAATTCTCTCTCAAATATTTAATAAATGAATAAACAAAACAATCTTAAAAGAAAAGGCATTATTTACCAAACCAGCATTTACTTTAGGTAAGTTACTGACAAGTACCAATCAATAATAATAAACTTTCACTTATCTAGATTCCAAACCACTAGAAAATGCAAATAACTTTTTACTCACAGAGGACTAAACAATAACTGATATTCACAATGAGACTTGAGTCTTTAGAATTATTAAAAATTAAACCAATCAGATTCAGATTGTTAAGTGTACCTCAGCATATAGTAATACTATCAAAATCTGGCAACGGAAGTACAGCACTTTAGGTAATAATTAACTAAAGTAATCGGTTTAGTCAATCATCTGATTACTCAACTATTCTAGGTGAACAGGAAACAAACAAAATACTAACAGCTTTTGATAAAAAGTCTTTTTTTTAGGCCCCAAAAAACCGTCCTCACTGGTGATAAGAGAACAACTCTACCCTCCTGGGGCAGCAGGGGCATGAGGGACTGCGGGAGAGAAATTCAGCGGTCTTCATATCATACAGGATACAAACCGTAAACTATGCACTTCTAAAAGTGTGGTCTCAAGCTCGTTTTGATCCTCCTGAAATAGTTTTTCACACAAAATAAATGTAAAGAACCCATATCAAAGTAAACCTCACCAATCCACTTTAATTGGAGAAAGGAGGCTAGTTTGAATTAATGGAGAATACAGACTATAAATATAAACTACAAAACTACAATTACAAAATTGAATTAATGGCGAATACAAACCACAAAATAACTTTAATTATAACCAAAACTCAAATTAGGCTAACAAAGAATTCAAAAAATTTGTCTTCTAAGTATGTTAGTGTATGTTAGATACACATCTTGTCACCACAATTCTATTTATACTTATTTCTTTCTAAAATATTTTCATACATAGAGGAAAAATAATTTTCATTCCAATATCTAGCAACAGAATCTTAAGTTCTACATTTTCAGATAAAATTTAAAAAGTTGTAGTATCCTATATAAAAGGAGGGAAAGAAAATTTGAATATTTTGAGTGTCCACTACTTACTGGGCTCTACTTTTCATCTCATTCAAGCCACAAAGGCACAGAGATACTATATTGTTTTGTATTATTAACTCAACTTTAAAGATACTAAACTGATGCTCAAAGAAATCAAGAAACTTGCCAAAATTCACACAGGTGGGAAAAGGCAGAGCTCGCACTCAAACCAGTTCTGCCAGACCGTAAGGTCTATGCTCTTTCCACTATGCTAAGCTGTTTTCACTATAACAAAATAAACTGTTACTCTCGTGACAAAGTTCTACCCCTAGGATCTTCAATATCCAAAATTCGCTTCTCTGAGACCAGTCGTGGGAGAGTTTGTGTATGTCTAAGTCTCCTCTAATTACACTGTTCATAATGTAGAAATCCAACCAGAGGTAAAAGCCAGGATTACAAAACACACTGTAGGTTAATTAGAAATCTGACCTATTAATTAAAGAATAAATTCATACTTAAGTGCCTTCATAAACTCAAATTAAGTCCAATCAGCTAAAGCCTAACGAGGGGTGGGGGGTAGAGGATAGGGAGAGTATTGCTTTGTTTGTTTTTAGCTCAATAGTAAATGATACAAATCACTTTCTAGAGCTAGACTCCAAAAAAATCTATTTTACCTCTTAATATTACCATAATATTATAAGGCTGGAGTGTCAATGTATTTCCAAAAATACAATTATTCATTATATAAATTGTTAAAATCAAGGGCTTATTTAGCTGAAAAATATGTACGAATAATTCTGAAGAAAACTACTTCAGTAAGACAATTGTCTGCTATAAAGCTACACAGTCAAATTAGGTCAAGGAAACACATTCCATTTTCCAAGAGATATTATTTTGATCACCAGGAAAAAAAAATTCTAAATCTTTAATCTCAGATTTTCTTACAGCAAATAGTTAAACCACTAATCCTTCTGTGAATGACTCAGTCACTTTATCTGGTACCTGGTACCAGATACCCTGTAACCAAAGGTTTCTAAGAGCTTACCAAATTAACTGAGTAATCAACATAGTTAAAAATAAACTTACCAGAGCATTTTCTTTTATCTGTAGATTATCTAAAGCCACATCACCTTTAAAAAAGAAAAAGAGGAAAAATATAAAGTTAATATACCAATTAGTATAACCTGTCATAATGCAGTGCCAATCACTATGTCACTATGCTAAGTGCTAAGAAGACAACGGTGAGCAAATCATACTTCAAGAACTAATGAAGCTACAGGCACAAGAGTTGCTATATATGAACAAGAATTATTAACTGTAGCACACTTTAGGTTAGCCCATTGCAAAAGAAATTACAAAATATTTAAACTGACTAATGTTTAAACAGACAATGAAAAAGGATTTAGAGACTTTCAGACTGAAGAACTTCACAACCAAAGAAAGTATCCATCATTTTGAATGATTAAGCCAAAATCTCAAGAGAAGGATATAAAGAGATGACTGCTAGAAGAGATCAATTTTCCTGTAACCCAGGATTCTTTCCTTAATTATGGTGTCAATGAATATTTTCTATAGGGATATGGTGTTAGTCTTTTAAAACGCCAAACATCCTACTATCCCAATGATTATTGCTAATGGTTCTAATATTTTTTAATTAGTCCAACATTTCTTAAATTTATTCAGATGTTAAGTTATAAGAACTAAAGCCATGATGACACTATAACATGACTCAAATTTTAAACACTCTACCTATATTTGTTGATATATAATACTTAAATATTCTTGCTTACATAAAAATTTTAGCAATAGAAAAAAGTTTTCATTTCACTTAAATTCTGTAAAGATTAATAAAACTATAGTTTCAACATTAAATGCAAGCATAAATTATCCAGTTATACATTTTCTTAATTACTTATGATTTTTTTTTTTTAAATACTACTCTTCCTATGCTCTCCATAAATATTTTTCAATCAAGTAACTTTTTCCTCATAGTATTCTGGAGTAAATTAAAAAGGTTAAAAAGTATATTTAATTATGATGCTATTATTAAAGATTTGCTTTTCCCCAAATTTCAGATTTATTCAAACATTTATTAAGCACCTACTATGAGTCAGTGCCATCAATTCCCAAATCACAACACACAGCCGCCACAATATGACAATCAACAGATGAGTGGTGTGGTTCCCTCACCAGCAAACGAACCCAAGCACTGGCACTGAGAGCCATTCAATCACTAGACCACCATGGCAGGCTTACTTAAGCGCTGAAAAGAGAGAGATGACTAGGACAACCTCCCTGCTATTGGAGAGCTCACAGCCTGACAGAGGAAACTAAATTTCCAAAATTTTGGAAATACTCTATTGGCATTCCAACAGTAGAATGCATAAGATGCAAATGAGGAACCACCTAACTCTGCCTAGGAAGATCAAGAACTTCACAGGAAAGTTAGGCTACAAGGCCAAAGAAACATTCTTATCTACACTGAGTAGATAAGAAAAGAGGGCAAACAGACATCCATGAGTAAGACACATTTTAGAAAGCACATGTGGTTTGGTGTAACTGGAGGGTGTGAGAAAAGGATAGGAAATAAAGTCAGAAAGGTTGGCAGGGGCCAGACTAACAAAGGGTTTTTAGGATAGAAAGTTCAGACTGGTCACAACAGAGAGAAATATATACAATAGGGATGACAAAATCAGAGCTATATTTCAGAACAATTACAATACTTTCCTAAGAAATAATCATGGATCTGTGCAAACAATTCGGCTACAAGGATATTGCAAAATTAGTTATAATAGCAGAAAGGATGCCTGGATGGGAGGGAGGACCTAAAGAACTAAATATCCAGGAAGAAGGCATAAATCATAATACATCTACAATTTAGAGCAAAAAAAATGTGCACAATCATGGGAAAATGTTTACAAAATATTGTTTTAAAAAATGTTAAAGAATACCCAGGTTGATCAAATTTAAAAATTATATATGCACACATTCACAGAAAACAAACAACTGTGTTGTTTGTCTAGACATCATAATGACCACAGCAGTTATTTCCATATAATAAAATTCATTTTCTGTGTATACGTATTTTTTAAATTTTCTAAAATAAATTACTGAAAACTGCAATAAAGGAGAGAAGGAGGTAAGAACCTCACAAATGGAAAGAAAATACTCCAGCACGGTAATAGGAGGAAAGGGAAAGAACACAGGCAATCAGGCAGCTTCTACAATACACTGAAGAGCAATTTAAACCTGAAATAGGAAGTAACTTCGGGGTTGAAGAGGTGGAGTCAGAGCAAAAAGTTATTTTGGAGGTAGAATTGACAAGATGCCATCGCTGACCAAAGGTAGGGATAATAAAGTACTCATGAAAAACTACGTGTATTCGGGAATTGGAAAAAAAATCCTTAAATACTGTATGTACAAAAAGTACATAAAATGGAAAAACATTCCTGGATTCAATTCTCTCAGATGATGACTTACCAAAAATTACAATGTTCAACTACTCAAGCCAAAAGAAGTGATCTGCACAAATGCTAGTGCATATGAGAAGCAATCCTAACTAGTTTAACAAGATCTAAGGCCCAACCTGCAAACTTGCTCATGAATTTTGACTGTTTTACCCAGTCACTCTCAACTAGTGGGTCAAGTGTCATCAGCAGTGCTCAGAAGTAATCTGCATTAGATATGAAGTATAAATGTCCCCATAAAAAGTGGGCTGTTTCGGTGTAGTGGCCCTCCGGTTCTTTAATGAATAGATGGTGTTTAAGACGTGAAATACTGAAAACTACCAATATGGCTAACAGAGTTAAACAAGCATATTTAGAAAGACAGACAAAAGAGGTAATAGTGATTATTGCTAGGAAGTATTACAGATTTTTTTAGTTAATGTTTTTCAGCATTTTCTAGTTTTTATAATAATCAGATATTACTTTTATGTTAAAATTATTATACAAACTGTCATAAGAAACAGAGAAACAAAAGTAAATTCTAATGTCAATATGACCTCAATGTTTTATATAAGTTCCTCCTATATCTAACGTCTCCCTTACCAACAGACACATGAAACAAGATCTATTTCTGCTACTTAGAGTCTATCAAACAAATGCATACTTCCTCTCTGAAAAATGTGAATGCTATCTAACAAACTGTAAATGTAACAATGAAATAAGAATGATACACTCTATAAATTATTTGCACTGAAGGAGGAGCCGCTAGTCCCAATACAAAGAAAAGGGGAGGAATAGCAGCATATTGCAGATTAACACCTGGGTAAAAGTGCATTCATTCATTCAACCAGTAAATGAGTGCCTTATCGAGGCAACCCACTGTGCTAACAAGTCCTCTTCAACTAAACTGCATGCTTTTCTGCAGATATATATACAGGAGTTTCATTGTCTATCCTACGAATATCAGAAATTCTGTGTAAAAAAAAAACAATTTATAAAACTAAGATTGGGGCCGGCCCAGTGGCGCAGCAGTTAAGTTCACACGTCCTGCTTCTCGGCAGCCCAGGGTTTGCCGGTTCAGATCCCGGGTGCAGACATGGCACCGCTTGGCAAAAGCCATGCTCTGGTAGGGGTCCCACATATAAAGCAGAGGAAGATGGGCATGGATGTTAGCTCAAGGCCAGTCTTCCTCAGCAAAAAGTGGAGGATAGGCAGTAGTTAGCTTGGGGCTAATCTTCCTCAAAAAAAAAAAAACCAAAAAACTAAGATTAAGGCAGATCCCCTCCTAAATATCAACCATTTTACACTTAACTGAATACTGAGGGAAAAGTTAAGATTTAGTTTTCCATTTTTACTTCAGGATAACATAATAAATCCATACACAAGTAAATAACTTCACTGCTATAGCCAGATCACCTGGGCTAAGAACACAGAGAGGCCGTAGGAAGTTCCCAAAAACCTGGAGGAAGGGTAAATATTTGTCCAATCTTTAAAAAAAAAAAAAGGGAAAGAATAACTAATAATTGGAGATGGATAAACTCAACTCTGGAGCAAGGAAGGCACTAAAGCCAATCCCACAATCAGGTGTCTCTGATCCCAGGAAATTCCAAAGGAAGTTCTACGAAGTGATTTCCTTCTACGACAGACTGACAGGCCTAAAGGATGAGAGTAAGCAATAAATGTCGTCCGGGCTCCAGAAGAGAAGGTGTCTGATTTTGACAGTATATAATTCTCAGTAATAAACTAGAAATATTTTGGATGAGCATACATGCTAGAGAGTCACACATAAAGTTTCCAAGCTAATTTTATGAAGTCCCTTAAAAGGGTAAATCCTGGATCAGAATTTACCTAATAATCTTTACTAATGAGCCAGAAGATGGAAATGAAAGTAAATCCATTAAATTAGCAAGTGACACTAAGGTAAGCAGAGTCGGAGTCATCTCAAAAAAAAAAAATAACAATAGAAAAAGAAATGGTTGCTAAATTATAGAAAACCACCAAGTTAGTATATTTATGAATAAAAATCAAATGGTAGTGGCATAACATGGAACAAGGCTGCCTGTCCAAGAATGCCTTTTAAAATACATAATAGCCTACAAAACAAACGTAAGAAATATAGTGTCGACGTCAGATATCTCCGGTCAAAAATAATCTGAACTTTCATAGAAAGTTTGACTCTACCTTTCTTATGGCACTTAACTATACAAATCCCCAAACTGATTATAAACTCCTTACTGCTTCTCCTCATAGTAGGTGCTCAATAAATATTGACTTAATTGATCTAGAATACATATTATGCTGGGGTAGAAACAACTACAATAATACGATAAACCTTTACATTTTAGAAAACACTCTCAGATCTATTACATTACTTGATCCTCACAGCCTCCTGGTGAAGGAGGCAGGACATAGATATTATGCACAAGAAACTGACACATAGAGAGGATAAACAACTGACCTAAGAACACTGTCAACCTAGTGAGTGGTAGAGCCAGGGCTTAAATCTTCTGATGCCCAATGCTGGGTTCAGAACATCACACTATCTCCCAAAGAGAAGAGCAGAAAGGGTAGAGGATTTTAATTCAGAAGATAATTCTATCTCCATTGAAAAAAAAAATGCCATACAAGAATTAGACTCAGCATTAAGAGGCCTGCATAGTTGGTGGATCCACTTTTGGTCTTTG